CCCTACGCAGGAACAGGAACCGAACTCCCGACCTCCGCAGCAGCAGTGTGCACACTTAACCACTGCGTGTCCCTCCAGCACGGTCTTTTTGTAATTGATCAGGAAACAAAGAAACAAACGCGCCGGTTCGCCATGCCCTCTCCCTATGCACAAATCATTGTAGCGTTTCGTGCAGCAGCTCAGGCAGCTGTCCCTGCTCAGTTTTCTAGGACCAGTCAGTCAGCACTGCTAGGTTTGCACTGTGACCGGCCTGGCCTGGTGGTCCAAGAATAATACACTGAGGGATTACTGGAGCTAAGGAGTTTTAGAGGTGTTGTTAACTCCATGGACAAGACAGACAGACACAGACAGACGGGCAATGGCATAGTCGGGCCTCCAAGGAGAGTTCAGAGCTCAGCACCAGAAGCAGCAAGTAGGGTCTCTGGAGAGAACCAGAGGCCAAGAGAGCACCCGAAGGGGCAGGGGCGGGTGGATGGAGAGGGCACTGAGGTGCATTAGGCCTGTCACCTCCAGGTAGAAGTCTGACCTGGGCAGCACCTGTCACTCAACACCTTGCCCGTCTCCCCTGGAGGCTCACTTGGTTAGAAGACTGATTCCTAAGGGCTCGCTGTGGTGAAGTGGTAGTGTTTGCAGGCAAGGTGGCCCGCATTGAATTCCCCAGCATAACTGTGTCAGTCCGTGGGCTGCTCCACAGAGAGGGGGCTTTCAGCCTTTGTGTTCTGCAGAATACAAACAAGGATAAGGCACAAGAAAGTACAGAAAACATTCTAGTAGAGTCCAGCCTTGCTGGGGCAAAGGGCCACTCACACACACACACACACACACACACACACACACACACACACACACACATGTCCCGGACTTGTTATACTTTGTTACTTTCTTGGATTCTCTGAGAAACTGGAGACATTGCACTGTATGATTGACAGGCCTTGAATCATTCCTGGATGGCTTCCATGGGTTATCTGTCACTCTCAGTGTTTGGGGTGTGAGGAAGGTGCAGGTGCGGGGCCAAGGATTTAGCAGTCTCTATGGCAAGGCAGAGTGCCATGTCTAGGATTAGATGTTAGGCTGGGGGCTGCTGGGAGGCATGACGTCAAAGAGGCTGGACCTGATCTGTCTGTACCTCCTTTAGCCACGAGGCAGGGATCAACGGGTCACCAGAAGGACAGGCTCTTAGTCTCCAGCTCTTTAGAACCTTTACCAATGGGAGCTTTTGTTTCCAGATCACAGATACGCCTTCACCTGGTATTCTCTTGCCTTTTAAAGACAAACCAAAAAAGCCACCCTTAGAGGCTGATTCTCATTAGAAAGGCAATTCAGCCATGGTCACTTTACCACGGCAAGTCAGCTGGGACTGGAATCTGGAGTGTTCCCTGACAACACCGGGCACCGATCCCGCAAGGTAGGTTGTTGGCCCTGGACAACACAATGACATTGTTAGAAACTGGGGGGGGGGGTGTCTTTAAAAAAAAAATCCAGTCATTTTAGTAAACCACACAGTGAGTGTTCTAGAAAGCTGAGCATGAAGACAAACACATACAAGCTCCTTCATTACAAAGTAGCTACACTACAATTTCGAGGCTTTGTGAATGTAACGATTAATGTTCTCAAATTGACCAGATGGAGCTGTCATTGATCACTAAACAGCAACAGCTTCTGCTCAAAGGCCTAGAGTTCAGCAGGTCACAGCCCTAGGGGAGCCCACTACTGCTGCTCTGCTAAATGGATATGTTGTCAAATTACCTTCTAAATACCGTGTTCATGTCCACAGATCAGGCAGACAAGTCTCTCGCTGCAGAGGGCAGCAGGGCGGAGACAGACAGTCAAAGGGCTTCAAAGAAGTGACTGAAGATGGCCTGGCGTTGGTGGCACACACCTTTAATCCCAGCACTCGGGAGGCAGAGGCAGGTGGATCTCTGTGAGTTCAAGACCAGCCTGGTCTACAAGAGCTAGTTCCAGGACAGCCTCCAAAGCCACAGAGAAACCCTGTCTCGAAAAAAAAAAAAAAAAAGTGACTGAAGGTTCGGCCTTAAACTGGACATCTATACCAACCCCTTCCCACAATGCCCTGGGGAATAACAAGGAAGGAATATAAGAGCCGGAAGGTGGGGAGGGGTACTACGGAAGGCTGTCTTCTGAGTGTGGTGTGGCTACTGCCCTCATGAGCTCACAGAAGCTACGCTTACCTGCACAAAATCAAGCCAACAAGAGCAGTCCACATTCCAGCAGGCAGCACTTAGTTGGTTACCAAAAAATGGGGGAGACCTGAAAGATGGAGGGGGAAGTGTGTTGGGAGGTGTTTGGGGGAGGAATTAATTGGGGGAAGAGTATGCTTAAGACACATTATATACATGTCTGAAATGGTCAAGGAGTAAAATATTCTAAAAATATTTTGTGCAAAATAAACAAACAGATCCATATCATTAGCATACAAGTTTACTTTTGATAAATGGTAAAACTATATGCATATCAAATAATTAAAATAAAATTCTTTATGGTTTACTCTCAGTAAGGTTTGATTTGTGTCTCTATTTTATATACTATATACCTGGAGCTAAGAAAAACATTTCTGCCAGGTGGTAGTGCATGCCTTTGATCCCAGCACTCGGGAGGCAGAGATAGGTGGATCTCTGTGAGCTCAAGGTCAGCCTGGTCTACAGAGTGAGTTCCAGGCTAGCCAGGTTTGCACAATGAGACCCTGTTTCAAAAGCATGGGAGTTCGAAAAGTTCAAGAAGACTCTCAAGACCAGTGTCCCCAAAAGTCTAAGGATGTCACCTGGGACATTTGTAAAACTAAAAATTCTTGTCCCCACAGCCGATCTACTGGGTTAGTCTGTCGGAGATGGGGGAGGGTGTGAGACTTTTGTCAAGATGCACATTTGAACTCTCTCAAGATCATCCAAGGGCCGACACACAGCTCAGAGGTAGACAGACACACAGCACACACAAGGCCCTGGGCTGCATACCAGGCAAGGAAAAAGGAAAGCACCCTATAACAAATAACTGTAAACTCTGGCTAGTGAGGTGACTGAGTGTCAAAGTGCTTGCTGAGGAAGTCTGATGGCCCGAGCTTGATCACCAGGACCACATACGAGCTAGTAGGAGAGCTCTGGAAAGCTATCTCTGACATGGGCACCACGTTGTGTGAGAATGTGTGTGTGTGGGGGGGGTATATGTGGGCGTGAGTGCACCCGTGTGATATGCAGTGGGGAGACAGGCACATGTGTGTTCCTGTTAAAGAACAACTCTGTGGAGTCTGCTCTATTCTGCTTTTACAGGGAGATGGAACTGGGGTCACCAGGCCTGAGGAACCACATAGGCCCTTTAATGGCTGTTCTATTTCACCTACATTATGAGAGTTTGGAGTGCAGGGTAGGGGTGTGACTCCTTAGTTTCTTTTAGGAAGAAAGCTCATGACTGGCTTACATAAAAACTACTGGTCCTAAGAAGTAACCAGAGCAAATATACAATCGGTTTGCAGTTATTGAAAAATTAAACATTTTAAATATATTTTTTCTGTTTTTTTTTTTCTTTCAAGCTCTTAAAAGTCAAATTATGTACATGAACTGGTTTTCTCAAGAGCCAGAACAACGGAACTTAAAAAAATGAAGTCACCAGCTCTTCACCCTAGACTGACCACCTCACAACAAAACAAGGTGTTGTTTCTGGAAACAGAGCATCCCTTAATCTGATGTCAAGAGACTAGGCAATTGTTTTTCTCAGCAGGACTCTGGGGTAGGGTTTCTCCTGGCCTTCATATCTGCGTAGGAAAAGGTGTCGGTGACTCTTCACTCCCAGGGAAAGGAGGAAACCCAAGGGGAGCATCCCATCTTCAGGAGAGGAAGGGTTGGAAGGGTCAGAACACCGAAACCTGCTGGAGACGGTTCAGACAAGAGACCGCAGGGCCGGCGCTCTCCCGGGGCCCAGCTGCGGAGACAAAGAAGTTGCCGAGCCGCCTCTGTGGAAGGACGCCCTGGACGCGACCCATGGTCAGCTCCAGCTTCTGCCTCCCTTCAGCACCGAGAGATGCAGGCGGTGGGGCTGCTGCTGCTGCTGGGGCTGGGGCTGGGGCTGGCTTGCACTGTGCACGGGCTCTGCTCGCCCTCCGTGTTCTACAGAGACTGCTGGATCCGCCGCTTCCCAGGGATGCTCCTGAATCTAGAGGAGTCCCAGAAGCTGGGGGCCCAGTTCCTCAAGTACTACTCAGAGAACACGGGCCACAAGTGCAGCCGGAGCTGCTGCCTCAGGAAGGATGGTGAGCACAGGGCTGGGTGGTGACAGAGCACGAGGGGCAGGCAGAGAAAAGGCGGGGGGGGGGGGAAGAGCACAAGACACAGGCAGAGGGGGAGCACCGGGGAGGACCCCGGGATGGGGGAAGCATCAGCGCAGGTGGTTTTGAACGAGATCTTCCTGACTCTGTAGAACGCAGGGCATCCTGCTGTAGTGCTAGATGGATATAGATTTCTTTCAGGGTTAGATAACTTGCTTTTTATTCATAGTCCGATGTTTCCAATAAGCTGGGCGCTGTGGCTGGCCTAAGTCTGTAATCTCCATTTAGGAGCTGGAAGCAGGGAGACCAAGAAGAGTTCAAGGCAACACTGTGAGCTGAGCCTAGCTGGGCAGTCTCAGTCTGTGTCTCAAAAACAAAACAAAACAAACAAAAAGGGTTTACAACAATTTACTTTTAAACTATTATTGTTAGTTTCTTTAAAAAATATTTTTGTTAATTCTTTGGGAATTTCTGTATCTTGAAATTCATATTCATCCTACTCCCCGCTCTAACTTTCCCAGATCCACCCCCTACCACCACCACTCTTCAAATTCTCGTTAAAAAATAATCCACTGAGTCCAGTTTATGTATGACTGACTTTCCCTCCCGTGAAGCCACCAACTGTCAGCAGCTCTCCAGTCGGGTGGGGGCTCACGGCTCCCAGCTCCAGGCTGGAACGCTGGCTGGTTTGATCTTGTACAGCTGTGATTCATGGCCCTCCATCTCTGAAAACCAAGTGCTGGAATTACAGGCACACACCACCACACCTAGTTTAATAATCTCTTAAAATAACTGGTGGTTTTAGTGTCATGCCTATTTTACACGATATGTCTCTTGGATCCATATGAAACACAGGGCGAGGGGCAGGAAATTAGAGTGTGGATCACGCTATCTTCACATTTCCTTAGTAGATTTCTTTTCTCTATAATAAATGGGATTTAGAAGTAAATATCACCCATCTACCCATACCAAAGCCTTCAAGGTCACAATTATCTAAAGACACTTTCTTCCCCCCCCCCCAGTGTTTTCCCTAATTTTAAAGTTACCTGGAAAGAAACAAGAGCAAAATATTGTTGAAGCAATACCCATGGTGACTCCACTGTGGAGTGTTTCAGGAGAGTAGCCAGGTTTTCAGTGATCAGTTTGAGAGACTTGTCACAGGCCACGGCCTTCAACACTAATGAGGCACAAAGAACAGCCAATTTGATAAAGAGGAAACTTTTCAAAGCAGGGTCAAGGCTGGTGAAGATGGAGGTTTCTGTCCCATCTGGCCCCACAGCTATTTAGCCCCAAATAAACACACGGACACTATATTAATATTCAGACTGTTTGGCCCATGGCTTAGGCTTCTTGTTGGCTAGCTTTGTCTTAATTATTAACCCATTTCTATTAATCTATGTGTTGCCACGAGGCTGTGGCTTACCCACAATCCGGCATGTTACTCCTTCGGCAGCATGGTGCCTCTTCCATGCTGCGCTCTCCACACCCCCATTCTCCTCACCTGGTAGCCCCACCTCTATTTCCTGCCTGGCTACTGGCCAATCAGGGTTTTATTCACTAACCAACAAGAGAAACATATATACAGAAGACATCCCCATCAGGCTGGGGTTGTGATTCAGTTTGTAGGGTGCCTGCCTAGCATGTTGGAGGCCTTGGGTTCCCTCTCCAGTACATAAACCCAGAGAGGTGCCCCACACCTGTAATCTCAACCCTGAGGGGTGGAAAGCAGGGAGATCACAAGTTCAAGCCTATTCTCAGCTATGTAGCAAGTTTGAGACCAGCCTGGGATACATGAGATCGGGTTGAAATAAAAACAAAACAGGTGCTGGGGAGATGGCCTCCTAGTTAAGTTGGTTGCCAGACAAGTGTGAGGTCATAAGTTTGAATCCCCAGAACCCACTTAAAGCTGGGGACAGGAGAGTGGCATCTGTAATCCCCAGTGGTCCCAAAGGGACTTGGGAGGCAGAGATGGAGGGTCCTTGATAGCTCTAAGACCAGCTTAGCCTGACGCCCAAGGTTGTCCTTTGACCTATGCTAACTCACACACATGTACACTCACACACACTCATACACATGTACACTCACACATACACACCACACATGCACACTTACACACATACACACCACACACATGCACACTCACACACATCACACACATGCACACACACACTCATACACATGCACACTCACACACATGCACACTCACACACTCATACACATGCACACTCACACATATCACACACATCACACACATGCACACTCACACACATATCACACACATGCGCACTCACACACACACTCATACACATGTACACTCACACACATATAATCATACTCACACACATATCACACACACACAAGATTACATAGAGAAAAACATTCCAGGGCTGTCATCAGGACACAGCCTGTGAGTCAGGGCAGGAAGGCCGGGCCCAGGCTTCCCACCTTCCTGTCTCTAGCAGGAGAACAGATGCATGTGAAATCCACGGTCTTCTTCCTGTTCGCCCTCCCTGCCTCCCTCCCTCTCTCTCCCTCTCTCCCTCCCTCTCCCCTCCCTTTCTTGAAGTAGCCCAAACCACCCTAAACTCACGGTCCTGATCTTCCTCCTCGGCTGAGATAGTAGGTGGGCAGCACATTCCTGGGCCCACAGAAACCATTCTGAGTGGCTGGAGAGAGGTCTCAGTGGTTGAGAGCACCTATTACTCTTGCAGAGGACCTGAGTTCAGTTCCCAGTACTCACATTAGGTGGCTCACAACCATCTGTAGCTCCATTTCCAGGGATCCGGTGTCTCTGCTCTCCACAGGGACTTACACTGATGTCACATACCACCCCTCTCACAGACACACAAATACCCATAATTAAAAATAGTCAAAACTAATCTTTCATAAAAAGAAATATCTCTAAGAAAAAATCACTCTCTATAAGCCAGATATGGTGGCTGATGCCTGTAATCCCAGCACTTGGGAGGTTGAGGCAGGGAGATTGCCTGAAATTGTGGTCTCCTTGGGATACATAATAAGTCTGAGTTAAAGGCCAGCTTAGGCTATACAGTGAGATCTTTCCTCAAACAAAACAATATTGTTCTCCACCACATCAATGACTTCATCACAAATCTAAATATTAAATAGGAACTTTTTTTAGTATCTTTCTCTTGTAACTTCCCCGAACCATCCTCGGGGACTGTTTTTGCAAACTGATACATTAATAAAGCACTAGTAATTAATTTTGCCCTATTATTTCTCCTCTGGAAAAGTTAAGAAATGTAGAGACCCAAGGATGTTACAGAAGTAAGAGCAGAGCTGTGGGTCCCTCACAGCTAACCCTCCTGAGAGGCAGGTCAGGGCTCCCCATATGCTCACCGCATGTCAGGAGTTTGCACTCAAAAGTTTTGCACCCAGTAACTGACTCTAGGTTTCCAGAAGCATCACAGCACATTTTAAGGAGCAGATTTAGAAAAGAGAGGCCAACATGAATATGTGATATGCAGACAGGCCCTGTCAATGGTCCCAGACGCCAGCATCCTTCTCTTTAAGACTGATTAGCTCCTGGGATAAGGTGTGTACCTAGGTCCACACCCTCAAGTGTCATGTGATTGTCTGGCTCTCCAATGAGCCAGCTTCTCCACCATGCTTGTCCTTGTCAGTGGTGACAGCTCTCCTGTTATGTTCCCTTCTTGTGGCCCCAGGACCTTAGCATTCAGAGAGCACAGTTTCACTGGAAACCAGACAGGTACTTTCCAAAGCTTTGTGTAGACAACCGAGGTTTTACATGCATAAATAATACTGAGACTAAAACATGATGATTCTGTGGGGTATGGTGGTGTGTGTCTTTCATCCCGGCTAGGTAGAGGCAGGCAGATAGATCTCTGAGTTCCAAGCCAGCCAGTGCTACACAGTGAGTCCCTGTCTATAAATAAATAAATAATCAGCTAATCAATCTAAGGCTGGTTATGGTGGCTCACATTTACAGTGCCAGCACTCGTCACACTGGTCTACATAACAAGTTGCAAGCCATCTGGAGCTACTTATTGAGATCCTGTCTCAAAAAAAAAAAAAAAATCCCAAACAAAACAAAAACTACCAAAAAACAAAACAACAAAAAAACCCACAAAGCTGGGCAGCGGTGGCACACACCTTTAATCCCATCATTCAGGAGGCAGAGGCAGGCAGATCTCTGAGTTTGTGGCCAGTCTGGTTTACAAAGCAAGTTTCTGGACAGCTAGGGCTACACAGAGAAACCCTGTCTGGGAAAACCAAACAAACAAATAGTAGGTGTATTATATAGTTTCAATTTTCCTTGTTTTTCAAGACAGGGTTTCTCTGTATAACAGCCCTGGCTGTCCTGGAACTCTCTTTGTAGACCAGGCTGAACTCAAACTCACAGAGATCTCTCTGCCTCTGCCTGGCCCAGTTTTCATAGTTTTTAAGCACAGCACAAGATCCGGTTAATTCAGCATTCCAGAAAGAACAGAAGTTACTCAGAGCCCATCTGACAGGCAGCAAAGCCAGGCATAGCAGTATGTCCCTGTGATCCCAGCACTAGAAGGCTAAGGCAGGCAGACGACAGGTTGGAGGCCCACGTGGGCTATACAGCAAGAATGACTCTCTCTCATACACACAACTGACGGGGCCAGGATCCTATGCAGATGTCCTTGGCCTTTTCAGTTTCCTGTAACGTGGCTGTCTTCTTCCATGATCCTATCCACGACAATGTCAACTGCCTCCATGTCCACTGCCCAACCCTGGAGAGCTGCATCCTGGAGCCTGGGACCAGTGCCATTCTGTATAACATAACAGCAGGTAAGGATGCCATCTAGAAAGCCTTTGCAAGACAGTGCTCGCAGCACTTCAGCCTGGCAACACCAGGCTGTTGGTTTCCAGCGCCCCCTGTCTGGAGATGCTTTGGCCATCCAGAACAGAAAAAGTGAAAGATTTCCTTGTTGGGCACATTTGGCAGCAATCCCTTCCGGAAGGCAGGCCATGCACAAGTGGACACGAGCACGAGCTGTGTAATTGGATTGGGAACTCAGCAAGAGCTACGTAGGCATTTCTACTGAAATGGCTGGGAGTGCTGCTCAGAAGCTAAGTGCTCACAGGTTGCCTGAGGCTGGGGACACTGGAATAGGGGTCCTGCAGTGTGGAAATCAAGGACCAGGGAGCTCCCCTGGTGGACAACAGCATCTTACAGGTCCCTAGATGGTCACCGCCTTGAGAGAGACCTGTCTCATGAAAGAGGTAGATGTCTCTGACCAACACCGGAGGCCTCTTCTCATCTCCACGTGTGCTCCTCCGCACGCCAGTGTGTTCACACACACTCACACAGAGACACGCATGCATGCATGCACACACGCACATAGAACTGCTTCCACATAAGGTCCATAAGAGGAAGCTATAGAAAGTGAGAGACCAGGCAGAGGTAGGCAAGGAACTCTGAGCCATCAACAGGACCAGGACAGTAGAAATCCTGACCTGGCCACAGAGATGGGGACACTGGGAGCCGCGGTGGAAATATGCCTCCAAGAGAGCAGAGTCATGTCTTCAGATTAACTTTATCGGAGGCAGACGGAGGGGGCACAGTGTTGCACTGTTGGTCCCAGCACTCTAACTACAAAGATAGAAGCATCACTAGTTCAAGGCTAGCCTGGGCTAGATAATGAGGCCCCAACTCAACAGCAAAAAGAAATAAGGAGTCAACAAAGGCATCGAATGAGAAAACACTGCAATTAAAGAGTTACACATGATCACCTCGGTCTGGGTGGCTATCACTCAGGATGTAGGCGAGACACCTAGTGAGGGAAGCGTCACGAAGATGGGAGTTACCTGGACCTTGGAAAGATCCACTGGGAGTGTGTGTGGTGGGATGGACCCCGGGGGCTCCTCACTTAGCCACACTCCCTACCCTTAGTTACCTTTTAAGGGCAGAATCAGCTCTACTGAGCTTAGCCCAGGATGATGAGTGGTGGGGCTGGGGGAAGGCTCAGCGACGACGCTGCCAGGTGTGCCCAGGTGAGGTGTCTGACAGAACACTGGGAAAACAAGCTCAATGCGTGAAAAAGGAAGACAGGGCAACACATACTCGGTGCCGTCAGCCGGTGTGGACAGCTATGGAATCCTGTGTGTGTGTGTGTGTGTGTGTGTGAGGGTCGGGGAAGGGAAGAGGGACTGGAGACTAAGGATGGTGGTGGTCTAGTTTGCTTTCCGTTGCAGTGTTCAACACCACACCAAAATCGGCGTGTAGTGTTTGGATGGTATAAGTGTCCTTCAGAGGCTTGGTGTTTGAGTTCCCCGTCCGTCAGTGGTGCTCCAGGACAGGACAGCCTTGCTAGAGGAAGCCTATTAATGACTGACTGCGATGAGACAGCCTTGCCTGACTTCCAGATTTGTTTTTTTGTTTTGGTTTGGTTTGGTTTTTGGTTTTTGAGACAGGGTTTCTCTGTGGCTTTGGAGGCTGTCCTGGAACTAGCTCTTGTAGACCAGGCTGGTCTCGAACTCACAGAGATCCACCTGCCTCTGCCTCCCAAGTGCTGGGATTAAAGGCGTGCACCACCACCTCCCGACCTGCCTAACTTCGTTTGCGCTGTTTCATGCTTGCATTTGAAGAGCTGAGCTCTCTGTTTCCTGCAAGACAGGGTTTCTCTGTGTAGCCCTGGTTGTCCTGGATCTCACTTTGTAGACCAAGCTGTCCTCAAACTCACAGAGGTCCTCCTGCCTCTGCGACATGGCCAAAAGGGACTTCCGGAAAGAGTTTATTATGGCTTCTGGTTCCAGAAGTAAGTGTGCATCATGACTGGCATGGCCTCCTGAGTACTGGGATTAAGAGTGTGAGCCACCACCACCATGTGACAATTTTGTGACTCCCATTTCACAACTCACCACCATCAGGGGAAGTCAGGGCAGAACTTGAGACAGGGACATTTAACAGCCTCTTCTCATTTGTCCCTAGGCCTGAGCCCAGCTAGCTTTCTATACAGCCTGGGCCCGCAGTGGCTAAGCCCCTCCTCCATCAACCACTAGTCAAATAGCATCCGGCAGATATCCCACATGCGGACTTGATAGAGGTTAATTCCTCAGTGGTATTAGCTGCACTGAGAAGTTCCCTCTTCCCAGGAGGCTCTAGCTGACAATGGAAACTAGCCAAGAAGATGGGGACACGGAGACTACAAGTCAGCCAAAGTCTAAAGGGAGGGAGGCAGTCTGGGTGGACTGGCAGGAAGACAAGAGGAGGGTCCCACAGTGCTAAGGAAAACTGACGGGACGCAGATGACCAGGAAGTCAGAAGTCACTGTCTCCGAAGCTTACTTTAACAAAATGATGAGGGATGAAACATCACAGTGGCCAAAGTTGGGGTGGGGGGTGCTCAGACAGACAGACAGACAGCGCTCCCTGGCAGAGAAACTGGAAAGCTTTAGACTGTTGTTCCCTTCCCCCTGAAGACAAGTGTTGGGGCATTCCTAACAAAAAAGGAGTGAGAAGACACAAAACCCAAGCAGAGAGGCTGCTGGCTTTGTTCCCAATTTCAAAGGGCCCCTTCCCTGGCTGTTTCACTTATTTTAAAGTGGTGTATGGTATTCCCCACGGCTGCTGGCAGCGCGGGAACCCTGGCACAAAGCCTTCTTAGTAGGCAAAGCTTTCTTCTTGGTACAGCCATATTTGTCCATAGCAGAGAGTGTCCCGGGACAGTGGATAAACTTGGCCCTGCTCTGAACCTCAGGAGTCTGTCGGGTAGAACTGGGATCTGGCTCAGCCTAGGGACCCAGTACGGTAAATTCTCCTGGCTTCCAGGCTGTGCCTCAGGTTGCCTCACTGAAACCACACCTAATGCACTATAAATACGTTTGTGAAATTTTCAAATAAATAAAAAGTATCCTGTTTTTTAAAAAAAGATAAAGGAACAATTTCATTTATCTTTCAGGCATAGATCCCGATTTGCTGGTTTTTGAGCATTCAGCCCCCACATATCTAAACACCCGCTCCTCATCTGAATGGTGGGATAGACTCCGGATTCTGAAAGCTCTGAAGGCAGGCAATGAGGGGCTGCACACAGATGGGACAAAGCACACGCTGCCATCCACAGAGACTGCTGTGTCAACCACACATCAAGATCTGGGTACAAACGCAGGTATCAGTCATTCCAGGAAGTCACCCACGGATTTGGAGATCCGATCTATTTCTGTGAATGCGTCCACTGCTACCAAGGTCAACACGGTGTCACCAAGCACAGACTTCACCCGTAGTCCAGATAACATGACCATTTCTCCTTTCTTTGGACCCACAGACACAAAAGTCTCTCAGGTGCCCAGCCAGTCCCGACTCAACATTAGCAAACAACTACTGAACAAAACCAAGGCGTCCCAGGGTGGCAATCACACGTCTGAGAAGGGGTCCCAGGGTGGCAATCACACGTCTGAGAAGGAAGCACCTCAGGATGGAGCTCTGGTGACTGCGGGGTCCTGGCTGGCTTCTGTGACCCTGGGAGCTGCCATCGTCTGCCTCTGCTGCTGTGTGGTCATCGGGGCATCCAGATGCTTCGGAGAGCAGCAGGGCTGGTATCGCCTGGGACAGCGGGGTCAGGATAACACACGGAAAGGGAGGTCCTAAAGGCCGGCAGGAACCAGGTTACAGGCTTTGAGTGTGTTGTCAGCTTTCTGCAAGAATACAGCATTTTCACTAAAGAAAATAATAAAGCTATCTCAGAAAACCAAGTCCTACCAAATGGCCAAGACTTGGTCAAATTGTCCTCTTTCCTGGTCATTTCCATTTCCTGAATTGACAGAGAGGGAAGGCGAAGGGAGGGAGAGGGAAGGAAGGAGAGGGGGCCACACACTGGATGTGATCCCAGCACTCTGAAGATGGAGGCAGGATCAGAAGTGAGTTTAAGGCCAGCCTGGGCTACATGAGACCCCGTCTTTAAAAGAAAATGGATGCGAGAGGGGAAAGGGGAGGAAAGAGGGCAGGCAGGTTGCCTGGCTCCAAAGCCAATGCTCAGTAGCTGTCATAATGCGATAGAACTGGTCTCAGGTTTGGAAAAATGACCTCTCGCATGGACTTAGCCGTAAGCAAACGCTTCCGGCTTTCTAGGGTCAACTGATTAATGCTCCAGTCCCTGGGACCACAGGGCGAAAGGAGAACAAACTCCACGAGAGAACTGTGGCACGCACGCATGTGTGTGCATACACACACATACACACTAATAAATGTAACAGAATAGCCACCATGACTAAAAATGAAACAAAAAAATTAAAGAAAAAAAGTGACTAAAAGAACACTGTTACTTCAGAGGCTAAACAGTTAAAAGATGTTTCTCTTTCCCCAGTGTTGACACTGGGTAGAAAGTAGCAATTTCTTTTAATATATATATATATATCTGTATCTATCTATATATATATATATAGATATATTGACGAGAGAGATGGTTCAGCAGGTCAAAGTGTCTGCCTGACCCCCGGCTTTCAGACACCCACAGTAGAAGAACCACCTCCCAAAACGCTGTTGTCTGACCTCCACCCACACCCTAGCAAGCCCCAGCAAACAAGCAAACATACATGCACAAACACTCACATTTACATGTACACATGCGTGCATTCACACATACACACACCTAGGCCTGTGCACACACACACACACACATTCACAGATATAAAAAAATCCACAGCGGAGTATCAAGCCAAAAAAATGACTTAAAAACTTAATTTACCTTGACTTGTTCATGATTCTAAATATTAGGCTTCGTTAATTCTGTCAACTTCTTTGCTAATACATTATGACGTTCCACATTAATCGTGGGAAGTGTAATTTACTTAAAAACTCTTTCAAGAGAAGTCAAGCCACGCAACAAGGCTCACACGGGAGGTTTACTGAAGAGGAAAGAGAAGGGCATAGACGGGTCCCTGAGGCAAGAGTGGCAGGAGAGAGAGCGGGAAAGAGAGAGAAAAAGAGAGGGAGAGAGACAGAGAGAGAGAGAGATGGGAGATGGGCAAGGCCCACCTTTTAAGAGGGAACACAGTCAATGTGCACAGGTGGTGCTCTCAGTGGCTTCAGCTAAGGGTGAATCCTGTCAGGACTCAATGGGCAGGCCAGTACAGATGCCTCAATACCAACAGGAAGAATATCCAGATTTAAATTATCATAATCTTTATTCAACCATGTATGAGGTAGCACTGCTGGGATTCTTACCCACAAAAATTGAATTTAAAGAAGTAACTCAAGGAACTGTCTACAGATTATTTGAAAAGTCTTTTATTGTATTGAGACAGGGTTTCTCTGTGTAGCCCTGGCTGTCCTGGAACTCACTCTGTAGACCAGGCTGCTCCAACTCAGAGATCCTCCTGCCTGCTGGCATTAAAGGCGTGCACCACCACTGCCCCGCCCCCATTTTTGCTGTTTTAAGTCTTGATATATAACAGAGTATGACCTTGGCCTCCTAATCTATCAAGTGCTGACACTAAGGCATGTGTCGGCATGCCCAGCTCCAAATGTGCTTTTACTTCACATGCATTGCTTAGGGATTTTCCAGGACAGGAGAGGTACAAAGAGATGTCCCTCCTGGGGTTTCTCACACGACACTGAAGAATCTCATAGAAATGACCGTTTTTACCTTTGTAAGGAAACAAATACACTCAACCCTCCTTCAGATGAGAGGCAATGAAGACCAGACAGGCAAGGGGCAAACACAGAAGGCTGAAAATACAGCTACACTCCAGACATTCCTCTCTGATGGCAGCCTGAACCCTCCCTCAGGTCATCCTGAACTGGCCAAACAGTTAAGACTGTCCTCACTTCTGACCCAAATGCAGGTTTCAGTGTTTACAAAACCACCCCGAGGCTGGGAAACTTTAGAATTCAGGGCTCTGCCAGTTATCCTTCCGGTAAAGATACAGGTTAACATGGCCCAGAAGAGGGGGGGGCTGAGTCCAGGAAGCTCTGCATGCCAAGCCTCAAAGATTCCCTATTTTCAGTCAGGCCACACCTCTCTCCTGGGGTGACATTTTATGATCTAACAAGTAAAGCTTGCCTTAAGATCAGAATGCAAAGCCAGTCACACTAGTAAGCCAAGAGGTCAGGCAGTGGTGACACACACCTTTGATCCCAGCACTTGGGAGACAGAGGCCAGAGGCCAGAGGCGAGTTCAAGGCCACCCTGGGCTATAAGAGATTGAATCTGTTTAAAAGAGAAACAGAACTGACACAAAGGTGATCTCAGCACTTGGGATCCCCTGCCTTGAATGCCAGCACTATGGAGGTGGAGACAGGAAGTAATACGGCTGGGTGGAGAGAGGGATATAAGGGGGGGGGGGGCGGGACACGGACGGACACACTCACGGGACAGGATGTCCTTTTGGTCTGAGCATTGGTAGAGGTGAGAACTCTTTGGTAGCTGGCCACTTTGCTTCTCTGACCTTCAGCTTTAATCCCAATATCTGACTCTGAGGTTTTATTATTAAGAACAATTAGAATTTGTGCTATCCTCTCCCAATGTCACTGTGTAACAGCTGCACAGAAAGTCCAATCAATGTTCAAAGAGTTTTTTGTTGTTTTCTTGTTTTTTTCCCCCTTGAGACAGGATCTCCTGTAGGCTATGCTGGCCTTGGCTCTGCACATGCCAGGATTATAGCTACAGTCTACCATACCTGTCTATCCAAAGAATTTCCTTCTGTTAAGTGACATTTACAAGGCGGAGCAAACCTTGCACAAAGCTGGAGCAGGCGAGCAGCAAGTTTGCCTAGCTGCTGTCCACTGCAGAGTGCAGCCCTCTGTGAGGCTGGCTACTGAGGGCACTGAGGGCTTGGTCAGATGCTGGGCCAGGCTCCCTCAGTAACCAAAGTCATTGACCGAAAGCAAACACCAAAAGTGGAGACATGGCAGCTAACAAAACAACTAAGTTCATGTATGTAGAGGAGGACTAGAGGCACTGTGTGAAAACACTCCAGAACCAGGGAAACCACCACAGCCTGCCAGGAGGCGGCACAGCCCCCGAAGTAAGCCAGAGAGCCCCAAAAGCACACTGCAGTACACAGGAGTCAGAAAGGGGCAATGGTAACTGACATAAGACAATATTCTTAAATATTTTCCATTTATATCAAATCAGTGACTAAATACATCATAGAATTGATACAGCAGACACCTGGTTTAAATTTCATGCCAGATTTAACAGTCTCTTCACAGATTCTTTGTACTGAGAGAGGTTCTCCTCATTCTCGCCCTCATTCTTGAGTTGAACAATGCACTTCTGGTAGTCTTCAACCTCCTTGGTCCCCAGCAGCTCCTCCCTGCTCGGTGCCACACTGCTGCCATCCGAAGCTCTCATCTGCAGCAGGGTCTGGAGAACGTTTTTCTCTGAGGAGCTGTTTTCCCATACATACTCTTCCATGTCTTCCTCCGTCTTATTTTTTTCCCATTCTTCAGTTTTCTGTAAGAAAAAGAAAAGTTCAGTGTGGGCTAACTAATCCCAATGGGCCTGACTGCTGGCCTAGACGACAGTAAGAGCACACAGAGTTGGTATTTCCTGATGCCCAGCCTGGGTCTGCCAGCCGAGTCTGATGAGAGATGACGATGACCTATGGACAGCGACCATGTCACCTCAGCAGATGCCAGCTCAGTGGATCTCCTCCCCTGGGGCAGGTTGAGGGGTACAAGGCTTCCCCTTCGGGAATAGACTGAGCTTGTCGTTTCAATTTGTCCCGATGCCTGTGTCACTGATGTTGCTCCTACTTTCCCCCACTCCCAAGGGACACCCACCAGGACCCTGCAACACTTCATAACTAAGGGAAATGTTATCAGAGACAAAGTTCCTCTGCTAGCTGTTTTCTGGGGAAGAGAAGGCAGTGTGTTCAAGGTGCCGTCTACAGTATGCACTGACAGTCCTGTGAGGCGCTGTTGCCCATGGCCAGCCTCAGGAAGGGCTGCACTCTTCCATGGACACTCTGGCACACAAACTTCACTTATCAGAAAGCTCTCTTGCAGGCGGCTATTCTAAGGTACCAGAGGTGTCCCTCAGGTAGGCCTCTGCTCTCGCGCTGTCCTGGAGCAGAGAGTGGACAGGTCTGCTGGCCTGAGTCATAGAACACCAACATTTAAACTGTACGAGCTGAGCTGCCCACTCTGGCCTCAAACTCCCTGTGTAGCTTCAGACGGCCTTGAACTTCTGATCTCCCTGTTTCTGCCTCCCAGGTATGTGAAGCCACCCCACTGACACCTCACATTCTAAAGTTTAAAATAATGAATTGATACAGGTATTGTCTTTCTAACGTGGGAATGACAGGAAGATAAAGCACCATGACAGTTAAACCAGGAAGTGAGGAACACATCTGGATGTTTTGATTGACAGAGGAAATCAGAAGTGGGGGACATACATGGATACACAGTTTTTGCCTTTGTCATGACAGCTTCATAGCCTCCACGATGCTCTGCTGATATTTTTGTTTCTGTTCCTGTATTAATAGTGCTGGTGCTGTGTCACTGCGTCACCTCAGGCACACCGCAGTGCACCGGAGAGGCTGCTTATCAATGGCAAGAAGGTATAGCAGGCCAGGTGTGGCTGTGCATACCTTGATCCCCATGCTCAGGAGGGAAGTGAGATAGGCCAGCCAAGGCTACATAGTGAGACCACATCTAAAATAACAACAGAAGCTACTCTACCACCCCCGAGACGTTGTCAAGGATACAAAGCAGTATATTTTTCACGAAGCTCATCACTTTGGAATAGTCTGTATTCAAGAAGCACAAATAGAAAATCTTACAAAAGCACAAATCTCACTGTCCCTTCCTTAACTTCTTTTTCTGGCCTTGAACAAGCAAACTTGTATCAGGTGCCTCAATGCTGTGATTCGAGTGTGTGACATCCCACCTAGCTACAACTCTACTATAAGACAAGATGTAGCAGGTCACAGCACGCCAGGCTCACAGCCCCGCCCCAGCAGCTACACCCCAGATTACAGAATCCACGAGGACTACAGGAATGTGAACTCCTGGCTGCAAGAGCACGGAAAGGGTCTGTCTGAAAACTCATGGCCACTTTCTTCCTTGGAACATTTTCTGATTCTGTTCGCTTTATTGAGAGGGACTGACACTAATGTACAAGCCAGGGCTTGTAAGCCAGGCCAGAATTTGGGAAGCTACATAAAGAATTGGCTTCAGTTCTGGGATGCTCACATATCTCTCTCACACACACACACACACACACACACACACACACACACACACACACACACTCACTCACACACACTCACACACACACTCACACACACTCACACACACACTCACTCACACACTCACACACACACTCACACACACACACTCACACACACACTCTTCCTCCTCTACTTGCCTGACCACAACCTCGGAAGCAGCAACTTTCCATTCCATGGGATCCTGTTTACCTTCCCAGTTGGCCCCATCATCCATTCAATAAATTTTATGAGCCAACTGCTGTGCCAGGCACTGTGCTCTCTGGAGGCTTGATGGTGTGCAGTGCCGGCTGCGGGGAGCAGAGTCCCAGCTCCAGCTGAGCGTGGAGCAAGTGACCGGGGCCAGGCAGAAGGCTGCTAGGACAGTCACTCCACACACACACTGTTTTAGGTTCTGACACTATTAACTCACTGACCCCTCACATAGCCCTGTGAGTAACAGCTATTATCATCTGTTTTACAGACCAGGAAACTCAAGCCCAGTGCAATTAAATCATTTGCCCCAAACCACAATAGGCCCTGTGGTGGAACAGCTTGTTCTAAGGAACACCGAGACCTGGTGAGAAGAATCTCAGAGCAAAGGGACAACTTGACTGTTTGAACCTAATATCCTTCTCCTGTGTAAGCACAAAATTTAATACACAGAACATACTATCCAGTTAATGCAAGGTCAGCACACTCTGCAGTGACAGAGCTAACTGCTTCCTACACACACACATCTGCCACCTCCTACCACTGTGCACGTACAACTCTCTTTGACCAGGAATGAATCATAGTAACATTCCACCATTCATGGTTACAAGGGTGCTGCTGTTCTCCATGAGGGAAAACAGCTTAACCATTTAAAAAAAGAAAAGGAAAACAACAACAACAAAACGATGCTGGCAAGATGGCTCAGTAGGTGAAGGTACTTGCTGCCAAGCCAAGCCTGATGACCTGAGTTCAATCCCTGGGACCCATGTGGAAGGAAAGAACTGACTCACACAGTTTGTCCTTTGACTTCCATGGAGAACTATGACATGTGTGCCCCTCCTCCCAAACACACATAAAATAAACACTGTAATTTATATAGCTATAAAACAGGAAATTTGAAAAAAAATTTAATAGACAAGAAGTAAACAAACAAACCAAAAAAAAAAAAAAATCCTGCCAATTATTCCAGCTGCCAAGGCTAAACTTTAACTGCACATGTCAAGGAGTTCAAGTCAATCTGGACTAGTTTTAAAAGCAATTCACGGAGCATCATGTGTCATCTAGTATTGTACTGAATGCTGGGGAACAGAGGAGTGAAATACTGTCCTTGCCCACTGTAGGTGGACTTTCTGTCAGGACTGCCAGTTCCCCAGCAATGACAGAGACATAGTGATTATAAAAGCTTGGCCATAGCTTAGGCTTGTTACTAACTAGCTCTTACAACTTAAATTAACCCATTTAAAAACATATGAAGGCCTGGGGGGAAAAGGATAGAGAAAGTCCTTAAAAAAGAAATCGAATGGCCCAGCACTCTGGAGGCAGCAGAGGCAGGCAGATGTCTCTGACTTCAAGGCCAGCCTGGTCTACAGAATGAGTCTCATGACACTAGATATACAGAGAAATGCTGTTTCAAAAAACAAAAAATAACAACAAAAGGCAGAGTAATAAAGCCACATAAAGATGGGAAATACACAGACAGTCTGGATGTCGGATGTTACTGTGTTGTCTTTAAACTGACTGCTGAGGAAGGAGCAACAGCTGCTAACAGACATTGGATTATAAATGCTGCTGGATTAATCCAACTTATATATTTAAAAAATGCCTTGACTTCAAAATCTAAGGACAGGTTACTTTGGAAAAGAGGTTCTGCTTTTGTTTCCACGGAAGATGAAAAGCTGTGGATTCCTTCCGGACTGATAAGGTTTGATCAAACATGACCCCTGAAGCAGTGGCCCAGGTGATGCAACATCTAAGACAGCTGGGATGCAGCAGCCTCACAGACCACTACAGCCAGGATTTGGCCAGGGGTCTGGGTTTTCTCAGGGTCCCCTTGGGACTGACAGCCCCCAAAAGGCAGGAAGCAGTTTGGAGAGAACTATGCCCAAATTCCCAAATACTGTTTATAAATGTTTGTTTTTATTTAAGTGGGATTGGTTTTAAATGGTAAATGGTCATACTCAATCTCTCTAAAAAAAAAGGGGGAGTGGATACAATACAAGAATGAATACTTTGGATTGGTGTGGATTTTGGTTTATTGATACAAATTTAAGGTCAATTTTGTTATATGAATATTTATACTCTTATTTAGGTATTGTGTTTATACAGCTCTTTAAAAATGTAATGTATACTTAAATACAGATTATATATAGTCACCTATAATAGTTAAAACTTAGTCATGTTAGTTATGTTTTCTCAGTATACAGAGACATATTTCAAATGGATATTCTTCAAAACCTTTCAAAGACCTACAGAATATGGCATTTTAAATGGTTTATTAAGAGTTTTTCGGGGCTGGAGAGATAGCTCAGCGGTTAAGAACATTGACTGCTCTTCCAAAGGTCCTGAGTTCAATTCCCAGCAACCACATGGTGGCTCTCAATCACTTTGAATGAGATCCGGTGCCCTCTGCTGGCATGAAGGCAGAACACTGTATAGACTGTATACGTAATAAATAAATAGAGTTTTTCATGACAATGAGACACGTCTCCTGGCAGCACCGATTATGTCAGGGAGGAAGATGGGCGTCAAAGAAACTCGTTGTGGAGTTTGCCTTCAACATGGCAGGATGGCCATTTGGACAAGAAACTGCTCTTGCCCAGACTCCTTGACAGCATGCTGTCCAAACTGAATAAACATGTTACAAAGAAAAATGACTACTGAACTTGCCAAGGAACAAGATGGCCCTGCTTCATCAAAAAGTCTGCCAGACATTCTGGGCCTATAGGCTGAAGATGGATGCCCCAATGTTACAGAGGAACTTTGGGTGACTGTCCAGGCAGCTAGATGTCTTGTGTCAATTCTAGAGTTTATATATTATCCTTCTGGGGTCTTTGATGGAGTTGAAGACAGATAGTTATAGTTTTCCTTAGTTATGATAAAAGGTAAGTTACATATAAAACTGTAGATTCACAAAGACAGGATAGACGATAGAATATTTTCTTAAAATTTTGCCAAATGTTAGTGGACTAAATATTGTGAACTATAGTTCTTGCTTGGTAACTATTTTGTTATATATAATTTTACTATGTTAAAGTTAAAACCTTCCTTTTAGTTTAGACAGAAAAGAGATGATGGGGGATATCCTTCTGTGTGCTGTGAATGTATGTTTCTCTTATTGGTTGATGGATAAAGCTGTTTCAGTCAATGGACAGGCAGGATTTAGCCGGGTGGGAAATCCAAACAGATAAAGGTAGGAGGTGGAGTCAGAGAAACATCATGTAGCTACCAGGAAGGTAGGACTCTCTGGTAAGATAAGGCCATGTAGAGATACAAAGATTAATATTTGGGTTAGTAATTAAGAGAGTGCTAACCAGTAAGAAGCCTGAGCAGTAGACCAAACAGTTTATAATTTATATAAGCCTCTGTGTGTTTATTTGGGACTGAAGGGTTGCGGGAACTGAACACTAGGCAATTATCTGACCTGCAGCATGTCTTGCTCCCTCTGCACATCCCGGCAACCCCACCTTTCTTCTTCCCAGCCTCTTCTGTGTCTGGCTGTCCCTCCTATACCTCCTGCCCAGCTAATGGTCATTTAGCTTTTTATTACACCAATCCCAGTGACGTATCTTCACACGTTGTAAAGGGTTATTCCACACCAGGCCACAGTGAGGCAGACGTGTGCACAGGCACTCACCACACAGAATGTCCACTGAGGAAGAGAGGAAAGTGACAGGAAGCATCCAGGGTGGCGCCACCCTTGTATTAAAGGTCTCACACACCTGAATGTGGCCAACAGAGGACACAGGCAAAGTCATGATGCATGGGCACTGTGGTGGCTTCATACCCTGGCTAACTAGGGCACACAGCCTAAATTCCCAAGGGGCCAGTAATCAGGAGGCACGCCGCTATGAAGGGTACACTACAGAGCCAGACTTGATATGAAGCGTGGGAAGCCCAGGGTACTCTGCCGGCGCATGAGACGATGACAGAATGGGAAGCCATGATGGGCCAGTCAGGAGGACGCAACAGTGATTCAGGTGAAGGACAAGGAGGTCTTTACTGGGGCAGCGCAGCAGACATTTCAATCAGAACAGGGAAGATCTGCTGATGTACTGGATAAAGGAGGAGAAGAATGGATTAACTCAGAGGTTTTATTTCAGCCCCGGGAGGGAAGGAGAAGCAGGGCTCAGCTTAGCAAGCAGTGTAGGAAAGGTCCTGCCTTAGGCAACACTGCTGCTCCCTCCTGATGTCCAAATTCCTTGTGACACACGTCTCTAACCTCTTGCCCACACTGTGACTATGCTCTTAGCCCTGACACTAGTCAGACTCAAACACTGTCTTCAGAGATGCTAACTTTCTAATCCGTCTCCTTACTAGCAATTAGCGATAATTATCAGGCAGGGATCTTCATCAGAGGTGCTGCAGAGCCGGAGTCCACAGAAACTGCAGGACTCTACAGGTGAGGCTGACACTACCTCACTGGCCGGCAGCGGTTACACAAGCAACTCTGCAAAGACAGACAAACAGCAGCACAAGTCAGGTCTTATTCCAGCTGATTCCTGAATGTTCTGGAAGTCAGAGCTGAACAAGACTAAAGAACACACTGCTGTGACAGAACAGACTCAGCTGCAGTTCAGGGCCATGTTCCTCTGCTAATAATGCCAGTGACCTTGGGCACTTCTGCATAAGAAACAGAGGCTTCGATAAAACAGCTTGATGCCCGTGACTCTCAGCATTAGTGCTATGTAAAAAGGGTGGCCCACACTAAAGGCTCTGTGCTAAAACAGAAAAAAAAAAAAAAAAATTGCTTTGAAACACTTTCAACACAGGGAGCTGCTCCTCTGCCACTTCCTGACTTCTTTTGCCAGCCCAAGGGGTTCCCTGGAAACAGTGGGGTTGATGGGAGGGGGTTAGGTAAGAGGGAGAGGACTTGGGGAGTACGCATATCCCCTTTCCGTCCCAACCAACAGTGGAACTGATTGAGAAGAAGCTGACGGTGAGCCCAACACCTAGGACAGGAAATCACAGCCGAGCACCAGGGCTCTGCTTTTGGGAGCCCGGGAAACGGCAGGCTCCCCTGAGGAACAGGCGTGTAGTCAGAAGGTATGAAAGCACCACAGCCAGCTCATGCCTTTTGCCACAGGATCAACTTCGTACTGGCTTCTCATGCCAAGCCAAGGGCTGTGCTGAGGCAGGGAGACCCCAGCCCTGACCCTGAGAGAGAAGGGCGGCAAGCAACAGCCCGTCAGCAGCCTTCTTTGTGTGTATGCCTCCATCCCAACATAGACTCTTCGTCGTTATGGGAAGTGTTCACAGTAAGGTCCCTTACAGTGGCCTGTCTCAATGAGTTTAATAAAACGACCTAACTTAAGGTTGAGGTTGTAGTTCAGTGAGCGGAAGGCTCTGGCTTGCTCCCAACACCTCACACAAACACCAACTTAGAGATGTCAGGGTTTTTAAACTCAGGTGTTTTTGGCAAGAAGACCCAAAGTTGTGACCCCTAGGGAAAGAGCCAGCCTAGGGAAAGAAAGAGACAGTCATAGAGCACTTACTCACCTAGCTTTCAGGAAGCCCCACACTCAATGCCCAGTATTAAAATACAAAGTTGTAGTAAGGTGAAATCCAAACAAGACCCACATTCAATCTGCTAAAAAGGAGCCTTGGCAGCAGTTCATGTCAGCACCCAAGGGCCTCTGGTGCCGGCTCCCAGCCTCCAAACCTCACCCTGACCCTGCGCTGGCACTCAGTCTGCCTCTAGGCAAGTCCTTCAGTCTTCCTTCCCTTGTGGAGAGCTCACAAACACCACACTGCACAGGGGAACAGCAGGTTCTTCAGCCAGTAAGACTGTGAGCAGATATAAATTACATGCTCTACCCTGACTTCAGTATACAGAACTCTGCCAGGTTAGATGTAAGGCTGTTCACAGGAATTCAAAATAAATGTACTTGAAATTCTAAAAAGAAATTTCACTTAGTATTTTTAACTGATTACTGTAGTTACTGAGAGTTCATAAATTGCTAGATATTATAAACACTTCCCTCTGCTCAGAAGGAAACACAGTGTCAACACCTAGATGGCTTACACACAGCCTTCAATGCTAAGAACAATGACCCATGCAGGAAGTTACATGACCAAGGCTAGAACCCAAGTCTGCATGGCTCCACATGCCGAAGGCTGACTCACAGCACATCAGTCTGAAACACTAACACAAGTTTAGCACGTCTGGGTCTAGCCAACATTCATCACTCATTACTGCCAGGACTCAAAGATGCTGGCCTCCAGTCCTGAAGCCATGCTTTGTGACGTCTAAACCAGCTGACGATGACTGACACTGCTATAGTTAACTTGTTTTGATGGCTATACAACATTCTTATGCTAAAGACTAGGTGAACACTTTTCCAGAAGTAACCTCCAAAGAAACTAAAAAGCCAAGGGACTTGTCTGCACACTAGGTGTTCAGAGGCTAGCCTATTGAAAAAGAGCGTGGACTGGGCAGCGGCTCCAAACGCTGGACCAAACACAGTGTGGCAATGTAAGTTTCAAGTATGAATTCCAAGCTGGTGAAGGAAAAAAAGAATTCAATTTAGCAAAACCCTGTCCTAGAGCCCTGCAAAGCTCTAAGCTCATTGGTACCTCACAGTGTCTTCACTGATGCTGCCTGTTCAGCAATTTTAATATAGGAATTCTTTAATTACAGCTGTTTAAGACAGTTATATGTGGCCACTTACTCTGGCATCAAAGTAATTGGTATGAAAGATGAAAGGCTTCTTGCATGAATCCAGAATACAGCCTTACTGGATTCTATGTCACAGAATCACAGAAAGAATCCCGTAAGTCAACTTTCACTGAATTTATTGGTGCCTGTCATTTCCTCTGGGCGAATTCACTTTACAGGCAGCTGGCAAGTAAGAGACTCTAAACTGGCTGGTTTTTATTGTTTGTTATTAACTCTTTCGACAGCAGCTATGAACCTGCAGCTAATTCAAACATGTTCTTGATTCAAAGAGAACTTAAAATTATCCCAAGCCAACGGCAGTTCTCAACCAATTGACAGGAAAGATTATTAACTGCTGCCATGGCCACATTCCCAAAGCCAGGGTATAAAGCACAGTTGAATCATGGCAGAGAACCCTGCAGAAGAAAGGAGCCTGAGGCTAGGTTTTGTCACTAATCTTGAAATACAGCTTTGTTGTCCTTCCACTCGCCACTCACTTGTGTTGAGCTGAGCACTGTTAGAACAACGAAACGTCATGAGCAGCCTGGATAGAGCTGCCTGTACTCACCAATCATCCCTGAGGGCTGCCACTAACACACAGAGAGATGCTTCCGTCCTGGGTCCCCACTAAGGATCAAGGCACAGAACCACAGGCCACTGAGAAGCCACCATTATCTCTGAATGAATGTATTAGAAAGCCCTCATTCAGTTCCAACCTCCTGTATCTCTAAGAGCAGAGCAGAGCGGCACAGGCCTGTAAGGCCAGCACTAAGGAGCCTGAGGCAGGAACAGTCCTGGGACTGGCCAAATGAACCACCTTACAATCTCCACACACTTGCAGTACATCACACACACCCTTGCCACACACAGCACTCTGAAAAGTTAGCCTCGCACGCGTGCGCGTGCACACACACACACACACACACACACACACACACACACACACACACACACACTTCAAACTGGACAAGACTCATGGTATAGGACTGTGAGGAGATACAGCGCATAGTCATAGTTCTGCCTCTTGAGAGGGCATCTTTAAAGAGAACAGAATGGTCAAAGTTTCAGCATACAGGTAATTTGTAAGACATTCTAAAGACAACAGGTAGCAGACTTTGAATTTTATCTGCCTTAGGAAAATTCTGTGCTTAGAATATTCAGGATAGCTGGACTTGGAAGCACACATGCAAGGCAGCAGTAGGTGCATCTCTGTGAGTTTGAGGCCATCCTGGTCTACACAGTGAGTTCTAGGCCAGTCATGATGGCATAGTTGGGGGAGGGAGGATGGGGAGGGAGGGGAAAGGAGGGGAGAGGGAGCATCTTAGCTTTAGGCTACTTTAAAGGTGACATGCCCAAGCCAAGTTCTCTTTACCATCTCAGTGCTTAGAGCCAGGAGGACAGCACAAGCTTAACTAAGGAATCCACTGAAAACGCAGGACGGACAGACCAGGCTGGAGAAACAGCTCAGTCGGTAAGAGCACTGGCTGCTGGTGCAGAGGCCCTGGGTTAAGGTCCCAGTGCTCACAGGCAGTTCACAAAGCCATTTGTAATTTTAGTTCCAGGTGACCTCATGTGCCCCTCTGGCCTCCTTAGACCCTGCACGCACATGGTATACATACACACACATGCAGGCAAAACATTCATATTCTTAAAACAGAAATAAATCTTTTTTTTTTTTTAAAGCAAATGCTGACTCTTTCAAAAGTGAGCTGTACTATATGTCTACTGCTGCTATTTTAAAACTGAACTAACCTTCCAATACTAAGTAAAACTTACCATGAGAATTGCTTTTAGGGTAGTAAGATAGAAAAAAGTAACAACTGCCTCCAATCTCATTAAAATATAAAATAGAAGCATCATGTGGCTTATTAAAGTCTTTTAACTCTACATAGTTGCTAGCATAAACCATGTAACTAGATAAATGACAGGCACCATGTAACCAGATAAATGACAGGCACCATTATCAACAGAAAAAAACAGCATCATCAGATGATACACATGCATACACAAATGCAGAGGCGCACACACACACACACACACACACACACACACACACACACACACACACACACACACTATCTCTCTCTCTCTCTCTCTCTCTCTTCTTTCCCTCTCTTTACAGACACATACACACAGAGACACACACAGAGACACACAGACACAGACACATACATACACAGATACATACACACACAGATACATACATACACACATACAGACACACACAGAGAGAGACATACACACAGATACATACACACACAGACACACACACACAGAGACACACACACAGATACATACACACAGAGAGACACACACACACAGAGACACACACAGACACACACACAGATACATACACACACACAAACACATACACACACACAGACACACACAAACAAGCCCACACACAAACACAGAGGTACAGACACAAACAGAGGGACACACACGCACACACTTTACAACACTAGTCCACAAGGCTCCACTCACCTGTCTGTGGTGATTGTGAGCACATCAGTGGTCTTGCAGTACCGATCTCCTACAAGTTTAATAAGTTTCTTCTTTGCATGGTTGTCTAAATTCAAACTTGAAAGTTTAACCTTAAAAATACAAGAAAAAATATGCAAAAAATCATATAATTGCTTAATCAAGAAAAGCAAGCACTGCTATTCAAATCAACACTGAACTCAGGAAAACAAAACTACCCCAACTTCTGTGTGTGAAGTTAGCAGTCAGCAAAGCGCACAGCCTGATCTCACGTCCCCACTGGATGGATACAAGTTTACGAGAAGCATTAAAGAATAAACTCCATCACTGTCACAAGAGTCTGCTCAACAGCACAGACCCAAGCACCCAGCCACTCCACCTTGAGCCCAGGTTACTGCATCACTGCAACTGGTTGAAAATGGCACCCTAACCTGTAAGAGCTCCTGGAGGCTTAAACATCACACCAGGGAACGATCAACATTCTTCAGAAGCTAATATTGGCCCACAGGCTGTTAGGGACTTGTCTTGCAGGCTGGCAAAGTGCTGAGTGGCATAAAGCCCTGACTACCAGGCCTGGCGACCAGAGCTGGATCATCAGACCCCACACGGTAGAAAGAGAAAACTGACCACCACACGAGGGCATAAACACAGACACACACACACACACACACACACACACACACACACACACACACACACACAGACACACACACACACACACAGGAATGAATACAACTTTTAGAAAGGCTGTGGGGGTCTCCTAGAAAAAAGTCCTCTCCCTCATCCCATCACCCCCTTTTTCCTGAACTGGGATTAAACTACGTCTGGCACACATCAGGCAAGCACTGGGCCACTTAGATATGTTCCCAGCTCAGAACCTTCTCCATTCTTTAAAGGGTGATTCTGCAGCTTAGTGGTGGAGTGTCTGTCTAGCACGTGCACAAGATCTTGGGTACAATCCCCAGCAATGCAAACAGACAAATGCTATTTCTACTGGATATACTTAGGATACATAGAGTTTAATCTGGTTGTTTCTGTTTGTTGAGATAGAACCTAGGTAAATGGTGGCCTCTGACTTAAGATTCTCATGCACAGCCAGCCTCTTCAGTGCTGAGATCACAGACAGGCCTGTGCCAGCCAGCCCATCTCTACACTGGACTTTTTACAGTGTATTTCTTAGAGCATTTTGGAGTTTTAAGATGTAGTTATACTTTCCATGGAATTAGTCTTCCTGGAGACTACACTGGGAAATACTGGACTGAATGAGAACTCTTTAGTTCTCAGAGAACTGTGTCAAGCATTACAGTATTAACTAGAGACAGGTAAGTCTGACACTAGAATATACTTCAATAAAATATTATCACCCCATTTTTTATTATAATACAGTATCTAACATTGAGTAGCTTTATAAAAAAAACAAGGTTGATTCATGTAGAATTCTGGGGGTGCAAGGGCATGCATGCCACTGGCCCTATAGGGGACAGGGAGCCAAGAGAGCAGCTCAGGCTTAGCTCCCTGAAGAACTGATCCAGGTCTCACAAGAACTACTTAATCCTCCCCAAGGGGAACTCCCACAGGCCCCAGCTCATCACTGCCCCATTGAGCACCAAGCTCCCAAAACACCAGTCTTCAGAGACAGGCGGCAACCATACGACGTCATAGCAAGCATGGTTTCTCCCTTTCTCTGGGAGGCTTCAGGAGTAAGAACAAACTGAAACCCCATGAGGAAGAAAAGGGACTCTGAGACTCCTCTTCGTTTAATAACCCCGTGCCTCTCTTGGGACCCCAGAGCACAGCGCTTATTCACACCCCCCCCCCATTTCTCATCCAATCACAAACCTCCGAGGGTGAGAACAATGTCTGCTTTGTCCTTGGCAACGGTGTAGGAAAGCATTTGGTAAATTAGTAAATAAAGTTTAAACAGAAAGGAACTGAGTCATGGTACAAGCCCACCATCCCAGCAGTTAGGAGGACCCCAAACTCAAGACATCTGGGTTACACAGTAAGACTGACCCTGTCTCAGAAAACAACTCACTATCACATTCTTCTGCAGGCAGTGAGAACCAGCGACGCCTTCTGGGGAGAGTGCACATCAATAAGCAGGCTATTAGCTTGATAAATAAGCAATTCATTCTGTGATAACTGACTGATAACTGATGAAATATATACATGAACACAGCAAGCTGAAGTCCTGCATAACAATCCAATGTATGTACATATATCTATGCACAGTGACAACACACAGTAAAAGGAATGTCTTTTATATTAGTGTCTATGAGGATATACCCTAACAGGGTATATGAGGTATACCTTAATAAGAATATAGTGATTTTTCTTTTTAAACATCTTTTTAAATTGTAACATTAAACAATATTTTAAATTCCAATTTTTATGCCGATGTTCAAAAAAGTGGCAGCGATGTTGATTATTATTGCAATCACTGTTTCAAAACTCATATTCACATTAATAGTTTATATAGAAAGATTTTAGCCAGACACTCAGAAGCTCTTCAGAAGTGGCTGTGTGGCACACTCACGCCACCTGCTAGCCCGTAAGGGCACTGCAGACTCATCTTTGAGCTGGACCAACACTCTTGACTTCAAGGCCGAGTGCCAGTCATAGACTCTCTTCACAAACATGTTTTACAAGCTGCTGTTTCCACACAGTCTTGTGCTATTAACATTATCCCCAACAATGCTGCCATTTCCAAACACAGGAGGCTGTAGTGAGATGCGGTAGTCTCAAACGCCTACATATTAACACAAGAACTGCACAATACTGAGGAGTGTGTGAGTACATAAAATGTCTCCATATATGCAGAACAAACGTGACAGAACTGTGGTGTCACACATAAGAACTGAGGCGTCCACGTTTGCCATTTGCTCTGTAACTGCCAGTTACTTTATCTCCCAGAAAGACTCGGTTTTCTCAGGACAACTTAATTCACAGGATTTTTGCAGAAACATATGAGATTAACAGAGGAGAGCACTTTTAAAAGTAAAGCCTTTACAAACAAAGAGTCTCTAATTCTAAACAACGTCTATGATTACTGAGCAGAACATAAATGCCTATTTCATTTGGTAGATTAGAGGCCAGAGAAGTGTCTATGCAAGTGTAAAGTCTTACATGGAGATCCCCAGCAGCCACTGACGTTATCAGGGGATCCCCAAGCAGGCTGGCTAGACTAGCTACACTGACAAGCTTTGGATTGAAATGAGAGGTACTGCCTTAATTAATGAGGTAGAGATTAATCCATAGGATTCCCACACATACTAACATAAGCATGCACTCAGCACTCACACACACATGAGCCCACAAACACACAAACAAGCATACATACATGCATATCTACCCACACAGAGAGATAAGCACACACACACACACACACACACACACACACACACACACACACACACACACGCACACACACACACGCATGCACATAGAGAAAAACAACCATGCATGTACACACACAAAAACAAGCATATACACATGCACACATACACATGAACACACACCACAAACACACATACATACATAAAGTGTACACACACATTCACAGAAAAATCGGCACACGTATATGTTGACATGCCACACACACACACACAAATATGATCCTTCTAAACACTACTGCTGAGGTTTGAATCAACTGTGCCATGGGCTCATGTGTTTGAATACTTTGTCCCCAGGTGGCCATGCTGTATTGACATTTTGGAACCTTTGGGAAATAGGGTCTGGCTGGAGGAATCAGGGAGCTGGGACAATGGCCCCCATGCTACGGCCTGGCTCCACTTCCAGGCCAAGCTCTCTGCTTGCAGATTCAGAGATATAAGCAAGCTGCCCCCACACTCCTGCCATCTTGGACAGGGGCATTCCTGCTGCCACGCTCTCCCCACCATGTAACAGCTAGCAAGATAAATCTGCCCTAAACTTTGTGTCTCAGAAATAAGAAAGCAACTGTATTACAGAATTTGTTTTCCTTCACTTTCACTGCACTGCTTTAGTTTAATCCCCAGACTTCATGAAAGCGTGGAAGGAGAGAACCACCTCCACAGAACAAAACTAATGACTGTTTAGTAATAGTTATCGATGTTTATGCCCATGAAATACAATGATCAGATTACAAAGCACACGCAACACCATCCCACGGAACACACAACGTGGCATGAGCAGTAAAACAGGCATTTGTTTAACAATCACAATCACATACAAAATGCACTTACAATGTATGTAAGGGCAGCCGCCATGTTTAAAATGTTCTTACCCTTAATGTTACCACTCGTGCTTTGGGGTTTCGAACCGATGGTCCTGATGACACATAGTCAGCTGTATCAACCTCAATTGGAAAATGCTCCTCACATTTCTCATCAGTGTCTAGTGCAGCCGGCCACTCAGTGCAGAAATCTGAGAAGATACAAAGTTACCTAAGTGATTCCTAGTATAACAAGGGCTAGCAAACAGTCCTTGCATTCTGTGGAGTCACACCAGTGCAAGCACAGGCTCTCCTCTGCATGCCACTATTCCTCATCCCTTCTTCTGTGGTCCATCCTAGCCTAGCCCCCAGCACCAAAAGTGAGTACACTGCCTGATGGATGTGTCAGACTCTGCCAGTAGCTGCTGTTTGACTCCTCTCTCCCAATAAAAGGCAGCCAGCTCGGGGCCCAGAGTCTATCTACTGCCTGTGAACAGCAAGGAGCAATGCTAATTCATTCCCAAATCAGCATCACCAGAGAAGATCATCAGAAGGAGCTGAGATCCCTGAAGGAGCTAAGTCCTGTCAACACTCTTCCAGAAACTGACCGACACCATCGCAAGAGGGCCCTAACACTAACCCCTGCTCTCCCACGTGACCCCGATGAGCCAGCAAATAAAATGGAAAACACAAACATTTTGTCCTCATGTTCAGGCAAGCCCCTCCAGACAGAAGGCAGGCCTGGGTCTGAGACCTAGACCACAGTAATTTTCCAAGAACATGTGGACAGGGCACTCTCGTTCCCAATTTGTTCATGGGGAGTAGCTGGCAGCTTCCCACAGTTGTTAGTATCTGATTTCACATTGGCCACTCCCTCAAGTCTGTGTGGAAGAGGGTTTTCAGCTGAGGATGAAGACTTCTCACACTGGGGACTCCTCTCAGTCCGTGAAGAGCCTCACCCGAAGAACAACTGAGAGTAATCGGTTCCTTGGGTTATAAATGGTAGACCTCACAGGCCTAGGCTTCCTCCTACAAAGTGCCTTGTGAGAGAAGCTGGTCATCACTGTGGACAGATAACCTGGGGGACACTGGGGCCCTGCTCCTGTGACATTTCCCCAGGCTAACAATTTCCCAACAGTGGTACTTTATCTTCCTTTATACTTGGTCAGCATCAGTAAAACGTCACTGTGAGTTACAAAGATTCTCTCACTTCAGTGCCTTGTGCTGAGGCAGCAGGAGGTCATGAATTCAAGGCCACCCTGGGCTACACGGGGAGTGCCTGCCAGACTGAGCTACCCTGCAAGACCCTGATTCAAACAAAACAAAACAAAATTCCCACAAAACAACAACAAACCCCTAGCGCCTGTGTTTGAGGGAGGAAGGCATCACTGAAATGGAGACTATTTTGATGTGAAGAAGAGAAGCCAGCAGGGCAAGACTGACCACCATATCCACCGTGGGCTCAGTGGCCTGTACCATGCTGCAGGCCGCCACACATTCATAAGAGACCAGTTTGCCGACTTTTAGTCTTGCACAGAGTATATTTTTCTTTTAAACTACAAATAAGTCATTTCAATCACCAGATGATAATTACAGTTTTTACATTAAATTACCTAAGATATGTGTCCAAAAAACACAGCCGAGTGGAAAGCACATAATAGACCCCATTAGCGTCTCATCTAATAGGTCCCACAGTGTGGGTCGATGTCAAAGAGCCTTGGCTTTTATTTCACGTCGACACTGATTATTCAAGCCTTGGTAAATTACTGACTTCCCTGCATTTCACATTTTCCACTTGCTAGTTAGATATAGAGTCTGAAGTGACTTCCTTTGAAAGGAAACTGAGAAGCGATGCTGAAAACCTTGGGTCTTCTGGAAGATGCGATCACAAGCCAGAGATGGCAGAATACGATTAAGGAAATATGAAAATGCTCTTTACGCTGTGGGAAACAGGGCTGCCCTCCTGCATGAGCTGTACAGGAGCCAGAGAACTCCTGTATTAAAACAGTTGCTAGAATACAAGCACATTTAAAAACAATGTTTAAAAAAGAAAAATGGGATCGGCAAGACTCATTGAGTGGGATGCTTGCTCCCCTGGCTGACTACTTGAGCTTGATCCCAGGGACCCACAAGTGGAAGGAGAACACTGATTCCCATGCGTTTCCCTGACCTCCATATGCACACCATGGCAAGCACATGCCCTGACACATGCAAACACGCACACACACATGTGCACGCACACACGCACGCACACACAGAATTTTTAAAGAATGTAATTTTAAAACTACTTTTTTTAAATTAAAAAGGTGAAAAATACCATTTTTCATGTATGTAGGAATGTATTTGTTAACTAGCTTTTACAAGATAAAAAAACAGAATTCAATCTGTGTCAAGTAGGACATCAATTTGGAACAGTTGTCACTTTGAAAATGTTGTAGATTTTGTTCTTTTCCTAAAAGTTGAAACGAGTACTCTCACACCAACAGAGTGCTTCTGATAGGATAATCAGGGAACACTAGGAGGCCATCCAAAGAAACTAACTCTTCAACTACAGAATACCCAACAGCTTTGGACAAGGAAAGAACTCAAAGGTGCTTATCCCATATATAAGCATGAGCGCACATACACACACACACACACACACGCACGCACGCACGCACGCACGCACGCACGCACGCACGCACGCACGCACGCACGCACGCACGCACGCACGCACGCACGCACGCACGCACGCACGCACGCACGCACGCACGCACGCACGCACGCACGCACGCACGCACGCACGCACGCACGCACGCACGCACGCACGCACGCGCACACACACACACACGCGCACACACACACACACAACTACATGAAAACTCTGAGATACCATCTTACTCCTGTCAGAATGGCTAAAATCAAAAACAATGACAGTTTATGCTGGAGAGGATGTGGGGAAAGAGGAACACTCCTGCTCTGCTGGTGGGAGTGCCAACTTGTACAGCCACTGTGGAAATCCGTATGGTGACTCCTCAAAAAAATGGGAATCAGTCTACTACAAGATCCAGCAATTCTACTCCTAGGCATATACCCAAAAGAAGCCCATTCATGTAACAAGAGCATCTGTTCAACCATGTTCGCAGCAACATTGTTTGTAACAGCCAGAACCTGGAAGCAACTTAGATGCCCCTCAACCGAAGAATGGATAGAGAAAACATGGTACATTTACACAATGGAGTACTACTCAGCAGAAAATAGACGGACGACAATGGAATCTTGAAATTCGCAGGCAAATGGATGGAACTAGAAGAAACCATCCTGAGTGAGGTAACCCAGGCACAAAAAGACAAACATGGTATGTACTCACTCATATATGAATTTTAGACATAGAGCAACGGATTATCACACAATCCACACTGCCAGAGAAGCTAGGAAAAAAGGAGGACCCTAAGAGAGACATACAAGGTCCCCCAGAGAAGAGGAAAGGGACAAGATCTCCTGAGCTAATTGGGAGCATGGGAGGAGGGGAGAGGGAGCTAGAAGAAAGAGAAGGGGAGAAGAGGAAGGGAGAGGAGGACATGAGAGATTTAGTCAGGGGAAGAATTGAGGACAGCAAGAAAAGAGATACCATAATATAGGGAGCCATTATACGTTTAAAGAGAGATCTGTCACTAGGGAAATGTTCAGAGATCTACGAGTTTGACCCCAACTAACAATCTAAGCAGTGGCTGAGAGGCTACCTTAAATGCCCTTCTCCAATAATGAGATTGATGACTACCTTATATGCCATCCCAGAGCCTTCGTCCAGTAGCTGATGGAAGCAGAAGCAGAGACCCCCAGCTAAATACTGAGCTGAACTCTGGATTCCAGTTGCAGAGAGGGAGGAATGATGAGCAAAAGGGTCAGAACCAGATTGGAGAAACCCACAGAAACAGCTGACCTGAACAAGGGGGAGTCATGGACCCCAGACTGACAGCTGGGAAACTAGCATAGTTTCCTGAGTGAGGATGTCAGTTTGGAGGTCTGGGCAATCTATGGGGCCTCTGGTAGTGGATCAGTATTTATCCCTAGTACATGAATGAACTTTGGGAGCCCATTCCACACAGAGGGATGCTCTCTCAATCTAGACACACTGGGGAGGGTCTAAGCCCTGCTCTAAATGATAGGACAGACTTTGAAGATCCCCCATGGAAGGCCTTGCCCTCCCTGGGGAGCAGAAAGGGGTTGGGATGGAGGCGTGGGGTGGGGGTGGGGGAACTGGTGAGCTGGTGGTGCTGCTTTGGGAGTCTGGTGAACCTCTAGGAGGTTGGGCGCAGCTGGAGGAAATTGGTGTGGGGTTATGTCTCTATTTCCTGATCTGCTAAGACAGTAAGCCACTGTACACTCCAGCTTTGTCAGCCAGGAGCCCACAGCCACACCTTCCCCCTCGACAGATTAGAACTCCCCAAACTGTGAACCCAAACCAATCCTCCTGTAAATTGTTTCAGTCGGATACTCTGTCATAGTGACAAGAAAAGTACAGTGATCTATGTGGGAAGGAGAAGAACATATAAGCAATGCCCAGGGAGCAACAAGGCTGCTCCAAGTCAGCAGATCTGGAACAACAGCAGGGCCATGCTCCTGCAGCTACTTCTGTTACTTACTTGCACAGCACACAAAAGCACATACTGTAAGTACAAATACACTCTGTCCTCTGGAAGCAGCTACAAGAGCTAAGTAATGAATAAAAGATTTTTCTAGGAGAGGCAGGGATGAAAAAGCAGGAGACGCCTACTATTTGATTAAACACATACACGCATTTAAGTTGTTAATATTTTAAAACAATCAATCAGACCAAATCTGTAATGGTAGAAATCTGGAGGCAGAGGCAGGAAGATCACTACAAGGTGGAGGCCAGTTTGTTTTATAGAGCAAGTTTCAGATTAACCTGGGTTACACAGCAAGACCCTGACTCAAACAAACACATTTTGCTGTGTGGTATCCCATTGCTGACCCCAAGGCTGCTCTGCTACTAAGCATCATCCTGCACTCTTAAGTCTGAGTCTCGCTCACTTGAATCTATTGCTAAAGCTGCAGTGTTCTCTCCAGGCTACACAAGTTCTTTCTCTAACTCAACAGTAAGGGCTGAACCCACCTACAAGCAAGAATCAAGCAGGTACACTATCGAGTCCAGTGTGGGGTGCCTGGGCAGAGCTGTTGTTAGGGGTGTCCTGGAGGCCTTGAAAGCAGCACAAACAGTTGCCACCGTCCTTTGTTATCCATCAGAACTTGACAGTGAGACTCTATTGCCGAAGACAATGTGGTCACAGGACACAAAGAAGTCAAGCTGGTACTGATCAGGAGGCTTCCTCCCCACTGGCTAGTTGACATAATTCTGAAGTTGCTATGCAGGCTGCTGGGGGCAAAAGAATCATCAAGGGTCTCCCACAGCTATGAACCACAAGCTACAACAACAAATGATATAGCAGGATGTGCCCATGTGTGCAACAGTGACACAGATAGTATGCAGGCAATCAATCAGGAGGAAACACATGCCCAATACTGCAAACCTGGTCAAGAACCCACAAGTAGGAGGCACACGGGCCCCGGGTGTGGCCATGCTAACTCTCTAAACATATCTATACCCACAGATTTGGGCAGCTCTAGGCCCACATCACAGCAGGGGACAGTGGTGAATTTGAAATTTACAACTGGCTAAAGAGTTTGGGATGCTCAACAACAAATGAGACATCTCCATTACCACCCCCCAAGGCTTGGGGACCATCACAGAAGAGGGGAGTGGAAAACTGTAGCTGTGCTCCTGAACTCTCAGTAGCCGTGGCTGCCCACACAAGACCACTCGAGTCACAGAGTAGGGAGGGGTTTCACCAGTCCCCATCCCCAGATGAGGAGCTACTGGTGGCTGACATCCTCTTGGAGAGGGAGATCAGATTTTCTTACTCCTACTAGGTCAACACATGCTACAGTGGACGGCCCCACACCCATGAGTGTATATATGGGCAGAACAAAATGGACTTAGTGGGATATGTATGGAAATTTCAAAAACAATGTGTTTTTTAAATTATATACTTTCACATTTGAACCCATTTTATGTAGGATGACCAAGAATGTGACACAATGTATCAACTCAGTTTTTGAATAAATGTGCTGACCTGAAGGACAGTATTTTAGGAGAGGTTCACTGTGGCTTCTTACATTCATTTAACTTCTACAAACATATTAGTCCACTCCAGTGAAAAAGGCAGTACACACTACAAACACAACGGCACCATCAAAAACAAGCAACTCTGAGCCTCACATTCTTACAGTGACACTGGCCATCTGCTGTGATTGCTGTAACAAAAAGCTGAATGGCCAACAGCCAGGCAGAAGAGATAGGCAGGACTTCTGGTCAGAGACTGCTGGGAAGAAGAAAGGCGGAGTAACAACAAGACTTGGAGGAAGCAGGACGGACAGACAGAGTAAAGGTAACCGAGCCACATAAAAGAATGTGGATTAAAAGCTATGGGTTAAGTTATAAGAACCAGTTAGGAAGAAGCTTAAGCTAAAGTGGAGCTTTCACAATTAATAAGTCTCTTTGTCATTATTTGTGTACTGGTGGCCCAAAGGAAAATCCATCTACAATCTGCGTTTGCTATTGAGTATTTATTAAATATTCACAATGGTGTTTATTTTTAAATGTAAATGAAACTAAGGTAACAGAGTCTACCATCTGGCAATTTGAGAAAAAATTATGGCTTCCCTTTGTTTTTTGTTTCTTTTTGTCTTGTCTGTTAGTTTTTTGTTTGTTTGTTTTGTTTTTTGTTTTTCTTTTGACACTCTGTTTGCCCATTCTCTTGGCTGGGTCTACTGACCTCCAGAACTACAGTGTGCATAACTACACCTTGGTTTCAACCTCTATTTTCGATGAGTTTATAGTGCTCAGCAAAAATTATTTAAGAAGGGCTAAGAGGTGGTTCTGCAGTTACAAGTACTGGCTGCTCTTCCAGAGGAAGGACCTAGGTTTGGTTCCCAGTACTCAATCAGTGCTGGCTGACAACCATGTACAACTCGGTCCAGGGGATTAGACACTCTGTTCTGGGCTTCTTGGACACTAGGGATGCACATGAATCACAAATATGCATACGGTAAAGCACGTGCAAGTAGTGATCACAACAACAAACACCAACTGCCTATACACAGCATCTTAAACTACTTATGACTATTTGTTTAATGCAAGAGGCAGGGGGATGGTGCCTTCCTGGAGTACTACCCCGTAAGGCTTTGGTAGGAGTACTATTAATTTCAGGCTAGCTTGGGCTACATAGCAATATCTGGGCTACCCAACAAAGAACAAGAGCCTCTCAACAAAACAAAACAAAAAGGAAAGAAACAGTGACTTAGAACATGAGGATCTATCTCCATAGACTCCAGAGTTTTCGCTATAAACCGGTCCTCAGTTCCCAGAAGGAAACATACCTTTTAGAGCTTCACAGTGCCTTTTGATCGCCACAGGAGTCAAATGCAGAAAATTCGGGATCTGAAATAGACATTTTAATAGGATAAATTACAGCCACATCTCCCCCACCCACCCCATTCTTTGTGAGCTGGAATCTCAATATATTTCCCAGATATTTTCAAACTCAGGTTCAAGTGACCGTCCTGCTTCAGCCTCATAAGTAGCTGGGACTACAGCTATGTATGCATCACCACACCAGCCATGTCATAGACACGTGAAGAGGATCTTCTTATAAACCAAACCACAGGCCCAGTACAGCATAAAAGTAAAATCTGACAGCTCTTGTACAGCATTAGTTCCAAGCAGTCAGTCAGGAAGTAGATTCTGCCTGATTCAGTTCAGATACATCAGAGTCAGGTGGCATACATGTTTCATTTTACATGTCTCACAAGACAGCATCATATTAAAAAGTAAACACCACTTTCCCAGTATTCTTTATGCCATGTGTCTCCAGTATCCACGTGCAAGTCCACTGTAAAACTAAAGGCATGCAGGGTGTGTTAGCTCACACTTGTAATTCCAGTACTCAGGGAGCCTGAGGCAGGAAGACTGTGAAGACAAGGTCACCCTGGGCTACACAACAAGACAGTCTCAAAAGTCAAAAAAGCAATAATAATTTTGAAAGCACGTAAGGAAAGCAATCTGTCAATCACCCAATTCTCCAAGAAACCTGGTATATTACTTTTGCTTTGCACACAATAAGCACTTTATCAACTGAATGAACAAAGCTACCAAATCTCGACTACATAGTTGATTATATTTATTTATTAATTTTTTCAGAAAGTCTCCTGTAGCCCAGGCTAGCCTGGAACCTGCTATGACTCCTGATCCTCAGCATGCCCCATCACACTCAGCTCCTAACTGACCAGTTTAATGAAGTTAGGATATGCACATTCATGCTGACACAGTGAGGCAAAAAGTCAAAATTTAGGAAAGGTGGAAGAGTTGATTCCTTTCAAACAAGTAACTTTTACCAGCCTAATTTTTTAAAGTGAATCTAAGGGTTATTTTATTTATTTATTTATTTAGGTTTTTCGAGACAGGGTTTCTCTGTGTAGCTTGTCGCTCTGGAGACCAGGCTGGCCTCGAACTCACAGAGATCCACCTGCCTCTGCCTCCAGAGTGCTGGGATTAAAGACGTGCGCCACCAACACCCGGCTAAGGGTTATTTTTTCAGTCTTATTTCTTTCTTTGTGCATGCATGTACACATGTGCACCGTGCATGCCTGGAACTGACGGAGTCAGGCGCTGGACCCTTGAGACAGGAGTTCCAGATGGCTGTGAGCGGTCAAGTCCTCTCAAGAGCAGTCAATGCTTCTGAGTGGTGAGCCATCTCCCCAGCCCCACCAGCATGACTTCTATAATGATGTAGCATTATAAAGCATGTAAAAAACAATCTATCTTAAAGAAACTCATTTGGAAAGAAAAATTAAAAAACATTAAGTTGCTCTAAAAACTATGTCAAGAATCTTGAATGTTGATCAGAAAATATTTACTTAAAATCCAGAGGTGAAAGAACTAAACACTGGATTACAGGATGGGTGGCCTTTTTTTGTTGCAGTTCTCTTACTTTTGAAACATAAAATGTAAACCTCAGGATCACAAAAGGAAAATGGTAACAGCTGATGCAGGTCAGGCAGTGAGCATGCTCAGTGACACCAGCCCAGGACAGGTGTCAGCACCGACAGGGATGGGACACTCCTCTGTCTGCTTGAAGTTCTATAATGGTGCTAAGCATGCAAAAGGTCTCTCCAGCCTTTATTCTGTCTGCCTGGAAATGCCCCCGGGGCAAGTCTCAACTACCCACTGTGGGGTGGGGTGCAGCACCCCTTGTCTTGTTCTGCCCCTCCTCTCTTTAACAGTTTTAGATCTCTAGCACTTGGGACATGGAAACAAGAGAGCAGAAGATACATGGTGCGTTTGAGGCCACTCTGGGCTATGATTCTCCTTAAAAATAGAAAATCAATTATCAGTTGGAATCTGCACTTTCTGATTCTCAGTGTCACTTTATTTTGCTCTCCTTAGTTCCACTTGAAGGACACAATAGGAAAGACCAGAGAAGGCACAGGATTGATCAATCTTTATTAAATGCCTATGGCTCTTTGAGTTTTCTTTACCTCAAACAGCATCCGTTATTACCCGAAAAAGGATCTGAAACACAGGAAGCTACTCTCTCCTGGACCCTTAACACCAAGGGTGGGGGTGGGTGGGGGATGAGCACCCACCTGCTGTGGAATAACCCTTTTGTACACCGTGAAAATGTGTTGCTCTTACTGGTTTAATAAGGAGCCAACTGGAAAGAGGCTGGACGGGAGAGCCAGACTGAGGGAGCATGGGGAAGGAGCCTGAGGTCGCCAGCAGACGCAGAGCGGGGAGAGATGAACAGGGTGTACTGAAAAAAGGTACCCCACATGGTAGAGCGCAGTTAGGAAATGTGGGTTAATTTAAGCTGAAAGAGCTAGCTAGTAACGAGCCTAAGTTATCGGCTGAGCATTTGTAATTAATAATAAGTCTCCGTGTGGTTATTTGGAGTGGGCTGGCAGGACAGAAAAGTCTGCCTACACCCACCCAGGAGCTGTCTGAGCCCCGCTCCAGCCACTTACCTTTAAAAGCTCTAGGTTCCCCTCCTTTGCCATGGGCACGCCCTTCTTTACTGGATACCCCATTCGAATGGGCAGAGGAACAGCAGAGGGTTTAAACGGCGCTGCGACAGGGTAAACACTGGGCCAGTCCTGGTCAACATCCATCTTCTCCGTCCTAGGAGGCAGAGCCTAAGAAACAGGAAATACTTACATTTTAAATGTAAACTCATTCTTCAATTTTAAGACAAAAGCTGTAACTAAGATACATAAAGCTCAACTATCCTACACAAGAATTGATTTCCAGGACTGTGAGGAACTGAGAAAAAGGCTTGCTGTGCACACCTGGCAAGCTGAACCTGCCCGAGAATCCACAAGGTGAAAGGAAAGAAGCAATTCGACAGAGTTGTCCTCTGACCACCACACTCCATCTGTGACACACAGCCCGAACACTACACACAACGACGAGTAAAACAGGCTGATTTCCAACAAATTTGTAGCTCAAGTAAAAAAACACTAACTCAGCATAAATATCTCTGTTCAGTTGCTTCAAACCATGACAAGCTTTCCTTTAATGTCACATTTCCTTCACGAGAATTAACAATTTCTTCATGAGGTTTATGGAGTATGTTTATGAAGTTTATAAAAACCTCAATGATGTAAACCCACACTTGAGGAAATGTTCAGAACTTGGAGACAGGGCTGGGGACGTGACTCAGTTGGTAGAATGGTGCTTAGCTCGCACAAAGCTCTGAACTGGACCTCAGCACTAGGTATGGTGGTGCATACCCATGACACCAGCACCTGGGAAGTGATCAGAAGCTCTAGGCCAGGGGCTGGAGAGATGGTTCAGCAGGTAAGAGCACCGTCTACTTTTTCAGAAGACCCAGGTTCAGATCCCAGCACCCGCACGGTGGCTCATGACTGTGTGTAACTCCAGCTGCAGACAGTCTGACAGCCTCTCATGGCCCTCTTGGACACCAGGCACACATGTACACATACACACAGGCTATATACATTTATACACACAAAGTAAAAATAAACATTTAAACTTTTTAAAAAAGTTCTAGGTCATATTCTTACAAAGCAAGTTTAAGGCCATCCTGGGCTACAGGACACCCTGCCTCAAAAGGAGGAGGAAAACAGTGGAGGGTTCGGGAAGGAGTAGGGAGGAACTTGAGAGTAGGGGAGGTAAGAGAATGCCAATATCTAGGGGCCAGTGAGACAGCTCAGCAGGTAAAGGTGCTTGCCACCAAGCCTGATGTCCTGAGCTCAATCCCTGGGACCCACATGGTAGAGAGAACTGACTCCTGAAAGTTGTTCTCTGGTCTTCATACACGTGCCACAACACACACACACACACACACACACACACACACACACACAGACAATTTTTTTAAAAATAAAGAGGAAGCACTTTGAGATAGATTAATCAAGGTTAAACAGATTTAAAAATGCACAATGTCTGCAAGCCAGAGATAATGACTAGAAAGCATAGTCAATCACATGAACACACCTGCATGCATTTGAAAGTGTTACGTACAAGGGGATGGCCTCCATATAAAGGTAGGGTTTCGGATTAGTGGTGTGGCTCATGGGTTGAGAGCCTTTACTATTTGTGCAAAGGATTCAAGTTCTGTCCCCAGCACCCACACCGGGGGCTCACAACCACCTGAAATTTCAGTTCCAGGGAGTTGATAGCCTCTTCTGGCTATACAAGCACCAGACATGTACATGGTGCACATAAACTCACACACACAAATACATGTGCATAAATAAAAAAATAAGTATTTTTCTAAAATTGGGCTTAGGCTGGCAAAATTTAGTAATGCCCTTCTAAATATCAGCATCAGGGCGATACATGCCCCAGAGTGAGTAAAGTTCCTCTGAAAATTACTGCTGTAGATGAGTACTGATGCTTGGGCCTTTGACCCCATGCTCATCACCTGACCCAAACTCCTAAAGATGCCCAGAGGAGAACATCTGTTGAGGCAGATGCATCCCTAACCCTGGAGCCATGGCCAGCCTGTATTCTGGCTCTGTACCTGTTTTCTGGGCATGCTGGGTGAGCCTGCCTCTTACAGCTTACGAAATCTTAGACTAACTACTAACAGGACTATGGCAGCTACCCAGAGACCCTTCAAAGCCCCCTCCGGCCATACCCTCTCTGCCTCACTTTAGGACTTCAGAAATCATATAGAGACAAGTAAATACATGTGTACCTTTCTTCTTAATGGCCGTTCACTTCTGGATGCCGAACCTAAAAGACAAAAACTTATGTATTTATTTTACATCAAGGAAGACAAAAATTTATAATGTATCATTGTTCAAAATCACTGGCCTGCAGTTCTAACACAGCTTAAGCCATTTAGTAATGTGAAAATGGAATAAACTATTTTCTTCAAGTTTAAAACAAAGAAATCCAGTAGCAACAAAGAAATCTGCCTTCCTTTTATATGAGAGGGTCTTACACTGCAGCCCTTAACTGGCTGCTATCCTCCTGCCTCAGTCTCCCCAGAGCTGAGATTACAGGTGTGAAACATCCACACTCAGCTAACAAAATACTTCCACTAATTTTAAGGTTTGTAGTACAGTAGGTTGATACTCTCAAATTAAAATACCTAGTTAGAGTTAAGCATTTTGAATCTTTTTTTTTTTTAAAGATTTTATTTATTATGTATACAACATTCTGCTTCCATGTATGACTGCACACCAGAAGAGGGCACCAGATTTCATAATGGAGGGTTGTGAGCCACCATGAGGTTGCTGGGAATTGAACTCAGGACCTCTGGAAGAGCAGTCAGTGCTCTTAACCTCTGAGCCATCTCTCCAGCCTCGTATTTTGAATCTTTAAAGGTAACTGATTTGAAATGTCCAATGACAAAAATTACCGATAACAAACTCATGAGCATAACATTTAAGTCACAGGACTGTAGAAGTAGATGGATCCCTTGCATACCAAAAGTACTTTTAACACAGCTTATTTTATGCATGCTTTAAGGAGTGCTTGCTGTGCTGTAGAAATAGCTACACTTACTAAGTACTTTTACACGCATATTCTCTGCTAAGATGACTTATTATCGCTTCCTTTAGCCTTTCTTATGACAAATACAAGTATTATTACTGTACTTTGTAGAGGCCACTTACATTCAAGAAACTCAAAGGACAAGAAATTAAGGTCACTGTAGCATAGCATACAAGATTTCTTGTGTTCTGGTCCACTGTCTCCAGCCTTACCTACAAGAGCTCCACAGCTGCAATGTGCTTTCTCAGTACCAGGCCTTTTAGTCATTCTCTCAACTCTGTTCTCTGCTTGGCCACACCTCCCTCATTTCTTCATCTGACATTTTTTGTTTGTTTTGTTTTGTTTTGTTTTTTTGAGACAGGGTTTCTCTGTGTAGCTTTGGAGCCTATCCTGGCACTCTCTCTGGAGACCAGGCTGGCCTCGAACTCACAGAGATCCACCTGCCTCTGCCTCCCGAGTGCTGGGATTAAAGGCGTGCGCCACCAACGCCCGGCCTTCTGACATATTTTTATTTATCCCACAACACTGACTCTTTCAAAAGTTCTACTGTTTATCACAAACTAGGAACACAGTAATGAATACAATACAGCTTTTGCTCTCAATATTGTTGCTAGCCTACAGATGGTCTGGCCCCCACTGCTGACGCCTGTGCTGCTGGCCTGCAGATGGTCTGTCATGGGCAGTCTTCACCTCTGTAACCATGAGAGCTAAGTCTCCTAGGGAATCCCTTTTCAGTTTATACACTTATCCTAACTAGGGTTTCTATTGAGGCAATGAAACATCAGGACCAAAGAGCAACTTAGGGAGGAAGTTTATTTGGCTTACACTTCCAAATCACCGTCCATCACTGAAAGAAGCCAGGACAAAAACTCAAACAAGGCAGGGACCTGGAGGCAGGAGCCAATGCAGAGGCCATGGAGGGTGCTGCTAACTGGCTTGCTCAGCCTGCTTTCTTATAGAACCCAAGATCATCAGCCCAGGGATGGGGCCACCCACATGAGCGTGGCCCTCCCCCAGCAATCACTGATTAAGACAGTGCCCTACAGCTGGATCTTATGGAGACATTTTCTCAATTGAGGCTCTCCCCTTTCAGGTGGCTCTGGTTTGTAACAAGCTGATATAAAACTACCCAGGACAATGCACTCCTTGTCAATTTGACAAACAAACATATCACTGTTAAGCCATAACCTTTCCTTTCTAGTTCATCCCCAAGATGACACATTAACATCAAAATCACAATATAAAACATTTACAGTCTTTACAAATTTAAACACTTTAAAATTCAGTCTCTTTGAAAGTCAAAGTTTCTTTTAAAACTTAAAATCTCTTTTAGAAGTCAGTCTCTCAGCTGGGGACTCCTGTAAAATCAAAAGCAAGTACTTTCCTACTTCAAGACGGAAGAACCAGGGCACAGTCACAACCCAAACAAAGCAAAACTAAATTCCCAAAACATAAACAACTCAATGTTCAATTGTGTGGGATTCACTCTGGATACTTGGTACCTGAGCTCTGACTGGGCAAAGCCCATGGTCCTGCAGTGGACTGTGGGCATTTGGAGTGTGCTTGCTTCAACTTCTCAGAGGAATTCCGTTTTCAATAATGGAACTACGAGTACTCCAAGATATTCTGAAGTAATACCCCTTGGTCAGAAGGTAAAGAGCTGTGGAAGAGCATTTAAGACAGCAGGAACTTTGTAGCAGTAACCCTTGGTCTCTGCTATGATGGGGCACTCTAATCCACTCTTCAGTGACACAGATAAGGAGTGCCTGCATCACACTGAGTCCCTCACACTTGCTATTGAGAAGCACGAATAAGGCTCAGCATCTGGCCACATCTGCATCAATCCACAGAACCCTGTGCTATAGAATAGCTTCCCAGTGACAGAAAGAGGGTGGGGGGTTTGGGGAAGGAGTGGGGGAGGGACAGAGAGAGAGAGAGAGAGAGAGAGAGAGAGAGAGAGAGAGAGATGTAAGGGGCCATTTTCCTGCATTATAATGATCGCACAATGTGGAAACCAGTAACCTGGAGCTCAGTATGGCTGACACCGAAGAAAGAACAGAGGGCAAGCTATTTAACGTGTGTCAACGACAAGGCAGGCTTGGCTAAGGCCTTGCTTTCCTCCTTCTCTCCAGTCCCTGCAGATGGTACTGACACTCACTCACTCAATGGCTGGGGGGAGACCTGTCAGGTGTGAGATTTACCCTCAAGGCTCCTATCGAATCCATCAATAGATGCCATTGCCTTTACCTTCAAAAAACTACACCCTGCACACCAAATCACTGTTACCATCGTCTCACTTGCAACACCAACAGCCTCCAAACCGACCTCCAGTCTTCCCCTGCTGAAGTTGAGTTCACCACACAGCTTGCCAGGGATCTTTCAGAAAAGAAAGCAAGCTTAGGTCTGTTCTAGGGTGATCCTCAACGTCCAACAAAACCTAAGCCCAAATCAAAGCCACATGACTCCAAACCCTTACAATTCAGACCATTACTCTAATTCTGGCATCTTGGACCACACTGGCCCCTTTACGCACATAGCGGGTCAGGGTGGCCCTCCTCCTCCTCCTCCTCCTCGTCCTTCATCGGTGCCTTTCTCTCAAACCTTCACAGGGCTGTTCGAATGTCTTTTCCTCTGAGGCCTCTCCTCACTATCTTACCCTGCCTGAGAAGTCCCTTCTTCAAGGGAACATCAATCACCCTGCCTTCTTATTCTTGGTGGCAATACATTTTATTGCAACTGTGCACTGTGTACACGCAGGGCGTGAGCCTCACTAGTTACGCCAGCCTCTGCCCATGGAAACCTGGAGACGGACGGGCCCCCAGGAAGTTCTCCCAAAACCACCTGTGGACGGATTTCCACCCAGGAAGGGGGAAGACGAGGCTGCGGAGAGAGGACCCTCAGGAGGGCGAGGGCGAGGGCGGGAGGACGGAGGCGTGGGCAGACGGGCCCTGCAGGAGAGGCCCCCCCCCCGCAGTGCTCCCCGCCCCCCACACGCGGCTCGCACGGGTAGGAAAGACCCGCACCCCTAAACTCACCGCTGGGACAGAGCAGGAGGCTCAGCTAGCTCCCTTAGGAAGAGACCATACCTGGGCATAGATGCTGGCTCTGTGACTGGGCTCCCCCATTCTTCCTCTGGGGAGCAGGGGGGGGGGGTGGGGCGCGGCCCGGCCGCCCCCCCCCCCCCCCCCCCTGCCGCTCTGTCCCGTTTGTGTTGTTGTTTGCAAAGCAATCGATGCTCCGAGCCGTCCCCTTCCCTTTTATTGTGTATTTTATGAGTATTGGCGTCGGCCGGCGTGTCTCAGCGTCACGTGCCCGTGTTGCCCGCAGCGGCCGGCAGGGGGCGTGGAATCGGGGCTGTTGTGAGCCGTGTGTGTGTGTGTGTGTGTGTGTGTGTGTGTGTGTGTGTGTGTGTGTGTGTGTGTGTGTGTGTGTGTGTGTGTGTGTGTGTGTCTGGTTGTCTGTGTGTCTGTGTGTCTGTGTGTCTGTGTGTGTGCGTGTGTGCGCGCTCGAGCCTGTGTGTGCGTGTGTGAGCATGTGTGCGTGCCTGTGTGAGCCTGTATGTGAGCATGTGTGTGCGCGCGCGCGCGCGTGTGTGTGAGCGTGTGTGCGTGTGTGCGCGCGAGCCTGTGTGTGCGTGTGTGTGAGCATGTGTGCGTGCCTGTGTGAGCCTGTATGTGAGCATGTGTGTGCGCGCGCGCGCGCGTGTGTGTGAGCGTGTGTGCGTGTGTGCGCGCGAGCCTGTGTGTGCGTGTGTGTGAGCATGTGTGCGTGCCTGTGTGAGCCTGTATGTGAGCATGTGTGTGCGCGCGCGCGCGCGTGTGTGTGAGCGTGTGTGCGTGTGTGCGCGCGAGCCTGTGTGTGCGTGTGTGTGAGCATGTGTGCGTGCCTGTGTGTGCGCGTGTGTGTGTGTGAGAGAGAGAGAGAGAGAGCCTGTGTGTGAGTGTGAACCTGTGAGTGTGAGCATGTGTCTGTGTGAGCCTGGGTGTGTGTGTGTAGCATGTGTGTGCGTGCCTGTGTGTGCGTGTGTGAGCATGTGTGTGCGTGAGCCTGTGTGCGGGTGTGAGAGAGCCTGTGTGTGTGAGCCTGTGAGTGTGTGGGCCTGTGTGTGTGTGTGAGCGTGTGTGTGTGTGCGCGTGTGAGAGAGAGAGAGAGCCTGTGTGTGAGCCTGGGTGTGTGTGTGAGAGAGAGCCTGGGTGTGTGAGCCTGTATGTGTGCGCGTGTTGTTTGCCCACACTAGCAGGAGAACTGGTGCTTTGGTTTTCTCCTTCCATGGATGGTGGAGGTTTTAATTCCCCGCAGCCATATGGTGACTAACAGCCATCTGCAATTCCAGTTTCCACAGGCACCAGGCATGCATGGGATGCACAGACGTACATGCAGAGGAAAACACCAATACATATAAAATAACAGGCAAATAAATATCCTTTAAAAAATGGGTCCCCACTGGGCATGGTAGGACTCACTGTTAATCCCAGCACCCAGTAGAGGCAAGTGGACCTCTGTTGGGGAGGCTAGCCTGGTCTACATAGTGAGTTCCAAGTCAGCCAGTGACACAAAGTGAGCCCATGTGTCAAAAGGAAAAAAACAAAACAAAACATGGGTCTCAATCTTGGTTTAAAACTACCTCAAGAGATTTTAAAAATACATCTTAGCCTCCTCATTCTATGGTGGTTAATTAATCTAGGTGTCTCTGGAGCATTACTTTTTGCCTTATCTGTATTTAGTTTGTTTGTTTCAATTAAAAAGCTTGTATATGTGCACATACGCACATCATTCACGGAGTCAGAATCAGCTCTCCCTTTTCACTTTTGAGTCCTAGGTATCAAACTCAAGTTGTCAGGCTCAGAAGCAAGGGCCTTTACCATGGATCCACCTTGCCTGCCCAACCTCTATTGTTGGTTTTTTTTTTGGGGGGGGGCACCCAGAATGTCAGAGGCAGGAGGATTGCAAACTCAAGGCTTGACTAGGCTACACATTATGCACTTAGATCATACCTCAAAAAGAATCCAGTACCAACTGAGCCATCTCACTGGCCTTTATGCCTTTCCCTAACAGAATCCTCAGCAATATCTAAAGATGCGCTGGAAAAAATACATACATATATTTACTGTGCCATCCACCATGAGATAGAAAACCCCCAAGAATGGGGACTTCATTCTTCGCATGGTTGGATTGACAGGGCATAAAACAGGCCTTTGTCCTGAAGAGACCAGCTTCCCATTTCGGCAGCCATTACAGCCTAGCACATGCTTGCCTGACCTTGCCTTGGTCACTAGGAGGTCAGATGCCTGCCTCGTGGCAAGGAACCAATCAGAAGTTAGCTGGTGGTGCTATGCTTTACCGCTGTGCTTTACAGATAAGTGCACAGCAATGACACGCAGAACATAGCAACCACCCTGGGAGGGCCTATGGACCATAACAACCAGTTGACCAATCAACACAGGGCAAACCCTCCAAGCCTGGAGCCACACCAATCCTGAGCCTGTGCGTACCCCTAGACACTCCCCTTACACTGTCCTATAAGATCTACATGCCATGGCTGGAGGCATCTTTCCTAGCCATCTGCCATGGTGGGTGGATGAAAGGCCCGAGCTAACATGGGGTTAGCTCATTAAACAACTACAATAAAGCCTCGTGCTTTTTGCATAAAAAAGATTATGTAGATTATGGGCTTGCTGTAAATTGCCATTATTATGTTGAGGTATGTCATATAGACAGTAAGCCATGATCTGTGAAAAAACCTATCCATTTATACTAACCCCCTTTTTTTTAAGGAGCATGCTCGTTGGGTACAAGGCGAAAGCAGCTGTCTATTCTACACCGTTGAGTACTGTATTAGCTTTGACAGTGACAAGATGCTTGACTGAAGCAACTTAAGGAAGAAGGGATATTTGGGCTCACAGTCTGGAGGGCACAGTGCATTGTCATAGCCACAGGATCCTGAGGCTGGTTGTGAGCAGCCTCCCCAGTCAGAAAGCTGGCGCCTGAGCTCTTCCTCCTTTGTGCTCAGTCTTAGGCCTCCAGTCCGTGGGATGGTGCTGCTCACACTGTCACAGATCTTCCAAACTCCCAGTCACACCCAGAGGTGTATTTCCTTGGCAGTTCTACATCCAGCTAAGTTAACAATCTGTGATTAACCACCATCACAAATACCATGCTGCCTGGGAGAGGAGATGTGGGTCTCTATTAGCAGTCATCTTCCTTAATGTTGGGTTTGTTTGTTTCTTCCATGCGGGGGATGGAGGCCTTTCGTATGTTAGGCAAGCACTCCACCACTGACCTTTATCCTCAGTCGCATCTTACATTGTTTAAAGTTAATTGATAAGTAATCATGTGTATTGATACTCATTTGCTGCAGTATTAAACACTGGATCCCCTGCCAATTTCCAGAATAGAATTGGCTTCTGGCTCTGTCTCATTCTAACTTCCTTAAGGAGGGGGCTCAGGCTGAATGCGCGTCAAGAACGGAAAAGAAAGGCTGAAGAGGCTGTGTACTCATGTCTTTCCTGAAGTTAGGAGATGCCACGGGGATCACAAAAACTCCTCCCTTCCTTTCCCCAGGACTTGTCTGAGTGACTGTTCCGAACAGGAGGGGTTTAGGAGCCGCTGTTTTTTAAACTTGCACGGTGTTTACACAAGGCTCAGTGGAGAGAAAACAAGAGCAGGCTGTTTAGGCTTTGCCCACATCGAAATAACAGAATCTATGTTCTCTGTGTGCTGGGCAGAGAGGGACTCAGTGGGCTTGGATTAGTGCTAAACACCAAAGACTCTGGATTTCAGAGCAGCATTACAAAATAGGTATTGTCATCTTGTTTTGTTTGTTTTTGAGAGTGTGTGTGTGGGCTGGATATGAATTTGTGGGAATTCTCCTGCCCCAGCCTCCAGAGTGTAGGTATGGGTCACACCCTTCCCACTCCCTTCATCCTTAGCCTCTGAGTGGAAAAGAACAGGAGGCATTAGGATTCTAGAAGTCAAACTGGCACACCCTGTTAGTTTAACAAGGGAAAAGACATTTATACAGTGGGGTGGAGGAAGGAGTGGGACAAAGCAAATGGGATTACCAAAGTACCCTGGAAGTGACAATGGCCTGTTGAGAAGGATGGAGTCACAGGAGGGGCAATCAGACAGGCACTGCTGGAAACCCACTTGATACTTGTAACTGGATGCCTGAGTCCCAGAACAGGGTGGAAAAGGCTGGAGACTGACAGAGAAGCGCACAACCTGAGAAAAACCAGCTCAGCGAAGGAGTAGGTAGAAATGGGAGAGTGAGCACAGGCTTCAGGTTTGACCTCATCCCTTCCCACACAGCCTCGACCAGTTAGTAGTCCTGGTACAGACTCCGTGGCCTTCAATGAGCTTTCCTAAACGAACGCAGAACAGACGAGTTCCAGCGACACAGATCATAACCTCAAATGCGTTTCTTACTTCAGATGGCAGCCCAGCATGCCGTCTGGTGCCATCATGATCACGATGTCATCCAGCCTTGCAGGAGCCCCAGATTTCCAAACACAGACAGGACCAAGGCCATGGGAAGCCCCATAAAAATGAATAAGTGTTCTTGGAGGGTGGGTGTGGAGAGATTTGGTCCACGTTGTTTGGACACAGGTTTCTCTGCGTAGCCCTTGCCGAACTGGAACTCACCACGTAACCCAGGTTGGGCCTCACCCTCAGAGCTATCTTACCTCAGCCTCCCCAGTACTGGGTGGGATGCTGTCAGCAGCACCACACCACTTAAGCCCATGCTTCCCAAGGGCCGCACACCAGGGCAGCCGCAGAGCATGAGCAGGATTGAGGAAGGACAACCACCAGCTTCCTTGCAGGGGAACACCTTTGTGTTCCCAACACTTGCAGCTACTCAAGAGTCAAATTTACCTTATGTATTGCTGGAAAAGTCAGAGCCTTAAGTGGAGACTGACTTTCTGTTAACAGCTCACGACTTGGGAATGACACACATCCTTGATTTGACAAATAGAAACAAGTACTTACTTCTTATTAGAGCCTTATGCGCAAATTATGGTAATATATTCAAATCATGGGCCCAATATGAGATCAATAAATAAAGGACATTACTCTTCGTATTGTTAAGCCCAGGAAGACTTTTAAGCAAAAATGACTTTTCTGTTTGAAAAAACATTCCTTACTGCAAATACAGATATTGTAGCAAGGAATTCTTTCACAGGTGACTTAGTAAATCATGGGTAAAGCTAACACTCAATTGAATCCTAAGTTAAATCCTTTGAAAGTGGGGCAGGGGTGGCTCAGAGGTTAAGAGCACTGGCTGCTCTTCCAGAGGGCCTGAGTTCAATCCCCAGCAACCACATGCTGACTCACAGCCATCTGTAATGAGATTTGGTATGCAAGCAGACATTCAGACAGAACACAGCACACATAATAAATAAATACATATTTTAAAAAATCCTTTGGAAGTCCTTCAGGTGCAGACGTGCTGGGAAGGAGCATGAGTGGAGGAGAGGCTCAGAGGACTGGCCGTGGGGAGACTGGCAGCCCAAATGTCTTTACACCCGTTGCTCCCCTGACAATATCAGTAACGTTGCACGCTTGTGACCATAAGACTAGTCAAAGACAACTTTAGTTTTGCAAATCAAAATTTACGCATATCTTTATCATTACCTCGCCTAATTTTTTATTTTTAAGTAAACGAAGACTAAATTAAGTTTTCCCTAAGACACAGCTAGAGGTTTTGTGGTTTATTTTTCTCCCTTTCCATAATTGTGACACTAACAAGTTTTGACCCAGGCAATCACTTTCAGTCAATGTTGGGGATTAACCCCACTCTGCTGAATTTTTTTTCTGTTTTATCTGCCAGACCAGTCTCAGCAACACGCCCAGTTTAAAGAATGCTAATATAAACCTTGCCCATGTCACTCAGCCCATCTCTTCTACGCAGACAGTTTCCCAGCAGCTCTTTGATGGAGACATAGTCTTCTGTCTCCAGCAGAAACTGTTCCACAGCCTTGCGCCCCGGCAGTTGGCTCTTCACCATCCCACTTTTGACGCTCTCCAGGACAACTCCTCTGATGGCTTTAGGCTTTCCGGGCACGCTGAAGACGATAATCAGGCCCAAACAGTCCTCTCCCACCAAGTTACAGAACTCTTCCAGCCTACCAAATCTGCCTTTCGGGCAAGACTCCTCTCCCCTTGACTCACAGGACTTTGGGTCCCTCAGGGGAGGAGGAGAAGCCATCCTCAGGGTCTGCACTGCCACCTGAAGCCGTATTTGTTTTTCGGGTCCCCAGAAGGTCCAAATCCAGTCTGCTCCAAACAGCGAGGCCTGGTGCTTGGTCATCTTAGTGGTGGTGAGCCACTCATCAGCCCCCCTGTCCTGGCAGAAAGTGATGAAGTGGACAAGGAAGATCTCACTCAGTGTACTTGCTGCCAGGCAGAGTCTGCTCAGTGGGTACTCAAACCCCAGGTACTCCTTTAGCTTCTGTGCCGCGTGGGCAACAGCTGCGCTGACCACCTCACACATGGCAAGGACCTCCTGGTTGTCCTTGGGAGACACCTGCTGTGAGGCCTTTTGCCCCATTTTCCTGCTGCACCCAGTAGATGCTCCCCTTAGCTATCAGACATGTGAATGTCACCAGGAATTGCTTCTTTTTTGGAGAGGATTTCCTTCGTGGAAGCCAAGTCTGTTAAGACTGCCACAGCTTCTTCGGTGTGGCTAGCCATATAGACCTGAGGCTGGACAAACATGTGAGGGAGGGCTTCCTAAACAGGAAGCCACTCCATTGGGTGTGGTATGCTCACACAGATAACTGCTGCCTGCCAAGTGACAGATGACAATTTCACACAAAACACCGGTGCTATAGGTTATGACCAGGTGACTTCTGATCTTTGGGAAACTCTGCCTAGATGTGGTTCCTTTTCAAAAACAAACAAAACAAAACAAGGAAAACAAACAAACAAAAAAAGGGGTCAAATGAAAACCAGCATGTGAGCACATAGGTTGGAGTCATAAATACCCTTTCTCTCCAACCAATGTCTCCAAGTTTGCAAGTCTCCCCCTCCCCCTCCCATTTCTCCTCCTCCCCTTCTTCCTCTTCCTCCTCCTCCTCCTCTTCTTCTTTTTTAGAGATAGGGTTTCTATCTCTATTGGAGCCTATCCTGGTACTCACTCTGTAAACCAGGCTGGCCTCGAACTCACAGAGATCCACCTGCCTCTGCCTCCCCAGTGCTGGGATTAAAGGTAGATCACTTCTGTCTTGACCCTTTGTTTCCCAAGTATGGTGCTAATATTTCCTTTCATTTACTTCTTAAGTAGTGAAGATCTCAATTTGTCTGTGATTCATGCTGTGAACCCAACTCACACAAACATATGCAAGTTACATACAAGCTTATTTTTCTATCAGAAACCAAGATGTTCTTCTGAACAAAGGAATGTTAAAATAATGACAATTAAAAACACAAGGCAGTTATCAATTGACTTTATTTGCTTTCATACGGTAATGCCAACAGTGCATACAAATACTTTTGTAAATAAAATATATAATCAAAAGTTTTTTTTTAACTTTATCACATATCATCAGTTGTTACATTGTCCTTATAAAGAATATTTGGCATCAGTAACAGTCTTGCTGGTATTTTTCAACCAGGCTCAAATAACAAATTGAGCTTTTCAAATGGTGACATTTAATCAACGTTTAAACTAAAACCCCAATCGAGGAAGAAGCCAATATAGCAATCAAACCATGAACGGGAGCATCCAAAGGACATCACCATTAGCATCAGATAATTGTAGTTAGATATAAAGAGTAGTGTTACAAGTGTCACAACGAACAGCTCTGTAACCTGCTGAGCACATAACAGGAATACTGCTGACATTTAGAAACGGTTATCACCAAATCTATTACCATAAACTGAGCTGCCTACCTGCACCCCAGCGGGTGAGCTCCTGTCTGTACACAGTTGGTCTTGTTACGTGTAACCCCAAATGAAAACCAGATTGTCTCCAACACCACTGAAAACACACATATACACATGCCACAGGAACAGCTGTGCTTGGCTTTCTAGCCTCTTTGCAAAGAGCTTTTGGGCCTTGTGTTACAGAAAACATGAGCAATATGCTACTGGACAGGAAGACCATTAGAAAACGGCCTGCAGCCTCAGAGTATTTGGATCCCTGACTGAAATAACACGAAGCCCCCTCAGTTGACAGTATGAGTGTAAGGGACAGTGGACATGGCTAGGTGGACTCCTTAGTTCCATGTAATGGTGCATTTAGCAAAGAAGAAAATGAGAAACTTAACATGTAAAAAGGTCCTGTTTTGGTTTGGTTTTTCCAAAGTCACCCTAACAAAACCTTTTCTGAGGGGACTGAGTGCATCCAAAGCCGGAGGCACGAGTAAAGCCGGAGCTTCTACACCGCTCTGCGATTTTGTGGGCGTCAACGTAGTGCACAGCATGGAGAATTTAACACTGTTAAAATTCATCACTGGAGGAATTCCCTGTCTCCTCAGGAATCAGCTGGTCTACAAAAACCTGAGAACACTGGGGTTTCTTTGTTTTTAATCTGATCTTTCGATCCTTGTGTCACAAAATAAAAGTTCTGTTTTCTCTATACTGTATATATATATATATATATATATATGTATATATATATACATATTTAGAAAAATATATGAAAATAAGACAGTCAGAGGCAAGTGGAGGTGCGGCTGGCATTCTGCGGCCCCGGATGCGGTGAGCAGTGGGATCTGGAGAGCAGCACGTTCAGCTTAGACGCTGCAGCAAACACGGGTGTGGCCAAACCGTCCACGCTGGGATGTGGATGAAGGAGCACTCTGGGAAACGCCCAACCTGAAACGCAGCACTTTAAACAGAAGATACCACAGACATTACATTCCACAGAGGCAGAGCGGGCACACTTCTGTTCACCGGTGTCTCGTTTCTCTCAGCGTCTTCAGAATGGGCACGGCGCCCCTGCATTACACACAGCTCCACTTCCGAGGGAGCAGACGTTGGAACAACCAGCAATGCATAACCTGTCACCTGTCACATGAACTACTTGAAAAACAAAGTTGGAAAATGACACCTGTGCTCCTGGTGCTTGCCCAGATGCTCTGGTCAAACGTTGGAGTCTTCATCTGTGATGCTGGCACTGGGGGAGCGGGCAGCAAAATCTTTAAACATGTCGTCTTCCTTTAACATGTGCTGGAAGACAAGGGGCAGCAAGTTACACACTTAGTCCTGCCAACAAGCAAGTGGGTATTTGTGGCTTTGCACACTTTTAGAATAACTTTTCCAACTCCCTGAACACACTTACTGTGAGATTGTTGATGCCTTCGGAAAACGCGCCTATCTGTCTCACTGTCCCTTCAGAATCTTCCATCTGCCAAGAACAGGCCATAATGTGACAAACCCATTTGCGAGATTTCAAAGGGGCAGACGAATGAAAGCAAAGTCGAAAGAGCACAGTCACAGAGTGCAGCAGAACAGCAGGGACCCTGTGCCTCGGTCTCCCCACTGAAACACCGTCAAGGTCCTAGATCAGTACCAACAATAAAGCATGCCAGGTGCTTAGGGCAGTACTGGGAAGTGGGCGGCTGTCCACAGGCATTCAGAATACTCTGCTATTCTCGTTTTCAGGCATTTGCAGACAGTGTGCAAAGCTTCCATGGTGTGTCCGAGTGCCTGTGAGCACACAGTACGGGGCTTACCTGCTCTAACCGATCCAAGTCATCCTCTTCATACAGACGCATGTCCAAGCCAGGTCTAAACCCCTTCTGGGAGCTACTCCCCGACACCTGCCCCAGGTCCATTGGACAAACATATTCCTCTCCGTCTTCATGCTTCTTCTTCCGCAGATTCCCAAAGTTGCTAAAGGTCAGTTTCTTTGGCTTTAAAAGCAAACACAAAGACATCCAGAAATTTGCTAAAACTCCTCTGACAAAGTACTAATAACATGTCACTTCATCACTCAAAGAAAGCAACTTGGATGATCAAATTATCGAAAGAAAACCAGAAGTATCCTGGACATATTCGTAAATGGTCTTGTAACTCTCACTGTTACGCCACAGGCTGGACATGTCAAAGTCTATTGTTTGCTTTAGACAGGACTTAACACAATACATTGCCTCTCTGGGACAACTCAAATTTTGCAAGGCTATTCGACCTAAGCTCAGTGAAAGAGAGCCCTAGCTGGTCTAGTGGCATAGGCCTGCTGGCTGCCGCATCTACTTGATCTACTTGAAAGCCGGAGGGAGAAGAATCACAAGCTTAAGGCCTGCATGGGCAACTTAGCCAGAGCCTGACTCAAAACAAAACAAAACAAAACAAAATTTAAAGGAGGCGGGGCAGACTGGGGGTGTGTAGGTCAATGGTAGAACACTTGTCTAATATGATCAAGACCCTAGGCTCAATCCCACATTGGATGGAGAAGAGGGAAGGAAAGGGAGGGAGGGACGGTAGATAGTGAAGCTGTGACTATTTTGTTTGCCTTTTCTGCTTTGTGATGAGACGGTGAGTGGTAAAAGGATTCACACTCTTGGAGAGAAACTTCATCTTAGTCCCTACACAGCCCCCAGGGAGAAAGGAATTCAAAGGCAGACAGGGTACAACAAGAGAGCGTGCCCTATGTTTCTGCAGAAACTCTTAAGTTGTCTTCACATGAAGGATGTGGAAACAACACATACAGACCAGTCGATGTAGGAATAACTCAAAAGAAAAAGTAAATCTCTTACAGCCCTCAAACCTTGGTACATAAAAACCACCCCAGGGTCTTCTTTATGTGTAGCTCAGCCTCTTGCATGCTGGGATTACAGGTGGGTGTAACAACCCCTGGTTCTGATTCTCTCCGTGAGGAGGGTTTTCTGACTTATAAACAAGGCAAGCTGAAGATGTGCAAGGGGAAATCTTGCTTGGCTCATGTACTCATCGGCAGCACTGGAGATCAAGCCCGGGCCTCATGCTGCCAGGCAGAGGCTCACCCTCACCACTCGGTTATTCCCACCCCAAGTCCTCCTCTTACACCTCTTTACCAACAGGAAAGCAAAACCACTGCAATGGTAAACCTGGCCCAGGTCATAGTCCTCAGCGTTGACAACAGAAGCCACATCAGCTTTGACTCTGATAACATGAATGAGTTCAGCAGAGACTTTCCATCATGCAGTCCCTTAAGTGCTCTTGAAATTCATAAACATATGTTCATATAGACTTTTTAACTCATTAACGAAACCGAGTAAATCTCGGAAAATGGAATGATGGAGCCTTTGCAAACACTGAGCAACGATTAAATGAACCAACCTTCACTTTGGCAGTAGCTGTTAGCAGTACGTAGTCTGGTAACTCCATGGCATCTCGCTTCTGGTGCTGGGCCTCAGCACCAATCAGAAGGTTGAAATGGGTGGCCAAATGTCTGCGTAGCAAGGTTTTATTGGGTGGAATGTTCAATAACTGAGCCATAGTTTCCACATTAAAACGGGGCTCAAGAACCTGTATGAAAAATTGGGGTTTTAGGTGAAGGGTGCCACAGGTCACACACATAGTTGCAGCAGAAGTATTTTACAGTTTGCAGAAATCTTTCATCTGGGTAATGCCCAACAGCCCTATGGACAGCCAAGGGTATGAACTCTGATATTTTTTTTTTAGATTTATTTATGTTTTTTATGTGTAAAAGCATTTCCTACATATATGTATATATACCACATGTGTATAGTGCCCACAGAGGCCAGAACTAGGTGTCAGATCCCCTGCAACAGGGGTTATAGATGGTCATTGGCCACCGAGTGGGTGCTGGGAACTGAACCCAGGTCCTCTGCAAGAGCAGCTAGTGCTCTGTGCTGCCTCCCCAGCCTGGACTCATCATTGTGCCTGAGTTAGAGGATGAACTGGCCATGTGACCCAGGCTTCAGGGGATACAGAGGCTGTACGTCTTTCTGTCTGGAATGCTGCTGGCTCTGAAAGCAACCACTCATAGAGCACTGATGCTCAGAAATACAGCCTGTATCTGTACAGGCATTCAAAACCACGATCAATACCAGTGAGAGATGGCTGCTGGATGCTAGTCAGCACTGAAAGATGATGAAAAGAAATGGGCTTAAACCTAATTTAGAGCAAGACGCTAAGTTGCTCTGCAAGAGAAATCCAGTGTGGGATCAAGTTAGGATTACTGGGGGAAAAATATAAACAAACAAACAAACAAACAAAAAACTGATGCAGGATGAGTGTCCTGTCCTACAATGCTTGGAACCAGTGTTTAGATTTTGGAATATCAGCATGGAGTGGTGACTTCTCTTGGGGGCAGAGAATCTCTGCCACACAGATTCACTTATACTCTGTATAATACACAGCTTCATGGTAACTTATTGCAATTCTTCTAGCACACAAGAGCTATTCCTGCCGTGCAGAACTTTCCACCTGTGATGTGGAAACACAAGGCACAGGTTTGGAAGCAATGTGGATTTCAAGATCAAGACCGCTCGCCCTGGGACAAGAGGAAACTGAGCGAGAGCGTTACCATGAGCCCTCCATGGACACCGCTGCCTCTGAGGTTGGGGGCATACTCTGCCAAGTCCACAGAGCGCAGCCACTCCATCACTCGGTGATTGGTCCACTGCTGAACCTCAGACGCGGTGACGCCGTTCTGCGGAAACAAACGCACATTGTCCTTCAGGTGTTGATGGCAGGACCTGCGCTACTAAACTTACACATGCAGTCTAACAGGTCTGGCCTACAAAGCAGACTGTCTGGTGTCCCATGTACTATTCAAAGACTGCTCTTTGAAACAACCTATACAACAGATTGAAGCATTTTTATGCAACAGGAAATATTTACGGTGACATTTTACTCTGCAGATTGAGTTGGCAGTAAAAAGTATAGACCTGTGCACAGGGAAAACAGAGAGACAACCTTTGGCTTCAGTGACACAGGAAAACAGAGCCCATGAAGCCAGTGAGTTGGGATCTGAGGCTCTAAGAGACCCAGCTCTCTCTCTCTCTCTCTCTCTCTCTCTCTCTCTCTCTCTCCAGGTTCCAGGAGGAAAAGGCTGTGAGTTTTCACACACGGACTGCCAAGTTCACTTCTTGTCTGAAAAGCTACCTCATCAGATGGCCGCCTCCGAAGGCAGTTTGGCTCGAAGTTATTGATCCTCAGGACTTGGATGGCCCTTTTGATACTGAGGTGGTGCAGCACACTCACGACCTTCAGAGACAGTAGGTCGTCCTGTAGAGGAAAAATAAGGGGCTCACTGTGCTGGCCCACAACATGGGGCAGGAGGCTCCCTGGAGATCACACAGCTCTGCTGTGGTTTCAGGGCTCATTTAGTAACAGAGCCCTTTCCTGTAATCAACAAACCCTCTCTAGAACCTCAAATTCATATTGCTCCTCCAAATCTGCTACCTCTTTCTGGTTCTTACAGATGTCCTGATAGGACAGAATCACACCAGGACTCTGAAAAGCAGCCACTGGTCACTACAAAAGATAATCTGACGCTTATTAGGGGGCCAGGGAGAGACAGTCTCTTTGCAGCCAGGCTAGCCTCAACTCCTCCTGCCTCAAGAGCTGCTGAGAGTCAGTGCTGTGGTGCTAGGCCTTGAGGAATTCCTCTCTCCTCTTTAGGCCCCAGAACTTGAACTGGAAACACCTGCAGGTCAGTAGGCATACTGCCCTCCATTTCTCTCAGCAGACAGTTGAATCAGAATGCTCACATGGGATCAAGCTTCCTGGCCTGCAAAGTGCCCCAGCCTGGGTTACTTGCTTCACCTAGCAGCATAGTGACCGATGTTGGAAAAACTATGTCCCTTAGTGCAAGGGTTTGAGTAATAGTAAAAGAGAAAAAAAATGAAGACTTTTAAGGTTCAACACACCACCAATCAACTTCTTCAAGGAAACTCTTTGGGCAGTATGAGGCCATGAGAGCAATTTCAAACATGCCTAACACACCTCAACAAATTATTTCAGCAGTAAGTGATTTCAGGGCAGTGCCGAGATAAAGCTAAACACACCCAGAGAATAAGCAGATGGCTGTCTGTGTAGGCACACAGCATACCTCACCGATAACACATTTCTTGTGAAAAAAAAAAAAAGTCAAAGAAATTAACTTACTATAAAAATGTTTTTAAGAGTAAAAATAAAGTTAGTGTTTATCCTTGAGGCTACTGGGCAAAAAAAAAATTTCCTAAGTTTTTATACGGTTAACTTATTAAAATTAGTGTCTTAGGATAAATTAGAAAAAGCATTTAACGTATTTTAATCCAAAACTGAGATACTCATTCCAAACATTTCAGTGTAGGCTACTTGCATTTAACTAAAGTCTATCAGACTAAGAAACATCTAAACGTATAATGTTTCCATTATAAACAAAATGTTAATTACTCCTGAAAACATATTTGAAGGAGTTTTGCAAGGGTTGCTTTCATTTAAAACCCCTTTTTAAGTCTGGGCATTGTGGTGCACACCTTTAATCCCAGCACTCGGAAGGCAGAGGCAGACAGATCTCTGTGAGTTGGAGGCCAGCCAAAGGCACACATTGAAATCCCACCCCCACGTCAAAATTTTAAAATAAATTTAGACTTACACAAGGGTTTCTAGATGGTGTAGAGTTCTATGTACATTTTACAGATTCCCTAATATTTACATCTTCTGAAACTACGGCACACATCGGAACTAAGAAACTGACACAGGTAGTAAAGTGCAGGCTTTCCTCAGCTTTTGCTAATTTTAGGCTTATTTATTATCATTAGTGCATGTGTGTGGCGTGTATGGAGGGACTCGAGCACACGCATGGAGATCAGAGGACTGCTTTGTAGAGTCAGTCCTCGCCTTCTACCTTTACATGGGTCACAGGAATAGGACTCGGGTCACCGGGTTTGAACAGGGAGCACTTTTACCTGCTCAGCCATCTCATCGGCTCCCAAATCGGCTTTTGACTACCTGGTTTTTGCCCATTTACCACTCAGATCCTTTTTCTGTTCCTGAAGCCAATCCAGGGAACCACATTCCAACAGGGACTTTAGATCTGGGACTCACCCCCCCCCCCCGGGTCACTCAATGTCTCTCAGGCAAGAAGGCCTTGCATGTGCTTCTTGTGACTTCTAAGTATGAGGTTGTTCAAATTCCCCTGGGACATCTGACCCATCGAATCCCATGGGCAGGGACAGAGGCAGGTCAAATGTCACTATATCTGTCCCAGGTGGAAGAGTAAAGCTATTAAGAGAAGGACCAGGAACCAGCCTCGCTTCAAATTCTCTGACACCCTACCACTCAGTAACCATGGAAACCTGGTTACATTGCCCAACCTATCAACTCCTTGCTTCCTCATCTTAAGGACAGAGATGATAATGATGCTAACTTAAGAGAGTTACTGAGAATCGAGCATCCAGGAGCGCATGCTTAGAAAAAGGCAGTGACTGTAAAACATGCCAAGCTCATTAGGGTTCTTCATGCAAGGCCACATGATGATCCCCCCAGCTTGTAAGTACTTTGGTTCAATGATAAAAGAATGCAAACCCTATGAGCCAAGCTCCAAATTCCTTTCTCAGTGAGAAATCTTTATGGAATTAGCAGGTTAATTTCCAGTTATTTAACAAAGGTAACACCTATGGGTCTGCCTAGTTATAAAGTGTTTTTTAAATGAAAGTATCTCACTGAATCATTAATCATAGTATGGAATTTAGAACACGGAAGGCTCTGGAATCTACTTCCCCACTGCTGTAAGTGGGGAATGGTCTTTCTGTTCACTGGCAGGAAGACTAAAAACATCCAACAGGCCAGGAAGCAGTGCGAGTCTAGCTTCCCCTCTCGCCTTCACCCCAGTCACTCTGCCCTCATGGGATTGATCTGAAGTGTGAAGCATTTCGGGGAATAATTTTGAGAAGGAAGGCAAGGGAGGAGGCCAGTCCTTGCTGTGGATGCCAGAGCAAAGGTAATGCAGAAATGACCAGGGCTTCAGTCCTCTCTATGAGATACAATTCACATACCACAGAATGCAAACACTCATAATGTACACTCCAGAGTTTACCTCATTGACTACATCAATCTTGTCGATAGCTTAGGCTAAACTTAGTTTTGCTTGGCTTAAATTGGGTTCCAAGTTATCCCAAAGCTGTGCCAACTGCCGAATCCTACCACATCAGCTTCTCAGGAAACACCCAAAGCAGAGAGCCACTTACCACAGTCATGTAGTGCAGCATTCGACCGTCCACCCGGCCTTCATCAAACTGCGTCTTGTACTGGGGGAGGCCAATATCATCCAGCCACCCTAAAGGAGAAGAGCCAGTGTCGTCACCACACTACAAAATGCCTGTTTCTGTGATCAGGGAGAAAATGTGACAACCCTGGTCCTTTTCACCCATAAGAGACTCTTACTGGTGACCCAGTTGAAATCCAGCTTCCCATAGTTGGTCTCCTCTTCAGATCCCAGGGCCTGCAGGGCCAGCTGGAGCTTCTTGCGATGAAGTGAATGCTTGATGCCCAGCTCCTGAAACGGTAGACAGAACCTCAGAATTCTACCCATCCGGGCCAGACCTCCAGGCAAACAGTGCCGTACCCTCCATGATGAAGAAGCTGCCCTTCAAGACCAGCTCTGTCTTAAGTGAAAATGCTACCTCAGGCTAACCAACCCATTCCACGTTACACTGCAGTATGACCCCCAGGCCATACACCATTGTTGAAGAAAAGGCCCAGGTCTACCCGATGGGCTGAGTAGAATGTTAGACATTGCCTAGGGAGTCAATGTATTTGTAAGAAGGAAATGTTGAAGGTGTAGTGGGGATTTTACTCCTGTTTGGAGCACAAACGTTCAAATCATGACAACACAAAATATAGTGTTATTTTGTGAAATAAAAGTGAATTGCATGTATCACATTGAAAAGATAAACCAATGTAAGTTTACAAAATGACTGAGATATATGGGCTCTACTCCTTATAGGAGGTCTATTCATTATGTAAGAGCTATGTAATTACGTACCTTTTCAAGAGTAGCAATACAGGTTCCATTCACACTGCTTTGTGTTAGAATAATTCAGGCTTCTACTCTGGCATGAGGCAGGGGTAGGTGTTGCTGGGGATTGAACCTTGGGCCTCACTCATACCAGACAAATGCTGTACCACTGAGTCACATCCCCAACACATTCCCTTCTTCTTGGTATATGGAAACCAAACAGAAGCAGCTACCTTCTCTAGGTCTTGTTGAGAGGCCTGCAGGAGGGTCTGGCCAGATATAATCCAGTGCTTGCCAGAACTCAGATAGGATCCCAAGCCTTGTTCTGCTAGCCAACTGCACACTTGCTCCTTGGTCCATTTGGCAAACGGCGTATCCAGGTCACTGTGGAAAAATAAGCAACAAGCCTAAGCCAGTTCTGAAGTTTAACAGTACATACTGAACAACTGTGCATATGGAAATTCCCTGGTGACACACATTTAACCAAGTAAACCTCATTTCAGTACAAGGTTGGTAAGTTCTAAAATCCCTGTTTTCAACTCAAACTGCAAAATGATCAGTGAGAGCTACAGGAACTCACTCTTCAGAAAACACAAAGATGAGCCATGCTACCCAAAGCACACTCCCAAATGAGAACATTCTACCTGGCTGAAAGAAATCCAAGTCTAATATGCATTCACTTTTGCAGAATTAAGGTTTTTCTTTGGCCAAGATCACCAAGAAGATAATATGCTCCTGCTAAGTTACAGGAAGGGACTCTCCAAGCAATGTTTGCAATTTTACTTACACAGTTTTGTGGCTTGAAAGCAAAAATGTGAGGGTTACATAGCTAAATTGAAAAAAAAATATTTAGTGTGTGTGGGTGTGTGGGTGGGTGTGGGTGGGTGTGTATGTGTGTGCACAGACACACACACACCCCAGTATGCACTGACAAAATGTTTTTTTTTTAGCACAAGGGAGTTCTTTATTGTGCTTGAGGAGGACATATGGCAAGTGAGAACATCTGTTATCTGAAGGCCAAAGGAAACTTCTTGATGAAACCTGTGTCCAGTGCTCCACCTGTGTGGGAGTGTCTGTTTCCAGTTGATTACTCTTTTAAAGGCTCAGCATCAACACCTCAGTGTTTGCCAACCCCACCCTTTTATGCTCAGGTTGGTGTGGTTGGCTCCAAACTGGTTCCAGGCTTAAACAGAGCACAGGGAGAGCTCTTGGGAGTCCTAATGAGTGAAACACTATACAGCTTTTTCCAGCTAACACAATGAGGCATTTACTCACTGGTGAACAACGCATGGTTTTGATAAGCTCAGCAATTCCAATAGAATGTGTCTTTAAGTGCTTTCCAAGACTGGATCAATGGCTAACGTCTATTGATCAGTTGTTATCTGACAGATACTTGACCCATATCAACTCAATCCTCACCTCTTGGGGTCAGTGCTAAGTCTTACTATGAAGCAGAGCATGGAAGCCACAGCTCAGGGTCCCCTGGCTGGTGGCCAATGAGGCCAGAGAGCAAGTTCAAGGGTTAGACTCTAGAACACAACTTTTACCTCCCCTAGTCCCTCCTCTCAGTTCAGGAGTTGGAACCCAGGACCCCATGTATGCTGACAAGCTCTCTGCTACTAAGCCACAAGCGCAGCCATTAGACCCATCTCCTAACCCTAGGCTGCTCCATTTTTACAAGACTGTGCTTCCAGAGACTCCCCACACTAAAAATTAAGCTCAGGGACCACTGCAGCACACATGTTCCTGACAACTCAACATAACTCACACAGAACTCACTAGCACAGCTGTCACCAACTACTGACAAACAGTACCACCCCTCCCAGACACAGCAGCAGTGACACCACAGCTGTTCTTACCTGTTGGACTGCCCTAAATCTCGAGACCAGCCCAGCCTGGGGCCTGCAGTTGCCCTTGTCCCTCCTCTTTTGAATTCAGGCTCGGACATGTCATCTGGGTTGAAGGTAGTTGACTGGCTTCTCCTGAGTCTTGAGACACAACGCACATGGCTACATTAGACCAGAGGAGGCCTCTGCTTTGAAGGTCAATCACAATGGTTTTTTTTGTTGTTTGTTTTGTATGTCATTAGCCCAGGTATTTGAATTTAAATTTGAATTTAACCAAGGCCCAATGAATCAATGAATCCCAATCAGTCGTCCTTCCAAGAAGCCTTGGGATTTGATGCCCATTGCAGCCAACCTTCCCATCATCTCCTGCACTCAGCCACAGAGGAGTCAGGCGCCCCACCTGCCTTCCCTCCACGTACCTCCCAAAGAGTCTCATGATGCCTCTGGACTTCTTTTTGGAGTCTGGAGATGGTGGAGACATCTGGAAAGGACTGGTCCCCTGTGAACCTTTTGGCCGAGATGTACCAGCCAAATCCAGGTGCTCAGCTGTCTCCTTTTCTGTCTCAGCTGCCCCAAAGATAGAATAAAGACCATGTGAACACAACTAAGTACTAAGCTTCCTGGTTTTAGCCCCTTAAGGATTCTTCTCCAGGTCTGTAAACCAGTGATTACAGAGAGCACCCTTTCATATAAAAAATGTATGTAAGTGTATGTTCTCTACAGCTTACTCTCCTGCATAAAGTGAATTAGCTTAAAATCACCCCTTTGAGAGTAAAAGTGTGTGGCAGTGCACACATTGTAAATCCCCTACCCTGGAGGCTGACACAGGAGGACTGATTGCGAGACAAACGTGGGCTACAATGTGCGACTCTCTCCTTAAAGTAAAAAGTGCCTCAGAATTGTCACATTTTTGAATGATAAGATTCATGATGAGATGATGCCCAATCTAGTACTTGGGACAGCGAGCCTCCTGTATCCTCTAACGTCACCACTCCCTCTCTGGTAATGACTCTCTCTCTTGGATGTGTGGCCTGGGTGTTTCTCCTTTGATGTAGCCCCCACTTCTATACTTGCTACACTTTACACCAAGACTCTGCTTAGCTCCCTCTTCAGGCTCTCGGCAAATTCACCTGTTCTAAGCTCAGTGCTGAAGGATGGCTTTATTTTCATAGGAGGAGGTACCAAAACCTCTGAGCCTAACCTCATCCAGCACCACACCTGAAGACTATGCAGAGTCCCAGCTTAAAGTGCCACGGACACATGGGACTTATCAAACCCATCAGTTTCCCTGCAAGTCTTCTGTTTATGTCATTTTCTTCTTAACACCCTTCTCCTTTGCCATTTAGATCTCATCAGTTACACAGGACTTGTGATTCTTTCTCAGGAAATGAATCACCAGTATGGTGGTGCACTCCCATTGAATCCCAGCACTCAGGAGGCCAAGGCAAGAAAATGTCAAGCTCAAGTTCAGACCAGACTATAGTTGGGACCCTGCCTCAAGAGGGGGAAAATCCTAGCCTATTATTATATATGGGATGTGAGAGAGCAATGACTAGGTAGGTATGTGTGAGTTTTTCTTTAGATATAAAATCGGTCTTTCTTAATCTGGCTTTGAAAGAATAGCATCCACAGTGGCCACTGCAGGCCTCTGTACATACACAATGCATGGTCCTTCAACTGTCCATTCCTGGAAGAACAGCCACAGGCAAAGATGGGGCTGTGGTTTTCCAAAGGGCGAAATTTTACATTTTATAAAGGAAAATAACACTTGTTCAAAAAAAAAAAAAGATCAGGAAAGGAGTCTCAGGAATTGCAGAAGTTGAGTTTTCTATGAAGCAGAGCTGTGATGACAGGTTACAATAAGCAGCACTGGCCTACAAGCATTGACTACTGCCCTAGAAGGACATGGGAGTAGCTGAGAGTAGTTGTCCAACTGGAAGAAGAGTTTAGTCTGTGCAGCCAGCGCTCATTGTAAACACTTCGGGCTCCAAAGACAATGATGCCCCTTTGTGTGTCAACAATCTGGTATCTATACAAGGTGACAGCCTTGGGGAAACCCAGGGGGATCTATGCACTCTCATACCACAGCCACGGGGTATGGGTACCCTGAAAATGTTCCTAGCCCAGCTCATTCAGAACACAACGTACTTCTTTATTTTATTTTATTTGAAGGCTTTCTTCATACTATTCCCCACAGGGAGACAGAATGGACTTCTCTTAAAAGCACTCTGATGTCGACTCCCCAGACACCATGTGAAGTCACCGCTGTCATCACTAAATATTCCTAACGCCCAAGTAATATAATGTCCAGAATGTCCCTCCAAGAGCAGTAAGTCAGCTCCTGCCTGGCAACAGACATTCTGGGGGGAGGGGCAGGGGTTGGGAAAATGAGCACATGGAGGAGGAAAGAGGGTTGGTGGGTGGTGGTTCAGTCATGTGTGAGTAGAGCTGGGTGTATGATGCCAGCTCAATCCAGCCCTGCACCACGCAGACTGCTGAGCATTTCTAGGGCCTCTCCGGGCTGCTTACAATGTGTCGACAGCACTGGTTAAAACAGCGTGTAGACTCAGAAGCAAAGGCTTTGTGGAGTCTGTTTTCACCAAAGATGGAGGAATACTTTGGAACAGACTACGTTTTCTGATTGCAGCCAGCTTGCTTGATAGAGATCACAGAGGTCAAGGGTGGGGATAAGAGGACTCAGAGTGCAGCACTGGTGAAGGCTGGCATGCAGGGGTACAATACCTAAGGTAGGTGCACTGGCACTTCGTTTACGATCTTCAGGAATCCCAACAACGCACACAACACATGCAGCCCAATGGAGAGAACACAGGGATGACAAAATGAAAACAGATCAGACTCCTCCCTCCAAGGCAAATGCCCATAGGAGGGACGCACGCATGCACGCACCAAGACTACACAGACTGCACAGGGTCGTCCGTGGGGACTCATTCATCCCACCACCACAGAGGGAGACTGTCTAACAAAGTCACAGACCACCACAGGGTCAGGACGATCTCATTTTGCCGTCTATCTCACTGCACAGAGAGTGGGTAAGAGTTGACTTATCATCACACTTGGAAATCAAATCCACTGAAGCATTTTTGCTAACATCCCCCCTGAAGGCAATCACCTTCATGTCTGAGAAAGAGAGATGTATCCACAGATGAACAAAGGATGGGTGGAACCAAGCCTTTCCCTCTGTCTGAAAGGTCAGGACCTAGGTACCCTTGCCATACCTACCAAGGTTTGGTGCACTTGCTGTCCTCTTGTTACTTTTGATTTTAAAAAAGCCTCGGCCAAAGGAGGACCTGGCTTTTCGAGTGCCAAAGGGGTTGTCATCCATGGAGACATCATGTCCTGGAACCTTGGGAGGCAGGGTCCCAAATGTGCAGCTGTCGGTTGGAGCTTTATCCTGAGGGGTGATGAAGAGGTAATGGGGTGTTAGGGTGCATTATCCCTAGGACAGGAGGTTGGACTCAAATCAATGCCACATCACTGGACAGACAACTGAAGTAACACACTGAGCCCAACGCCAAGTGACATATTAAAGAAGCCTGGGCAATAAACAGCAACACAATGAACACCTCTAACTCCAGCCACAATCAAGACATTTGCTACTTTAAGTATTTAAGCCAGCTTTAAAAACAATTAAGTTCTATCTGTCTCATTCCTTCAAGACATGGAGTGAAGATATTCCATACCCAGGACTTTCTCTGTGTAGCTTTGGAGCCTATCCTGGAACTAGCTCTTGTAGACCAGGTTAGTCTTGAACTCACAGAGATCCGCCTGCTTCTGCCTCCCGAGTGCTGGGATTAAAGGTGTGCACCAAATCCGTCTGGCAAATTCTTACTTTTCTAGCAATTATGGTGCACAGCTATAAATGAGTTTGCATCCTTAAATCACCACACAGCGACAGAAGCCTGAGGCAAGTCTACGAAGCAGGCAGTGCCTTAACACACAACGAGGAGAGCCTACTCAGTCATTTTACACTCAAAGAATGAGAAGAGGAAGGTACATTCAGGCACTGGTGTTTTTTTTTTTTTTTTTCGGACTCTGAGTCAGTCACTGAGCTCATAAAGGGTGTCTCCCTGCTCTAGTATCACCGAGAGACACTTCTGCTTGCCTTTCTTTTCTAACACCTCCTGTTCTCTGCTTTTCTTTGCACAGTTGGTGAGAGGGTCAAAGAGATGACCGACTGCATTAACCGAAAGTCTATATGCACAACACAGTCATTAGCTACGTCAACACTGATAAGTCCTTTGATCATTTATTGAACCAAGGGTTGAAAAGGACCTGAGTGACAGCTGTCTCCACTGACTGCTGGTTCCGTATCTGAAGGACTCAGGCGCTCAGAGCTGACAGTCAGGTGGAACTGGCCTTGCACCCTACTGCAGGCCTTAATGTGGTTGATGATCGGAACCCAGGGGAAGACCTGGGACACAGGCTGACGACCTGCTTAGAATGCCATGCTTGCTCCTATGGACAAGGGCTGTGTGTGAGACAAACAACTGGTCACACAGATGATCAAAGCACCCAACTAACATCCACAGGTCAGTTTTCTAATAACATATAGAGGTGAACTGTGGGAAAACTAAGCCTCAATGGGCCTGACAGCTGGCCTAGAGCATTCGCAGTTGGTATTTCCTGACCCCCAGCCTGGGTCTGCCAGTTGGCCTTGACAACAGCAGCCGAGTCTGATGAGAGATGACGTGGACTTTGGACAGTGACCAAGTCACATCAGCAGATGCCAGCTCCTCCCCTGGGGCAGGTTGAGGGGTATATAAAACTCTCCCCTCCCTGGGATAAACTGAGCTTGTTGTTCCCAATGCCTGTATTGGTGCCACACCTACTTTCCTCCAATGTCACGGGATGCCCGTCAGGATCCTGCAACAGTGACCTTCTAAAAAAATATTTATTTCTTATGTGTACAGGCAGGATCCTGCAACAGTGACCTTCTAAAAAAATATTTATTTCTTATGTGTATGTGTGCCTATGTGCATGTGTGGGAGTGCATGTGCTACAACATGCATGTGTGGAGGTCAGCAACAACTTGTGGGAATTGTTCTTGCCTTCCTGCATGAATACCCTGGGGATTTAACCTAGGCCATGGGGCTTGATGGCAAAATGCCTTCACTCCTGGAGCCATCTCAACTGCCCAAAATTAACCTCCTCATTCTTCTTTTTCCCCCCAAAACATTCATTTTATGTCTACCCAATACTTATGCCCTGGTCAAAGTCTGAGACCACAGAATAGCAGTCTGCACTTGTTCTACACATAAGCTCTGTATGTCCCAGTGTATGTATGTCAGGTACATGAGTTCACATGTGTATATGGAGGCTGAAGGTTGGGTGTCTTTTATTTCTCTTCACTGCATTTTTTGAGATGGAGTCTCACTGAACCTGGAGCTCAGTGACTGATGAGACAAGGTGACAACTCCCAGGGAAACTCCTGTCCCCACAGTCTCTCAGCACTGGGATGACAGGCATGTGTTTCCATGCCCAGTTTTTATGTAGTTGCTGGGGATCTAAACTCAGGTCCTCAGGCTTACAGAGTGCACAATTTACCACTGAGCCATCTCTCCAGCCCCCAAGAATAATTTAAGTCTTACGTATCACTTGAAGCTCCTTCATTATCCCATTTTCAAGCAATACTCCCAGCCCCTATCTTTTAGAAATTCTGTCGAAGTCTGTGGTTCTTATTCCATCTATTTTCTTTACAGTTTTACCACCTCTGGATGCCACTAAATGACACATTTATAGCTTGATACATGCTGATATTTCATGGACACGTTTCTGTTCTCTGAATTGTTTTTGAAATCCATCTAGGAAATGTGTATTTCTGACTTGTGAATCATACAGTCTCCATCACAGTTACTCCACACAGCCACCGTTGTGTGAAAATTTCACTGTTGTGTGAAATCACTTTAGGCAGTATGTAAATAAATAGGCATAATGAGTTGCAATATAACTTGCAGCTGGTCTTGAGACCATGGTCTGCCAGCCTCTGGGCTCTGAGTGCCGTGAGGAGTCTTTTGAAGTAATAATCTGTATCATTTCCAGTTCCCTGATTACTTCAGCAATGGTTTGGGAAACAAAGGGCATTTGGAAAATCCAGAGAACCAAATATATATACAATATATACATATATTACATATAAAAGCATATAAATGAAAAATATTTGAAAAAGGAAACAAACCAGGAGCTAACTAATTTTTATGTAACTCAGCTGCTTATGGATCTCAATCTTTGCATGTTACAACTGAGTCAGCACTGGATGAGACAAACTAACCACCATGCTGAGACTGGTCTATAGTTTCAAGTGTAGCCCTCAGCTGAACCCTCAGGATGGTCCTTCCCATAGTTTCCAGCTTCCACAAAGATCCTCACAGGCTTCTGCTGCTGTGAAATATTATTTTAACTGAGCAAAGATGCGTTGCATTTTTTCTGCTGCATTTGTTTAATTATGAAAAGATGTGTTGCATTTGTTTCACTTTGCCCGCCTAAGGCACCTGATTGGCCTAATAAAAAGCTGAAAGGCCAAAACCAGGCACGAGAAAGTATAGGCTGGGCTGGCTGACAAAGAGAATAAATGGGAAGAGAAAGCTAGGCTCAGAAAAAAAAAAAAAAAAAAAAAAAGAATGAGAGAAGAAGAAGAATAGAACGAGGGAGATGTCCAGGGCAGAAGACAGACAGACATGGAGAAGCAGTGAACATAGGTACCCAGAAGTACGAAAGGTGAACAGCCCAAGGTAAAAGGTAGATAAAGAGAAACGGGTTAGTTTAAGTTAAAAGAGCTATCCAGAAAGGATCTGAGCTAAGACTGAGCATTCAAAGCTAATAATAAGTCTCGGTATTGTGACTTGAGCTGGTTGGTGGCCCCAAAAAGAAAGCCTGGTACACTCTGCTCTGCTGTCCTAGTGTGTCCAGGCTCTGAGCAGCAGTTGTGAAGTGAACAGCAGAGCTCTCTAGTGGGCAGCTAAAATTCTGTTAAATAGATGGAACCTTCTGGAAAAGTTTTCTGTATTTTACATGATTGTCCCACCCTCCTAACGCTGGAAGTGGACTCTTTCAACCACCAAGTTGGAAGCCCATGCGTGCGTGCGTGCCTGCGTGCGTGCGTGCGTGCGTGCGTGCGAGCCTGCGTGCGTGCCTGCGTGCGTATAGATCAGAAAAGGGTGTTGGGACCATTGGAGTTTGCGAGCTGGGTGATGGGTTCAGAATTCATAATTAACTTTTTTTTTCAGACAGGGTCTCACTCTATAGACTCACAGAGATCCACCTGCTTCTGCTTAGAAAAAATTAACGTAAAAATATTTATGATGAGGGAAGTCCTTCTGTGTATATGTTTGTCTTACTGGTTGATAAATAAAGCACTGTTGACCAATAGGGAAGCAAGTTAGGCAGGACTAGGAGTCGAGGATGAGTCTGGGAAATGCAGTAAAGGGAATTCTTGTGATCCAGGCAGGAAGTGACATAGCAGAAAGACTCAGATTATAAGCAGGGACAAGCAAGAAATCACAATCTTCCTCCTCCTCTCTTCTCTGGGAGCCACCATGTGAGCCCGACAAGAGAGGATGCATGCCACTGGCGTCCTCGATCAGATAAGGCTTTATAAAATATATAGATTAATAATTATGGTTGATACTTAAGACAGAGATAGCAGATAAGAAATCCTAGTCATTGGCCAGCAGCACTGTAATTAATGTAAGACTGTGTGTTATTTGGGGTGCCCACGTGGCGGCAGGGCTCAGGCGACTTGGCCGAAAAATTTATCATTATATTTTATGTATGCATGCATTTTAGTATATGGCTCTTTTATCTGTATGGACACCTGCACACCACAAGAGAGCACTGAATCCCATGGGCCTGTAGTTACAGAGGGCTGCAAACCACTCTGTGGTCTCTACGAATTGAACTCAGGACCTCTGAGAAGCAGCCACTGCTCTTAACCACTGAGCCATCTCTCCACTGACTTTTTTGTTGCTGTTGTTGTTTTTGGAGACATAGTTTCTTTGTCTACACTGGAACTAACTCTGTAGACCAGACTGGCCTCAAATTCCTAAAGGGATTAAAGGCACACACTACCACCACCTGGCTAAAAATTAACATTTTAAAGTAAATAACTCAATGGCATTTAGCACTTCTCTGAATCATTACTACCCCATCTACTCCCCAAACACCGCCACCATCCCAAAGCCAAAGCCCCTCAGCTTCTCCTTTTCTACCCTCTTTCCCCAGCTATAGCCACCACTCTGCAGCCTTCTCTGAGGACATATTCATGCTGCACACTTCACTCAAGTACAGGCACACACACATGACCTTCCCAGGTGGCTTTCTGTACCTCAAACAATGCTTTGGAGACTGACAGCCTTGGTCTCCTGGAGTGGGGCCATTTACTCAATATACAAGTCACAAAATTTAAAAGATTTTTATACATCAACTCAGATATAAAAATTACCTCTGCAGGCTTCTGGATAGACTCCTTTTCCTGTTCAAAAACAATGACATTTAAGGAAGGCTACTATAAAATCTTTTAGACATTCAGTTGTCATATACACTTCTATAAATAGGAAGCCATTTACATCATTTTTAAACCACAAAATCTTAGTTGTATTTATTTCCTACAATGTTTTATTTGTCCCAACCTTTCATTTATGTACTTTTAGTCTTTGATATTCATTCTCAATATCTATTAACTGTACCGAGGTAGTAATTTCCCATCAGAGAAACCACAAGTTCTTCCTAAAATGAATTTTTCCGTGTGTAAGTAAAGATTCTTTCCTCAATATTTTCTTCTCAGGGTAGCAAGGGAAAAGGAAAAAGGGGGAAAAAACAAAACAAAACACAACCACCCCCAGAAAACTCACTAAGCCATCTGATGTCTCTCTCTTCAGGTTACCCAGGCTGCTGGATTTTTGCAGACTTGAAGTTCTGACAACAGAAACAATGATAATTAGAATTAACAGTAAGTTGACTCTGGTGCCTGTGTCTACACAGATCGTCTCAGAAGGAAACTAAAAACTGTCTGGGGGTTGAATCTTGGTAATAAAAGAAAACCTGGGACCAAGCAAGCACTTATGTACTTAAGTGAATTGCAGCATTTAGTTCTTTTAAAAGCAGGGTGGTTAACTATCCTGCCAATAACACAAAATGTCCCACACATGTCACAGTAGCTGGAAAAACACTTAAGACTGCCCTGGCAATATCAGTGTTTTCCATGGACTGGTGGCACTTATACACTTACACCAGGAATTTCTTAGAAGCTTGTGCATTGTTAGATCTAAATCTTCCACTTGAAGAATGAAAGGCGTAACTTATCTGAGCCTGGCAAAGCATAATAAGCCAGGTGTTGTGGGTCCTGGACACCTGTAAGTCCAGTACTCAAGAGGCTAGGGCAGAAGGATTGCTGGATGTGTGAGAACAGCCTGGGCTATCAAGACAAAGCCTGTCTCCAAACACGAGAAAGACAAAATTAAAGGGGGGCAGGAAAAGAAAAATTCATTACAGCAGTGGTTCTCAACCTTCTTAACTCTGCCACCATTTAATCCAGTTCCTCATGTTGTGATGACGCCCAACCATAAAATTATTTTCATTGCTACTTGGTAACTGTCATTTTGCTACGGTTACAAATCGTAGTGTCAATATAGGTGTCTTCCGATAATCTTAGGTGACCCTTGTGAAAGCGTCGTTCCACACAGCCACACAGGCTGAGAACCACTGCAGTAGAGGATCCCTTGCTATTATTGCCCACAGTAATTCATTTGCTAGCCTAGGAAGGCAGAAGGTGCCTGCAAGTCACAAAGACTTTTTCTTTTACATAAATAATGTTCAATTATACACAGCTGAAGATGATATTACTCAAAAACTAAATGCACAAATATGGAGCCAGTTTCAAAAAAAAGAAAAAGAAAAACAATGCCGAGAGACTGGGGGTGTGCGTGCTCAGTGCCAGGGTGTGCTTGGCACGTGAGAGGCTTGATCCCCACAGCACAAGGTAAAAAAGGAAGGAAGGCAAAGCAGGGAAAGAGACTAAAAAAGGAATGTGTTTACTCCAAAAAACTACAACAACTATGCAACCTAACTTTTAAAAGGCATTTCTGCTTTTATGTAAGTTGTCAGTAGTACTGACTGCCAAAAGAAAAGCGTGAAAGATAACAGAGAAATTGAAACATCTCATCCAAGTACTGCTCTGAAAATAGGCTTTCCAGGTTGTTCGGGGCTTTCCTAATCTGATCCAGACGTTAACTTGGGTAAACACCCACATCGGGCCAGTTTATTAAACTGTAAGTGAGCAGCTCTGCCAGCTGCCACACTCTCTGGGAGCCCTTTCTCTTGGAGTAAAAAAAATACAAATCAGCACAAAAATGAATTAAAAGTTCTGAACTTCAAATGAACACTGATGAGGGAAGACTAACGATCTGCAAGCGCCAGGCATGAGATGCCAGGAAAGGGGTGTTTCTCTGTAAACATAGGTGCTCCAGCCTGGCCTGCCGTGGCACACGCAGTCTTGTACTCATGAGGGGAACAGCCACCGTGGACCACTGCTGGTAATGGTTACCCGGGCAAAACAGACTCCCACTCTCTCAAGCCTTGATCATGCTTCACACTTGACAACACACGACTTACGAAAGACCATCACATAGTGGGGCTTCAGCGGCAGCACCCAGGATTGCTTTTCCATCACTGCAAGACATTTTTTAAAAAGGCATTTGTTAATGTCATGAACCAAAAACCACACAGACATCCCTGGGCTTATAACGGTGAAGTCCCAAAGAGCCCATCAGAGGCTCAAATCACTGGGGCCTGTCTGCACATATTCTAAGTAAACAGAAATGTTTAAGAAAAAATAATACAAAGAAAGTTATTTCTAATTTTTAAACGTTTTCTTAGGCCTAATTCAAATTTAGGCAATTAGTTTGAGAATTTTTCTGCAAAATATCTATTTGCTTCTGGAGACACCACTCTGTCCCTGTTGTGTTGACTTTATAGTCACCCTTTAAACAGCCTCATGGCACCAAGGGTAACTACTCTGCCTTCTCCTTTCAACAGCCAGCCATGACCTAGAAAGTTCAACCCAACTTCCTTAAAGGCCCCTCTACCTCCATTCCCTCCTTCCTCCAGGCTCCTGTCTTGTCTTCCTGACTAATGCATTTTTAGTTTAATTTGACAAAACTGACGATGAAAACAGCATCCATAAATCAGTGTGATGTGTTCCTATTTTTGGTTACTCTATTTCTCTGAACACTGATCTCACAATGCTAGTCCACATATAACATACGTGTCTTCAAATGAAGCCTCAGGCTTAGTAGGCAGCTTGGACTTTTCGGAGGTTTCCACACCCATAGACGGTGGCAACAGTGAAGGGGCTGAAGCTTGCAACTGTAAAACATCAAAAAGTAAAAAGAAAATCAACCAGACGAGCGAAACACAAGCACAGAGTAACAAAACCTAACAGGGTTGGTCTATCTAAATCTTACACACCCGTGCTTAGAACTCTAGCCTTGTATTTATAAAACCATCTCAAGAAAACAAGCATCTAAGTAAAGGAAGTGTTAATGGAGGAAACACCTTGGAGAAAGGGAGTTTAATTTGGTTCTAAGACAACGAATATCCTGAATAAGAAAGCACCTTACACCACAAAAAGCGCTGAGTTCTGATCACATTAAAAGACCACGGAATGCCAGCGCCAAAGCACTGACTCTTCAGCATAAACAGATGGTAAACAAAGCACTACTTTCATTTTCATATCTATAGTAGTCTAACCCATAACATATGTCATGTGGATTCATATTATTTTATGTGTGAACAAGGTAACTCAGCTCAACTGCCATAACTGAAGAAAAATGCATTAAAATCAGCTAGAACATACTCTGTGGTTACCAGTTAAAATGTTTGGTGTAGTAACAGCAACACTGTAGAAACAATAAAATGTGGACCCCATTTTCTCAAATACCTCTGAGTCCTAGGGCTGGAGTCTTTCTTAATGTATGAGAACCGGAGACCAGAGTGTGATTGGCATCAAAAGCTCACAAAGGAAATACTTAAAAATTATTCAGTGAACTCCAAGTCAGCCAATCAGTGGTCTCCTCGTTTAACTATTTGCTGCCTAGCACACACCCAGTGTTTCAACACCGAGCCATTATTTGCCTATCCTGGCACTCGCTCTGTAGACCAGGCTGGCCTCGAACTCACAGAGACCCACCTGCCTCTGCCTCCCGAGTGCTGGGTTCAAAGGTGTGCGCCACCAATGCCCAGCCCACTTCTTATTTTCTTTCCTCCCTCTTTAATTATTAAAATTAAAAATTTAATCATACTGTTCTCCTTCCCTTTCCTACCAACCCCATGTACCTTCCTCCCAATCTCTCTCTCTCTCTCTCTCTCTCTCTCTCTCTCTCTCTCATCCATTCCCTCTTTTTGATCAGGATCTTCTACATAGCCTAGGTTGGCCATGAGCTCGACCTCCTATGAAATTACAGGTGTTCATCCTACACGCCTGCACTGGCCTGGCTGCTCATTCCTCAGTGTGCCAGGTAGACACACAGTGGACACATATCAACACCAACTGCCCAGCAATGGTTTCGCCTTAGCCATATACTCCACCAACAGGCAGTCAGACCTGCCTGAGCTCCCAGAATTCAAAACCCAGGGACGGTAAGATGGACTTGGGTGAGTTTAGCCAACAAAGCTCAGCTTCATGAAGAAGCAATGAACTCAGCTGTGTCAGTTTTGCCTGTTACTGCCTGATGGCACCATGGAAGCTCATAAAACACCATATTACTGTAAAATAGAGTTCTGCCCTGTTTTTTTTTTTTAATTTTGTTTTATTTTCCTGGTTTGGTTTTGGTTTCAGTCTTTACAATCAATGTTGGGTAATCTCTTTAGCACTCATCCATGCTTCTTGAAGTTCAATGATTTCCCTGGACTCCTAATGATGGGAAAAATACACTAACACACTGGCCTGTTTCCTTGATTTCTTTTTCAAACTTTTAAGGTTTCAGTTCCAACTTTAATTTTCCCTCCTGGGTTTTCTTTAAAAATAATGTTGAACTCTTATCAATTCTCATCACCTCATTTTTGTTCCGTTTGGAGAAATCACTGACAACAAACCAAACATCATTAAACTGGAATTCATGAGGGCTGGAGAGACGGCTCAATAGTTCCTGCACGCTCTTCAGGGAACCTGGGTTCAATTCCCAGCATGGTGGGTCACAATGTCTGCTAACTCCAGTTCCCGGGGATCTGGTGCCCTCTACTGACCACTCTGGAAACTGCAGGCACGCAGTGTACATTCATATATTCAAACACAACACTTGTGCACATGAAATATATGGAAACAAACCTTTAAGCTGAGACTCATGGAGCAAACACTCTGCAGAACAACATGGTATATGACACATATACAAGGAATCCCTCTCTACATGCAACACACTTATTGGCTATCAAAGTCCATCCCCACACCCCAAGACTGAGGCAGGAGATCACTAGTTTCTATGCTGTCCTGGGCAACAAACTGAGCCTCTGTCTCAAAATAAAACAAAGGGGTTTTCCCTTTCAATATAAACACATTTAAAGAGCATGAAGCTTCTCCCTGTATCTTATCTCATAACTAAAATCTTCATTAGTGAACTGTCCCAGTACTCTCTAACGCTTAAGTGCCCATGTTAGTGTTTTTCTCTTTGAATTAATTTTCACTCAATCCGGTTTTCACTTTCTCAGGACTAGTGGTGTAGCTCAATGCAGAGCACTTGCAGAAGCATGCACAAGGACTCAGGTTCGATGCCCAGAACTGTAAGGAGAGGGAAAATAGGACTAGAAAAGAGATTCATCACTAAACATTATTTTTCCATTATGGGTTATCAACAACAGATATAAGAGAAGGAAAGCAGGAGAGGAGAGATGGCGAAAGGAAGGAACTGTGGGACACATAAGACTTTGAGCTGAATGAGATGTTCCCAGCTCCTGGTCTCTCCAGACAGCAATTATACTACAATTAAGGTGTGGTGTGACCTCGAGGAATCCTGGGACAGGTATGGCCTGCTATGAGACTCTCTCCAGCGGCCCTGCAGGGAGCCTGGGCCCTAAGAGGCAGCAAGGAATTGTGGTGATATTTTGTTTATGACTTATTAAAACCACCAGAGATGAAAATAGCAAAGCAGACACACTCGTTGGCCATAGAAGGCAGGCAGTGGTGGCCACACCTTTAATCCTAGGACTCAGGAGACAAAGGCAGACAAATCTCTGAGTCCAAGGCCACCCAGGGCTACACGAGATTGAGTCAGTCTAAAAGAGTAACAGAGCTCATGCCTTTAATCCCAGGACTCATGAGAGGTATTTAAACAAGAACAGGGTCTCAGAGCTGACATTCATTCTCCAGCCACACTGAGAGGAGGCTTGGTGACTGCTCCTGGAGACAGGATCAGCCCTTGCAGCCTGAGACAGAGGTGAAAGCTAGTGTCTTGGCTATTTTGCTTCTCTGACCTTCAGGCTGAAGACTGAACCCCAGTGTCTGTCTCTGGGTCTTTTATTTATCGTGCTACAAGGAACACTCAGACAAGCTCATCTCCAGTGCAGTGGGCTGGAGGACGCACCAGAGTAGCTCAAGTGGGCAAACACAGCAGGGAATGAGAGGTGGCTGTGAACCTCCATGGCACTTTACAAAGCGGAGACAATAGTCATCTGAAAACATCTAGAGGGGAAAAGAAAGCAGACTTGGACAGAAGAAGGATGAGCTCCGAAGCTGCCCTCCACTGCAGAGTGGCACCACCTGTCTAGCCGGGTTTGGAGCTGTTATGGACCAGGGGCAGGTGTGCGTTCATCTTCCCTCCTTTTAAGCAGGGTCTGCAGTAGTCACCCACTCCTGTCTCACCACGAGTGCTGGGTGTGTGGTGACAGATGTCTTGCTTCGCTACATCCCAGCACTGAAAGTTGTTCAGAGAGATACTCTAGGAACTCCCTGAGGGACCTCCCTACGAATCAGCCTGAATGGATGGCAGCTCCCAGGAAGGGCGTTTGGAGATACCTGGAGAAGGGAAGGCCTCCTTTCATATGTGAGAAGGTATAAACTGGTTTACCCAGGAATGAAATGGTGATTGTTTTCCAAAACAGTTATACCACACCTCACTTCATGTGCTCTTACACCACAGTGTCACTTGGACCGTGAGAGAGAGAGTGTTTCGCTATGAATCTGGTTGAGCTGTGGTTGCAGCAGAAATGACTTCTGAGCTAGGGGATGCAAATCCACCTTTCTTCTCAGGATGCTCTCATCACAGCACTGTGAGGCAGCCTAGCAGTCTTAGGGAGTTCTAATAGGCTGCCTCCATAGCAAGGCAATGCAGTGAGACGCCTTCCTGCTACTCCTGGGCTGAGCTACTCCTGTTCCTGACGACCTCTGCCCACTCTGCAGACTCCTCAGGAAGATGACAATCCAGCCGCAGTTTGGTGCTGGTGTGTAGTACAAAACGAACAGATGTTCTCACCACTTTGATGAATGTAAATGAATTAAAGACTTTGCTGACCTCTGATTGCGTTTTCTGAGTCACAACAAAACTAGACTTGTTTATTTGCCCTAACTCACCCTTACCTGACTTACTCGGTATTTAGTCTTTAAGAGGACGGACTTTAATCTCATTTTTTAGGGCATCTATCTCAAAGGTGCTCATAATTGTTTTTGAGACTAGAGTTCTTTCAGGCTGCTCTCAAATTTCCATCAGCCTCAGCCTCTTACACAGCTGGATCTACAGGAACACGCCAGGGCACTTGCCTTGTTTTTATTGAGTTTTACAAGAAATTGTGACTTTGCCCAAAGCCGTCATTACAAAGAGGAGGAAGCACACATTTAAGAAGGAAGAGAGACGGACAGACCGATGGGTGATGGGGCTGGAGAAGAACCACACGGCACTGGCAACAAACATACAGCAAAGACACAGCCCCTTCAACACAGACCAAGTTTCAGATTCCCAGAGGTACCTCTTCTGGAGCGCTTGTGTTGAATGGGTCTCTGCTGGGAGACCCCATGCCTGGTGTAGAAGAAGTACTTCTCTCCAGGTCACTAAAGCCCTGTGCATCCAACAGGGTGGAGATGGAGCTGGAGTGGAACAGACCCTCACACTCACCATCCTGGCCTGCAAAAGACGGAGCAAATGATGCTGCAGTTCACTTTTGGAAGAATCAATAATTATAAAAGACCCTAGAGACAGATATTGGGGTTCAAAGTTCAAGCTGAAGATTAGAGAAGCAAAGCAGCCAAGCCAGTAGATCTTACCTCTTCCCAGCTGAAATGGCAATCCCGTCTCCACCAATCCTCAGGGGTAAAAGGCTCTAAGTTCCTTTTTCCACCCGGCCACATCCTCCTGTCTCCCCTCCCTAGTGCTGGGATTAAAGGTGTGTGATCCCAGGTGCTAAGATTACCTTTGTGTGAGCTCTATTTCTTTTAGGACTGGATCAATTTTGTGTAGTCAGTGTGGCCTTGAACTAACAGAGATCCAGCTACCTCTTAATCCCGAGTCCTGGGATTAAAGGTGTGTACCACCACAGCCAATTGATCTCTATAGCCTGAGGCTGACTTTGCTTTCTGAGTCCTCAGGCAAGCTTTAATAAATCATAAATAATATATCACCACACAGAATCATACTTAGGCATTTCTTTTCTTTTTCTTAAACATGCACTGTACTGCTGAGCTATGGGGCCAGTCCAAAACATAAACAGAGTCATTGTTTCCTGGCTTCATACGAAAATCAGCAACACAGAATACAGCATCTCAAACTATAAGCAACTAAGGCCTGGTACCCAGGCCACACTAAGTACCCATCAGTGGTATTAACAGAAGGAGTCAGGTTTGATACAGCATTGACACAAAAGATGTTTCAAAAAAGAAACAAACCCAAATTTATTCCAAGATCCCACTGTAATTTTGTTTTAAAACTCCCAGGCTTTATAAATATTAGTTTAGCCTGGCTTGGTGACTTGTACCTTTAATCGTGGCAGTCAGGAAATGAGAGCCCAGGAAGCAGAAATTCAAGATCATCCTTGGCTACATAACAAGTTCAAGGCCAGTCTGGGCTATATGAGATCCTATCTCAAAAAAGTTAAATCTATCAATCAATCACTCAATCTATTTACCTACCTATCTACTCTTTACCTACACACATCCCTATATATGCCAGCATATCCAGCTACACCATAATTTTATTAAGATTAACTTTATTTTGACTCTTTTCAGTTTATTGCATGAAGGAGTTACACTAGTCCAAGCTAAAAGCAGACCCCAAATGGCTACATTATACAAGCTGTGAGGTTTTTAAACTTGTGAGAAAGGACGGGAGGGAAATTGTACTCATTGCAAGGAAATCCTCACTTAAGCTTCAGAGAGTCACAAGCCCTTAAGACCCATGAACCTTCAGCTGGTCGTCCTGAGCCAGTCCAATCTCTCTCAGGAACTGGCAGATGTTCTTGCGCTGGTCACCCTGTAGCTGAATTACTTCTCCATATTCTGGATGCTCAATTACAGTACCATTGCAGGCAAATTTCTTCTTTTTATCATAATCGTCAGCAATCCCTTGGACAGTAGTAAGGGTCTTCCTGGCGTTTTTCTGTTGAATTCTTATATGGATATAATCATCAGTGCCAGCAGGAAGCAGGTCATCACCCTTAGTTGCATCAGCAAAGGGGTCCAAAGAGTGGAGGTTCTGGACAGCAGACATCGCTGATTCTTTCTCCTCAGTGGAAATGGCCTGCGGGAGGTGGCTGCGGGAGAAGGCGGGCAGGCAGGCTGGAGCGTCGGGAAGTAAGGGGGCTAGAGGGGGAGGCAGTTGAGTCCTTGGTGGTGGCTCAGTGACTGGGGCCAACTAATTTTATTTTTATTTATGACCATGTGTATATATGCCATGTGGATGCATGTATCCACAGGGGCCAGAAGAGGGTGTTGGATGCCTTGGAACTGGGTCATGGGCTGCCAAAGTGGGTGCTGAGAGCCGAACTCCAGTCCTCTGCAAGGGCAGCAAATGCTCTTAACTGCAGTGCAATCTCTCCAGCCCAACCATAGCTTTTAAACTGAGGTTTTACTATAATTTCATCCTAACTTTATTAGACTTTAGATGTTGCTAAGAGCTTTGTGAAGAGTAATTAAATAAACACATATTATGGAGTAATCACTTTTCATAGAACCCTCCACCATAGCAGGGCATGATTTTTGTGACTTGTGAAAACCCATCCTGCTGTATCTGATCTCAGACTTTTATATGGGGCTGGGGAAGTTCATTCAGCTCATCAAGTGCCTGCCGTGTGAGCACAAGGACCCAAGCTCAGATCTCCAGCGCCAACATAAAAGTCAGGCCTGACCTGGAGAGGTGGCCCAGAGGTCAAGGGCACACGGGGGTCATGAAGAAGACCTGCATTTGGTCTCCAGCCTCTGAACGAGGCGACTCACAACTCCCCTAACTCCAGTTCCAGGGTCTGAAGCCCTGCTCTGGCTTTCTTGGGCACTGGCACACATGTGACATACATACAGCCCCCCACACACACATAAATAAATAAAAATAAACCTTAAAAGTCAGGCATGGTGGTCTATAGCCTTAGAGACAAATGTGGCATACGCACCCCCCCACACACACACACATACTTAAATGAAAAGAAAATAAACCTTTAAAAGCCAGGCATGGTGATCCACACACTCAGAGGTAGGGAGCTAAAGGCTCACTGACCAGTCAATCTGGCCAGCTGTGAACTCCAGTGCCAGTGAGAAACTATCTCCTAGAGGGGCTAGTGATACGGCTCAATGGGAAACGGGGCTTGCTGCTAAGCCGGGTGATCTGAGTTCTGGGCCTAGAATCCACATGGTAGGAGGAGAAAACCTGCCCTCACAGGTTACCCTTGGTGTACCTCCTGGGAAGTGGCAGTAGTCCTTCATGAATAAAAAAGATGATATCCACTTCTATTTACTTGTCTATCTGTTTCGGAGCCCCTGGTTCAAAGCAGAAGGTTTTTGTGGGGTTTTTTGTTTTTTTGTTTTTTCTTCTTTTCATGCATGAATTCTTCAGAATCAAAACTTCTGAGAGTGCAGCTTAGTGGTAGAGCACTTACCTAGCATGTTCACGGTAGGTTCCAAGCACCAGTAAGTAAATTAAAGATAAAATTTCAAAGTCTTGAGCATTTCACAACCATCTCTTGTGCTGGCTATTTTCTGTCAGTCTGACACTGGCTACAGTCATTTGGGAGGAGAGAATGTCAACTGAGAAAATGCCCCCACCAGATTATCAGGCAAGCCTGTGTGACTAGTAATTGATGGGAAAGAGCCCAGCCCATTGTGAGTGATGCCACCACTGGCCTGGTGGTCCTGAGGGTACGTAAATAAACAGGTTAAGCTAGGCAAGAGGAACAAGCCAGTAAGCAATTCCCCTATATGGCCTCTGCTTTAGCGCTTGCCTCCAGGTTCCTGACCTGTCTGAGTCCCCGTCCTGAACTTCCCTCAGTGACGGACGATGATATGGAAGTATAAGCTGTTTCTTTCCTTCCCAAGATGCTTTCGGTCACGGTGTTTTGGCAGAGCAAAAGAACCCCAACTAAAGTATCTCTCAAAAGCCATGTTTTCATTGCTTCTCATCATTAGGGTGACAATGACCTACATGCTCACAGTAAAAAAGTCCTCTAACCTCCTGTCTGTTTCATATGACCCTCAGTCTTTCCATGGCTGAGAACGGTCCTCTGCAGGTGAGGCAACAGACCTTCATGTGTTCAAAGAGGAACTGACACTCCCTGGCCTTGGGAAACGATGTCATCACTTACAGTGGCTTTAGCCACAGATGTCTATGTCTTTGTTGATTTATTTCCCCTTGTTTCATGACCATCATCTACTACAGCATGTCACAACCTTACTGCGTCTGGTCGATTCAGATCCACTGGGTCTCTCTCAGCAGTCACAATGACTGCAAGAATCTTTTGACTGGCTTCCCCTGCTGCTGATACTGGTTGGTCTTCCTTATCACCCTTTTCTGGCAAAGGTCACGTTGCAAACTTGTTATTCAGCCCCGGGCTTGGGGTGTAGCTCTGTGGGAGAACATTTGCCTAGCATGTGCAAAGCCCTAGGCTCAAGCTCTCAGACCAACAAAACAAAACCTCACTGGATTCTCTATACTTGTTTAAGAGCAGATGTCCAACCCAGCCCTACTGAGATTCCTCTCAGGACATCATGCCACACCCTCTCCACAACTCAGCACTTTCCAGACACACTGGTCTCCTTCTAAAACATCCAAGGCTCTTGGCACCTAGAACTCTCTGACAGAGACATTCTCACTGACACAGGCATCTACAGCACACTCGTCTGCCGGAGTGCTCCCCACAAGCATGGCTGCCTAGCACTACGTCAATACACAGATGAGCCACCCAATCTGGGATGACGCATATGAACTACATAAGAAATTGAGTCCAAACATGTAAGCTCATGGCTGGTTAAGTGTAAATGGAGTAGGAAGGTTTCAAGAAATGTATTCTACTCTATTACCTTGGGCCAGAATTGCTGGGTCCTGCATTTTCTTGTACCTGTTCAGGCACTGCCGGAGATCTTCTATCTTCCGATCCTGCAAACGGCATAAACCATCACCATCACCACTATGACAGTTCTCAAGCAGGAAAGGTAAGTGCTGTGAACTGTTTGCATTATCTGAAAATATTTCCAAACTTTGGTAAAAGTGGCAATAGCTGTACTTTTCCTATGTGTATCACAGACATATGAACAGCACCCCTGATCTTACAAATTCTTTAACCTGCCATCTTTAAAAATAAAACTGATATAACAGCATTCCACAACAACAAAATCAAGAGCCAGTGAGACAGCCCACTGTTGGGAGAGACCCAACACTGAGCCTAATGACTTGCCTTTGATCCCAGTGGAAACAATTCCAGAGTTCAGATCCCCAGCAAACATGGGGCATGGCAAAGGTACCCTCAGCACTTTTGGGGAGTGGGTTAGAAAGATAGAACTGGACTCCCAGAGCCTGCTGACCAGCCAATCTAGCTCAATCAGCAAGCTCAAAGGTCACTGACCGTCTTAAAAATGAGATGGAGAGAGAATAAAAAGACATTTGAAGTCAACCTGACCTTAACTTTCAGCTTTCATATGTTTGGGGGGCACACATGCACATACACGCGCGTGTGCACACACACACGCACAGATGCACGCACAGAATCATAAGTGACATCATGGACACAGTGCACACTCAAGTAAGAAGAGACTAGGAAGACCCCTTAACATCAGTGGAGTCTTGAGTGTGTCCTGTCCGGGTGAAGTGGCTCAAGGAACTGCATACAGCAGTCAGGATGATACAGAGCGTAAACAGAACAGCGATAAAACTTACATTCCATTTCTACCCACCTTCTCTTCATTTGCTGCCATCAGGGATTCCACAGCCTTTTTCATTTTCTGCACTTCAATGTCTGAAAATGAAGCCACATTGTTAAGAAGCACACCAGCTACCCTGTGAGAGAAGCCACGGTTCTTCTGCCTGGAAACTTTCAAGGTAAACATGGCAATGATTCCCTCTTAGGGACAGTAAGAGGTGAGCACTTTCTGCCTCACCCACACAGTTGTCACTCCAGAAAGACAGCAATGTAGGCAGGGGAAAGCAAGATACCCTTTCCTAGAGAAAGAACAAAAATCTTCCTCTAGACACCAACGGTGAAATATGGGTGCAGCAGTGATGACAGTAACTGAGTTTTCAAAACAGGAGGTCATGGGCAGTGAGTGAGAGCAATGGATGGTATTCCCAATGACCAAGGCGGAGGGGCGGTGCTCAGTCATGGCCAAGCTGGGGATGCCACGGTGAGAGCCTGAGCGTGTGTTCATGTGAGCAGCCATGCTGAGGAGCCAGCTGTCATTCCACAGGAGGGAGAGAGAGTAACCTGCTTCATCTGCAAGCCTCACTTCTAACACTGTTCTAAAACAGAAACCAAGACACCACAGCCACAGTGTGCACAATGCCACTCTCCTTAAAGTCTGATGACCAAATACAAGCCTTACTTGAAAATTGAAAACTTAAAGCACTTTAAGTAAAGTGAACATTTAACCCCAAAGTGAGCCTACAATTACAATATGGAAACAGAATATTTAGACAAAGTTACCAACTTATGGGGGAGAGGGGATTCTAGTAGTTTAAAAATTGTACTGATGCATTTTCAATTAGGAATGGCTGAGGTCAGTTTGTTGTTTGTTTTAAAGCAAATTCCCTTAACCTATGAACTCATGCTCTGCGGTCAAGTAAGGGTTTAAGTTTATGGGGCATTAAATAGCCTGGGCTCCGTAAAGCTTCAGAGTAGACCCCCTCACATAATGAGTTCTGAGGCAGATGGAGCGAAGCTCAGCACATGCTCTGCCATGGAGACGAGAGCCAAGTCTCCACAGATGTGCGTGCTGTCTTGTCCTCTGCACCTGTGCCTCCCACACCACAGAGAGCACGCTTTCTCAGCTCACTTCTCTGTGTGCCCTGCTGTACTCTGGGAAGTGAACAGGCTGCGGGGAAAAAACCTGCAACATGATCTTTTCCTCTGCATTCTATAGTCCGTCTGTCTAGCCTCTGTTTTGTACACCGTGAAGAAATGGGGGGCTTATTGATGAAGCAGCTGCACATGTTTACTGACAGGAATGTTTTAAACATGCAAAGACGGAGTGGCACCAATGGCGAATGAGAAGCTGATGGGAAAATACACCAAGAACCTTACTTTTCTCCTTGAGCTTCTTTTTAACATTTTCATCTGCACGGAAAACCCATTGGGTTGGAAGTTAGCACACATTACAACAACAATAAAAATCCATCTTAAAGGTCCTAGTATTTGGTTTCCTTTTACCTAAACGCTGGAACTCTAATCTCAAAAATAACCCAGAATGTGAAGCACCACCGCATGCCTTTGGGCCTGCAGCCGCAGGAAGAACTACTGTGCAGTCAGGTGAGTTGCTCCCTCCAAGCTTCAGCTTTCTGAACCTCACCGTTTCCGTGTGAAAGTTAGGCCCACGGGCCAAACCAGCCAGGATGTGGACAGGCCAGTGTCACTCTGGTAGTTTTTCCACCTGGTCCTCCCGACTCTGTGCCACATCCAACACTAAAGTCCAACATCACTGCTCAAGGAGACAAGTCCACTGATGACACAGTCAGGATCAGTGTCAGACTGCCACGAGGTTTCTAAGCCCTTATGTTCAGATCCTGAGCTTAGCTGGCCCTGCGTGACGATGAGCATTTCAGACTGGTTCCAATCCCCGATTCAGAGTGGGCAGCACTCCCCAAATACATCTCTAGCCTACATGCACTCACAGGGTCCATTCTATTCTTAAACCCTAAAAGTGGGACCACCATTGTGGTTCAGGGGTACAGCATGTGATTAGCAGGTTCGATCCAAAAATGGTGGTCTGTTTCTGAATGTCCTATAACATTATTTTACTTGTGTCAAAACTCAGCAAGGAAAGCCCACTTCTCTAAAGCTTGGCAAACTGAGTTTCCAATGGGTATAAAATGCTATTTGTAGCCGGGCAGTGGAGGCATACACCTTTAATCCCAGCATTCGGGAGGCAGAGGCAGGTGGATCTCTGTGAGTTCAAGACCAGCCTGGTCTACAAGAGCTAGTTCCAGGACAGCCTCCAAAGCCACAGAGAAACCCTGTCTCGAAAGCTCCCCCCCCAAAAAAAAATGCTATTTGTTTCCATACAAGGCACAGCATAACAGAGCTCCACCAACTGGAATCTGGCTGTCTAAATGAGCCAGAAATTGCTCTGGTGTTCAGCATCATGGTTGCCACTGGACATATTTATACATACACACACACATACAGACATACATACATACATACATACATACATACATACATACATACATACATACATGTGTGCGTACACATCACAAAGGAAGGTAAAGTCTGACCTAGTATTCCAGATATTATACATATTATATTTCAAGATTTAAAAAAAGAAAAAATGGAACCAGGGTCTCCCTGTGTCACCCAGGCTGGGGTCTAACCTACGACCCTTCTGCTTCCGTATCCATGAGTTGGGACAGCAGCTGTGTGTTACTCCACCAGACCCAAATATAAGTTTTTAATGTCACTGGAGTTGTTTTTCTGTTGTCCAGTGTCAGTTCCTCTCCTGTATTTCATGGGATTTTAACAGAGCAAGGCATCAAGCGACAGCCAGCCAGTCTTACCTCGATCAAGGATTTCCATCCCGTCTCCTTTCGTTCTGCACAGCACTCTTTCCTGCAGCCTTTTTACTTCACATTCCTTCTCCTCCAGTTGCTCTTTTAAAGACGTCAGTTCGTCCTACAAAATCACAAATTCATTTTACAACAGTAGACTACGGCAGAAGAGGAATATTTATAGAGCATATTAGCCCTGAAAGTCAAAACTCAGACTATGTGAATGAGACAGAAATCTGCAAAAACTTACACACAAACACAAATTAGACAAAGGCGATGGGGAGCACTGCTAATATGAGTAATTTGTAATAATTACAGTGTGGCTGTTTCAAGTTTGTGAGTAAATGTAAGAAGTAACAGAAGAATAACCAGGACATGGTATTCGCTAAAGTTCCACCTACGTTAAATCAGAAAGTCTCACCAAGTTAATCAAAGATGCCAGTCAAAATTAGATACATGTCATAAAAAGCAAAATAAAATACAAATTCAAAAACACTTGCTTGGCTTCCTCAGCATTTCAAGGAGACTCTCATGATTCTGGGATAACCACTGGGCTTCAGTAGCCAAGGGGAGGCAATTTGGGGGTGACGTGACTAAATTGTGGTGGACTAGATAATTCACCCTCATCACTGAGTAAGACAGATTCCTGCAGCAATGGGAAAGAGGAATCTAGAAAAAGAGGACTTAAGTCTTCCTGGTGATGGTGTACCTGCAAAAGCTTCTGAGGCTACCGATGTGTTTGCAAATGTTTTCAGTTTCAGTTTTGCTTTACAAAGTACTCGCTGTAGCAAATTTATATGTTGCAGGCTGTATCTGATGCAGAAACTAGTTGTGCAATGACAACTCGTCTGCCTTTTACTCAGTGTGGCATTTACTCTCAGAACCTTCATTCAGCTATCTGTACGTGCAGTTCTATGAAAAATCCACGCGGGACGCCAAGTTGGCCTTGTACTCCTGACTTATGGTAAGGATGGAGTCCAGTTCAGAAACCTCCATAGCCCTGCAAGCTGTGCTGATCCCTCCTCCTGCAGGGCTCTGAGCAGTGACTTCTCTTCCCCGCCATAATGATGAACTCATCATACACACTGACCTTCCAGAAAACCCTAACAGAGGACAGCCAGCTCCAGTTATTGAGATGAAATTCTTCCACAGGTGAACTTTTTAACAATTATTTTATTATGCTTAGGGGTCACATAGTCTAAGAAATAAGCTTATATGCCAATACTTTTATATTTCAACCATTCATTATTTACATTAGAGATTGCATTGTCCTTTTAATCAGGGTGTATGTGTTCTTTATGAACAGGTGGCACACACACACACACACACACACACACACACACACACACACACACACACAAAGACAATACTAAAAACACCATCACAGCAAAACGACACGAGCCAGAGAGCAACAGCCAGGGGGCTCCCGACAAAGTCTACTACACCTTCAGGGACTCCCACTTTTGTTCCATCCGTTGCTTCTCATACTGCATCTGACCCACCTTGATTTTCATGCTAGAAAGTTTGGCCATTAAAGACTGGTAGAGAGACAGAGGGATGAGAGAAAACAAGGCAGAAAAAGACAAGCAAAATAACCGAGAAAACAGTATCAGTTCATAAGAAAGTTAGGTAATTCAGAGACAGCAGGCTGTGTCCTGCCAAATTAATCAAGCCCTGGGTTCTACTGAGAGCTCTAGCTCGTAAGCTCGGCGTCTCCAGCTTCAGGGAGACACCGTTTACTCATAAGGTATGTTCGTCATCATGTACTAGTTAGAAACACTTTTATATATGATTGATCACAGAATGATAGACCACATTTAAAAAAATTTTTTTCAGAGAGAAACTTACTTTAGTTGACTTAAGTTTTTTCTCATACTGAAGTCTTTCGCTGTCCATTTCACTGACTTTTAACCTCAAATCACTGATCTCTTGTATTAGCCCCTGTCAAAAAATATTAATTAATTAGAAAAGGGTATAGCACAGTTCCAAAAGGAGTAGCCAGGAAGCCCTAAGCCAGCAACAGCTCCTCAGACATGAGCTGTGAGAACCAGTCCTAACAAAGGAAGATATGGTGATATTTACCCCTGACAGCCAAAGCATACTGCATTAACACAGTAACTTAGGTTTCCAGGACCTCTGCCCCCAAGTGCTGGGCTTATGAAACCTAATGCAGCCACGATTCTGACTCGGAAAATGCTATTGTTGGAATGCTGTGGAATAATCCTGCTGGACACTGTATTACTCACATTGGTCAATAAAGACCTGACTGGCCCATAGCCAGGCAGGAAGTATCAGCAGGACAACCAAACTAAGGATGCTGGGATGAAGAAGGTGAGAGTCTAGGGAGACACTAGACAGCTGACTGAGGAAGTAGGATGTGCAGAAAAAAATGGTGCCAAACCACATGGCAGAGACTAGATAAGAAATATGGATTCATTTAAATGTAAGAGTTAGCTAGTAACAAGCCTGAGCTATTGGCTGAGCATTTGTAATTAATATAAGCCTCAGTATGTTTATTTTGGGAGCTGTAAGGCTGTGGAACCTGTAAGAGGTCAGGCCTACAGTGTGACCTTTGGCCATTAGGGACCTGCCCCTGAAGGAGACTGGGGGAACCCAGAGCCTTCCCTCTTTTCTGCTTCCCTACCTTACTGGGGAAGTTGGGGGGAGAAGACAACTCAGGGACCTGCAGGCAGAAACCAGATGAGTGCTGGTCGCTGGCTCACTCACCTGGCTCATGCTCACCTGGTTGGAGGTTCCCCACAGCGGACTAGGCCTGCTGCATCAGTTAAGATAAACAAGACAATTCCTCACACACATGCCTGCAGACCAACCCAACAAAGGCAATGACTCCCTGCGACTGTCGACTAGTGATTCAAGGCTGTGCCAACCTGACAGTCAGTGCTTACTAGGACATGACAGAAATGGGACTAGCTCACAAAGGCAGTTTAACCTCGGGATCAAAGCCACTTAGCACCCATTCCTATATTCAAACTATCTATGGACCCCACCTTTGTCACATAAACTAGAATTTTCTCTAGCTTAATATCCTTTTCTGTGATGCTTTAGTAGTTCTGTAATTGTTTGCCTAGTCTACAAAAATATAGGCCTAAATTTCTTTAAACTAAGAATATCAACCTGAAGGTAGACATGAAGGTATTGTGTGTGTGTGTGTATGTGTGTGTGTATTCATATATCTAATACAATACAATGATGTAATTTTATGTGTGCAAAATTTTTAAATATCCAAATGACTTCATAACAATATAATTTAATACCATTTCTGTTTTCATTTTTAAAATACGCTTTTCATTTGCTCCTCTTCTCTGCATAGAAGTCAGGAGAGGCCTTCCTTCCCTTGGTCTTTTAGACTTTGTTATTGTTAGTGGAAAGCTTTGAACTCCCAGCATGTGCTACTGTAAACATTGCCACTTCCTTTAGTGGTGACTGCAAAGACAAAGAAACAACTACAGAAAAGTGGACTATATATTGAGATCATTTTCAGTTTTGTTTTGTTTTGTTTTTTAAAGAAAACTATCCAAGCCAGACAGTGGTGGCACATGCCTTCAATCCCAGCACTTGGGAGGCAGAGGCCCCGAAGATCTCTGTGAGTTTGAGGTCAGCCTGGTCTACAGAGTTCTGGGACAGCCAGGGCTGCACAGAGAAACCCTGTCTCAAACCAACCCCCTGCCCCCAGAAAAAAAAAAAAGGTGAACCTAAAACAAAACTATCCAATTGCTTTTGGTGGTAATACACTTTAAATATGCACTAAAAGTCTAATATGAGAGAAGTCAGATAGGCCCATGACAAGTCTGGCTGGAAAATATGGCACTGTATCCTTACTATTTCAATTAGTTTATCAGTTCAGCCTCCTGTCAGAGCTCTGCATTGTGGCCACCTGTGTTCATACCAGAAGGGGGCGCTGTTGAATGAGCCAACCATCTCCCATTAACAAGTTCCAGGACAAGCCAAGTTCTAAGTCCCCAAGGTTTAAAGATTTTAATACGCTATTTCTTGGAAATGCCTATAAGTATCCCTGACTTCAACATTTTCTTGGACACTAAATAGCCAAACACTCTGAAATTCTCAAATAGTGTTGAGACTTGAGATTGCAGAAATAGCTAGGCAAATGTTTTATTGTTAAGGAAACATTAAGCCAGAACGTGTACATATACCATTCAGTTTCAACGTTTGAAGACTATTTTTGATAATTTTTACATAAAAACACAATAGTCAAACATTCTGTCATCTGCCTTGTGAATATGCATACCCCATTTTATCAGCAGTGTGGATTGTTTCACGGAAAATGATCAGGGACTGTGTTTCCTAGCAGTGTGCTCATGGTGTCCCTTGGTGTTTGAATGAGAATACGTGAGAAACAAAGTGTGACACAAAAGGCAGACAGACAAAAGTGATGTGGGTGCTGCAGCTTAGTTCCTCTGATTAAACTAAAGCACACTGCACAGGGGAAGACTTCACCCAAACTTTGCCTCCATGGTGTAGACAGCCTCCTCAGCTCCCTTCCCTCCAGCTTCTTAGCTCCATCTGCAGCCCCAGCGACTACTTAAGTGTGAAGCCAGAGGATGGCAGGATGAGGAAAAGGAAAACAACTTAACAGATTCTTTCAGAAAGCATTAGACACTCGCCTTTAATCCCCAGCACTCGGGGAGTAGAGGCAGGCCGATCTCCCAATCCAAGGCCACCCTGGGCTACAGAGCGAGTTCCAAGACAGCCAGGGCCACACAGGGAAACCTTGTCTTGAAAAAGAAAACAAAAGGACAACAAAAAAGCACTAAAACAAGACTTTTAAGAGACTGGGCCACGCTCCTGCTTTAAGATGCTGAGTCCTGATTAAGGTGGAATGTGCTCTTAAGAGGGACTCACAAGGGAGTTTCAAGGTTAGAACCCAAACCATGAAGGAAGTAAACAACCAAGGCTTTCCGTTGTAACTGGATCTTGGATGGGAAACTTTATTTTGTAAATCACAGTGGAATAAGTTACTAAATCATCTCAAGCGTGGCATCACATGGTATTGATAACACGGAGTCAATATGCAAATATTTGACATGAAGGGAAGAGAAAAGGAAGCAACCCCTCTTCCCTCCCCTTCCTAGTATCAGGACACTGACCCAGGACACCACCACGCACCCTGAATCCAAAAACAAAGCAGAAAATGCAGAGTTTGCTGTGGTGCACTCTGGTTTTTTCTTTTCTTCCTTGTGGTTCTGGGAACTGAACTCAGGTCCTGCACATGTTGAGAAAAGAAGGAATTTCTTTCCACTACTCATTTCACTTTGGCTCGTTTGTGGTGTCGGGGACTGAGCATGGTGCCTAGCACGTGCTGGAAAAGGATCCTGCTGCCCCTTAGCTGCCTCCTAGCCCTGGGTTTCCCCCTAAATGAAGATTTGAAGTAGACAGATGAGCTCTGCCTCTCCCCAATTAAACACCAAATTAGAACACCCAGATTAACAATAAGATGAGAGAAAAAAAGGTTTCTTTAGCCACAAATACTTTAAACTTCTATTTCGTGTGTGTGTGCGTGTGCGTGTGTGTACAGAGAAGTGATGTTTTTGAGCCACCTGTTTTGGGTTTTCGGAACCAAACTCCAGCCCTCTGCAAGAGCAACAAGTGCTCTTAACTGCTGAGCTGCTGTGCCCCTCTCCCACAAGTACTTTCCATTGTAGAATTCACCCTAAATTTCATAAAAGTATAGAGAATTTAGTTAACTGGAATGACTTATATGTGGAACACACTAAAAGTTAAGAGCCAAATAAAATGGCCTCCATATGCTAGACTTCTGTGAATGTGTAACCTGAGGTTTCTATACATTCACAAATCCCCTTAGGACACAGTAAATAACCAGTGGGCCTAAATAAGGACAACTGGTAAAACCATGTACTTAAATACACTATTTCAAATTAAGAAAACCAGCACGGTTTTGTCAGGCGGGTGCCATGAATATCTTGTAGTCAAAACTAGTTCTACAGAATATTTCAAACAAACAAAATCTAAACCAAAACAAAAAAAAAAAAAAACAAAAAAAAAAAAAATGGAGCTAGCATTTAGTGAAGAAATTACAATGTGGCTAAGGTTTATCCTGCGTTCTTTTTTATTCGTTGTTTTCATTTTTTTTTTGAGACAAGAGTTTCTTGGTGTCCAGTCTACTCTCAGACTCTATGTAATGGAGGCTGGCTCTGAACCCCTGATCCTCTGCCTTCATCTCTCAAAGTGACGGGATTACTGGTATGTGCCACCATGCACCTGGTTTATTGTCTCTGGAGTGGTGCTGAGGACAAAACCCAGGGTCCAGTGAGCCCTGATCAAGAGATTAATTACTGAGCTGTACCCCAAAACCTAAAATTTCTTAACAGGAAGCAGGATGAGAGCATACTGTAACTAGCTACCTTCCCTTCACAGCTCCAGGGTTTTCAGCTTTGTCCTGGGTATGTGTGTTTGTGGGCTAAGCAGGGAGGGAGAGAGAGAGGGAAGGGGGAGGAAGTAGGCACACTTCTCACCTCTGTGTCTCTGAACCTGTCTTCATAATCCAGTCTGTCCTTCTCAACAGCCGTCAGTTTTAACTTCAGGTTAGAGACCTCAGCCACGAGCTCCAGCTTCTGTGTTTCTAAGGAGGTCCTACTCAGGAGCTCCTGTTAGGATTTCAGATCAACATTCACAAGTTGTTTTAATATAAACTTCTGTCATGACTGCAAAGCAGCAGCGGTTAAATTAAGCGTGGTCTGTGGGTGAAGAGTAGCGGCCCCGCACCATGCTGCTGAGGGCCACGCACTCTGGTGACACGCTCTGAACAGAACTGAACCCGTCAGCAGGTTGTCGGGAGGAGGCATCTTTTCCCTACACTCTTAAGCCTAATGGCAACAATGCTGTACATGTGCTTGCTATGTGCCAGGGACCAGGACACATTCTCATACGTGGTTGCATCCCTGCAGCAATCTACCCTATAAGGTAGAGAAGTCTATCAGCCTCATTGATCAGGGTTTCTAGGGACAGAGAGGCCACGAGCCTGTTGAGTCATGCAGGCAGGCAACGGTGGCAGACAGACAATCAGCATAAGCAGTTTTGCTTCCACGTACTCTGTGTGTACTCTGTCCACTGCATCACAAGGCTTCTCATCTACAAGCTCTGTGCGCACACTCGATGCATGTGTGTGGGGGAGTGTCTTTTTTTTTCCTAAAAACAAGTTGCATATGGTGTTTATCATCTGATGGTTGGGAGCTGGAAATAATATGAAGGCCAAAGGTCAATGTACAATTCCTCTAACAGTGTACTCTATTCTGATTGTATGACTTTGTATGTCTCTGCGTTTTTAGACTCTTCTGCTCTAGGCTTTAAATGCACCGGTCCTACGGGATTCTGGGGTTTACAGCTGCAGACAGCAGACAGGAATGCTGCACCCAAAAGAGAACAGGTTAGCAGGACCATCCACCACCAGCGTTGGCCCATACCTGCTGCAGCATTTCCTCAGTGGCGTTCAGTTTCTCTCTGTGCTCTTCAAGACAAAACTCCAAATCTCGAATCTTCTCTCCCTGAGCCTCCACTTGGTCTGTCAACACACTCACCTGTTAGTTTAAAGCAAAAGAAGGCAATGAGTCCGAAAGCATGCTTCTTTCTCTAACTGGAACAATAGGACCCATCATTCATGGCGGTTTAAGACATCCCAGACTTCACAAGATGACAGGGTCCTTCTCCTTGCGATTTATATTCTGTTTCACATGGATCAAACGCAGGGCCTTGCACATGCTAGGTAGGCACTGTGCCACTCAGCAACGTCCTGCAACCCTACGTTGCTCTTATCATTTAAGGAATCCTCTTCAATTTAGGAGAGACTTGGCGATGATCAGAGAGATGCAATAGCTTACATATTAAAACCACTTCAGTTATAAGAGTATATAGAAAAAAATTTGATTTCTCAGTATTAGAGGGCAACAGAGAAAATGAGGTCCATATTTGGAACAGACATGAAGGACCACACAGATCTCATACGTCAATAGTAACAGGAGCAAAAATGAATAAAGAACTCAAATTCTGCAAGCTCTTTCAAGATCAACATGGTCCTAAATTTGTTCAAAGCCAGTGGTGTGACAAAGAGCAGTATACTGTTTTCAACATGTGCAGGACCCAAGTTCAGTTCCCATAACCACAGGGAAGAAAAGAAAAGCCAGAGTGTACCACACCACACTCAATGTCCCAAGAAACATCAGGGTTCATCTTTGGTCCTCAGGGTCCCATGCACATCTACAGGCCTCTCTCCTCAGGGATCACCAGCTGAGTAAATATACTTTGATCTGGTTAGTTCAAAACATAAAGGCATTTTCTTTGTACTTAGAAACACCACGAGGAAGCAAACAAACATCCCTCAGCAGTTTCCAGCAGCAGGGTCTACTCGGGCTGCTTTGTTTGGTTCATGTGTCATTTTCAAAGCTTGGAGGTTAATATATACTCAGGCTGAGATGTTTACACTACAGGTACTCGCAGATCTGAATTTCTACTTCAAATGTCTGTAAAATCAGACTTGATGAGTCTGACTGGAAGGGCCCAGTCAAGGACCTGCTCCTGTGGACTGGGTGACATACCCTTGCCCCCACAGCCAGCCTGTCACACTCCCTGTATGAATGGATGGCCTAGCACACTGTTTCTTCTTTGTGAGATAGGCTCTTAGACTATAGCCCAAGCTGGCCTCAAACTCACAGCAATTCTTCTGTCTCGGCCTCCTAAGTGCTGGGATTACAATCACTGATACCACAACTTCCTTCTCACCCACTGTATTATTTCTGTCAGTAGCTGGTTGAGTTACTATGCAAATGTGAACTGAGTTTTTCATTTTCAGGAGTCTTTGGAGGTACAGTCTTCCCTTGGTATTTATCTGTGTGGGGCTGGCTCCAGAATCCCTGCAGATACCAAAGTCTGCATGTTCAAGCCCCTTCATGGAACAGCAGGGTGCTCACATACAACCCACTCATCTTCCTTCTGCTCGAAGGCATCATGAGGTTCCTTAGTCAAGGTAAATGCACACAAACATTGTTACATTGCAATTCACCACGGGTGTTCACATATCCGATGGCACGATGGCATGTTTACTACAGGTGTAATACGTTCCACATACAGGAGATCCAAAGTTGCAAGGACACTACATGCCCTGAGAAAGGGACTTGCCTGAAGAACAAGGGATTCCTTGTCGTTCTCTAGACGGGCTAGCCTTTCTTGATACACGTCTCCATTCCCAGGCAGGTGTCCGTTTGTCTGAACAGGAAAATAACAGAGATAAGGTCAACTCTAATTCTTTATAATTCAAATGGCATGAATTAAATTCAGCAAAGCTGTCACTGCCATGGATAGAAAATATGAGAATTAATTGACTTCAAAGTAAGTACGACAGGCACAGTGGGCACTTACATACAATTGAGCATCTAGACACAACTGATTGACCCACACCATTTCTGAGCAAACAGAAACCAAGTACCCTATCTTAGTTCTAAATGTACTGCTATGATAAAAAACACTGACCAAAAACCACCTGGGGAAGAAAGGATTTATTTTACCTTATAGTTCACCATAATGAAAGTCAGGGCAAGGAAGGAATATGCTCTAAAAGGCCTGTCTATGAGCTGATACGATAATGGGGACCTTTTCTCAGTTGAGGTTCCTCTTCCAAATGACTCTAGCTTGTGTCAAGTTCACAAAAAGCTAACCAGCACAGAGTCTAAAAAGCAGTGGCTGCTGGAATGCTCCAGTGGCCACAGGCACAGCCCTACGGCTCACAAAGTTCTGAGTAGCTGGTAGAAGACAATACTCCACTTGTCCCTGAAGGACTCCTGCCTCTAATCTTGGATGTACAACAGTGAGTATGACCTGTGATGTGCTCCCATACCAGCCACTCCATCCCCAGGTCCTCCTACACAGGACTGCCAATGCCTGCCAATGGAGCAGACTGCAGGGGCAATATCTGTCAGGACTCTTTCTGCTCGCTCAACCCTCCAGTCAGAAGAGGAAGGCTTTGCAATCACTTTCTATCCTGGCTACACTCTTAAGGGCTCATTTTTCCATACAACATGATGACGAGCTACTAGGCAAAACCTGAGCATCAGCTGACCTTCCTGGCATCTGGCTCTGTGTTTTTCCATGCTCACTTTCTCGTTCTCCTTCCAGCCTGCTATTTCTAATCCCATGTGGTATATTATGCATAGTACAACTTTCCAAGGAAGCACAGACATTTTTTTCTAAAGTCTTTATTTTTATGTATTTATTTTTGAGATACAGTCTTCCTGAGCAGCCCTGGCTGTCCTGGAACTCACTATGCGCATCAGTCTGGCCTCAAACTCATGGAGAGTCACCTGCCTCTGCTTCCTGAATGCTTGGATTCAAGGTGTGTGCCACTGCACCTGACTTTTTCTTCCTTTTTTTCTGTATCCAAGTCACAAAAAAGGAAGAGTCATAAAACTGTCACTCTGAAAATACTAGTAGCATGGCAATTTGAATGTTACTGGCCCCATAAATTCATTGGGAGTGAAACTATTAGGAGATGTGGGCTTGTCAGATGAAGTGTGCCACTGTAGGATTGGGCTTTGAGGTCTGATGTATGCGCAAACCACACCCAGTGTCTCACACCACTCCCCGTTGCCTTTGGGATCAAAATATAGCTCTTGCTCCACTCTCAGCTCCTTCTCCAGCACCATGTCTGATGGGGGATATCCTTTTGTTTTCTGTGAATATATGTTTCTCTTATTGGTTGATGAATAAATGCTCACTGGCCAATAGCCAGGCAGGAAGTATAGACAGGGCTACCAAACTAGGAGAATGCGGGGAAGAGGAACGAAGAGGTTGGCCTGAGAGACACAGTGTAGCTGCCGAGAAAGCAAGAGGCTCAGGTAAGCCAAGACCAAGTGGAGATACATCGATTAACAGAAATGGGTTCATAATTAAGAGAGAGAGCTAGCCAATAAGAAGCCTGAGTCATAGGTCAAACAGTTTATAATTAATAGAAGCCTCTGTGTATTTACTTAAGACTGAACAGGACTGGGTGGGACAGAAACTTCAGTCTACCATGTCTTCCTGCACAACACCATGTCCTGCCATGATGATAATAGGCTGAACCTCTGAAACATAAGTCCCCTAATTAAATACTTTCTTTGTAAGAGTTGCCGTGGCCGTGGTGTCTCTCCACAGCAACAGAACCCTAAGACAGAGTGTATGAGACACTCCCCCTTTACTCTCCCTCTTTCTTCCACTATCGTCCCCTTCTCCAGGATGTCACTCTGTAGTCTAGAAACATCCTCCTACTTTAGCCTCCTGGGATCACAGATATGAGCCACTCTGCCCAGCTGGTAATGCATTCCTTATAATTTCATTTAAACAGTCTATAGACACATTATATATTTTAACTCGGGAGGATTCTCTGAGTACTCCTCTAAATACAACAGAGATAAAGGCTAAAAGGAATCCAAAAGAGGAAGGTAGGGCATCCAGAATTCAACTGAAAATCAATCCCTCCAGAGTTACAACCGGGGGAGGGGGGTACAAACTGCTTGCTCTTCCCTAGGTAAACTTGATGTGACATCTATTACATCTCCACAATCAACCTATATCTATTCTTTTTTTTTTTTTGGTTTTTCAAGACAGTGTTTCTCTGTAGCTTTGGGGGCTGTCCTGAAACTCGCTTTTGTAGACGAGGCTGGTCTCAAACCCACAGAGACCCGCCTGCCCCTGCCTCCCGAGTGCTGGGATTAAAGGCATGCGCCACCAACGTCTGGCAACCTGCATCTATTCTACCTCTCCAGTTTCCTATTTCAGTTCTGGGAGTGACAAGTGTCATGAGTTGAGAACTAAACAAAATGGGATAAGGAAGAGGACAGAAAGGAAAGAAGAGGGGAGGAGGAAGGAAGGAAAAGGCAAGGAAAAAGTACAGGAGAGGGAAGAAAGAAGAAACTTTAAATTTGGAGCATTCTTTCTGAAGACGTAGACAGAATTATGTTGCCCAAGAGGCCACAAAAAAATTCAAAAGCTAATTTAGCCAAGTGTGCAAAGCATGTTTAGAGCGGGTGTAATGTTAACATCAGCTGTTCAACCACATACCTGCACCATTACAATGCTGTTCACGCTGTTAACTCAAGTGCACAGAATTAACTTACAAGCGTCTGATGGAGTAGTTAGAATGACTTACAGCCCCTGGGGGCCATGAAAACGAGATGTTCCTAACTCCCTGAGGACAGTCTTCTGGAAAACAGCCAGAACACATGATGTATGTTCTTAATCTGTGAAAGTGCAGGGGCAGACCATGGACAGCTAACACATGACACATGTCCTCAGTCTGAGAAAGTGCAGGACAGACCATGGATCGCTTCCAACCCCTTGCTTTGATTACGAACGTTACAAGGCATCTGTTTTTAAAATCCTTTGCATGTGATGTTTTATAAACACATTTCTTTAAGTTTAAAAAATGTTCTATGTTCAGAAGTAGAACTTTCTCTTTTGTCTCTCTTTAAGAGATTGGGGCGAGGCTCCCTACATTGAGCAGGAGAGCCTCAAACATCTGGGCTCAGGCCAACATCCTGCCTCAGCATCCTGAGTAGCTCTGACAACAGTCATGTGCCACTGAGTCAAAACTGTGGTTCTAATTGGTGTTTGAACCCAGGACCTCACATGAACGTTCATCACACAGAAGCACTCACACTCTCCACTGCCGAGATATACCCCACCGTCCCTTTATTCTGAGTGCAAGAAACTCTAGCCAGAGTGGCAGCATTTTCTTCCAGGCCAAATATTAATATAGAAACGAGATATTTCAAAACCAGTTCTCCACAGTAAAATGCTGAGAACTGACTCACAGTGAGCAAATGAATCAGAAGTGTCCTGATATCTGTAAGTGCTTATAATACTCAAAACCAGCTGGTATTTCTGAAGCGTTGATAGTCTCCACAGGAACCGGCAGCAAAAGTCTCAGGAACTGCTACATAGAGTGGCAATGTATTTAAGTAGATAAAGCTATTCTGCCCACATGTCCTCTTTCTTCCTGTTACTTCTGCTTAAGAATATTGGAGCTAAGCCTAGGAGGTACTTCTCACCTCTGTCCTTCCCTCATGATCCACCTCCCAGTTGGCTCAAGCCCTTCCTCCAAGTAGCATGTTCTCTGTGCTCACACATGCACTTAATCCCTTTTACCTGGATGTCTCTCTTTTCCTTTTATATTCTTCTTCTTTTTTTTTTTTGGTTTGTTTTTCTCTGTGTAGCTTTGGGGGTTGTCTTGGAGCTCTCTCTGTAGACCAAGATGACCTCGAACTCACAGAGATCCTCCTATCTCTGCCTCCCGAGTGCTGGAATTAAAGGTGTGTGCCACCAAGGCCCAGCTTTTATTCTTTTCTTCTTCTTCTTTTTTTTTTTGTGTGTGTTTTCAAGACAGGTTTCTCTGTGGCTTTGGAGGCTGTCCTGGAACTAGCTCTTGTAGACCAGGCTGGTCTCGAACTCACAGAGATCCACCTGCCTCTGCCTCCAGAGTGCTGGGATTAAAGGTGTGTGCCACCATCGCCCGGCCTTTTATTCTTTTCTTAAGCCTTCCCTATCTCCTACATTTGGGTCTAGTCTATAATGTTTTCCTCAAATGAAGGGTTCATTCATAAATTACTTATAGCACTGGACAAGGTGCATAGCAGAAGCACCATGCTCAGAGGACCACTCCCACCACCCCCACACACGAGGAGGCTGCACTGTGAGCAATTCCTTGCGTCTGATAGGAGCACTTAACTAAATGACAGCACCATGAAGGAACGGTGACAAGTGTCCCTGACACCCGTGGGTTGGGTGTGAGACGAGTAACTGGCCTTGCTCTGGTCACATTTCTTTTAAATTCAGTGCTCATCACGTCATGGTGGCACACTGTGTTAGTTTACTTCCTCCTTGAGGAGGATTCAACATCCATCTGTCTGGTTTTCCTTCCAGCCAGCCTCCCGGGAGCTGAGACGTCCCTTCCCAAAGCTCATCCTCTGGTATCTTCCTCAGGAACCTCTGTCTCCTGCTTCCCTTAGACGGGCAATTGTCACCTCTTCTTCTCAGCTTCTCCAGTGTGGTAAGATTTCTTCAGTTTTCCCCCCAACACTGACCCAAAGGCTTTGTGCCCACATCTGCTCACCTCCTGATCCCCGTGCCTAGGTCAACCCATCTTTCATAACCAGCTCTGCCCGTCTCTTCTGGCCCTGTGCCCTTCTCTTCTCCTCTAACGGCCCTGCCTTCAACTTCGCAAAACAGCTTTT